TATAAAATTCATTGTTAAGGTTTTATGACATTATCTAATTGTTAAATAATAAATACCAATTAGTTTTAATTTATTAGATTATTTTATTCTATTTAATTTCAATACCGTAGAGAACAGTCTGATTTTATAGTACAAGTTTTGAGAACTTGTTCTTTTTTTCAATTTTATCAAAAGAACATCAAAGATTTTTTGTTCTCTCTGTTTGAGTTTTACTTTTGAGAAATAGTTTTTGTTAAGTACTATAATCTCTACAATGAATCATAACAAGTCACTATTGATGGAGACCATCTCTATTTCAAATAATATAAAAATTCATTGTTAAGGTTTTATGACATTATCCATTTGTTAAATAATAAATAACAATTAGTTTAATTGTTATTAATCTATTTTTGTGCTATTCACTGTGTTAAAGTAGGCATTAAAACAAATATAACAGTCAAAAAATGGCTTCTCTAATATGTAGAAGATAACTGATTTTCTATACATATGGACATGTAGAAAATGTAGACAATTAGTTGGTGAGGAAATTAATATTCTACGTGTAGAAAAATATGGTAGAAAATGTAAAAGAGAATTTCTACCTACCCGACCTTGAATAAACAGTTATTATTTACATCAACAGAACTCACTTTCCTTAACAGCACTTAAAGGACATAAAGGGCCATTACTACAGCTTTCCCGTTCAAAAAATATTTTAATTTGGCGGGTTGGTTAGCGTGGTTATTTGGAGGGTGTTAATTCATTGGTTAGTTGGTTATTTGGTGGGGTTGGTTGGTTTTTACTAATTTATATTTGTTTTTTATAATTTTTTATCAGTGTCGAGGTTAGTTGCGTTGGTTAAGTTGGTTATGTGGTGGGGTAGATAGCGTTAGTTCTTATAAAATTCCTATATTTCATAAAGCCCGTCAAGTGCGTCACATCAACGACGTCATACCAAACCAAAAATAAATGTGGCAACTTGACATTTTTTACAGCAGGGCTACCACCTGAATCCCCAGCGGGAAATTTAAATTCCAGTTAGTCAGCCCGGCGCCGAATATGTCCACAATTGGCAAAAATCAATTTAAAAATCGCTCCCTCGATTACGTAACTAAAAGTTCAATTGGTATCGAATATATATGATATTATAAACAAACCTTCGTGGTGATCTAGGTAAATTCTTTTTTTTAACAGGTCTTGATACTCATTAATTTGATCAGGTAAATTCTTGAAAACACCATCAATAATCATAAATATGTAAAATATCGGCCATTCGCATTCTTTCCCATCAAACTTCTTTATGCATTCTTTTTTATAAAATCTACAAAAAAATATGTTAAATCTTTTGATTACCTACGTTAAAAAGTTAAAAAAAACATACTTTTCACTTGGATCTTCCAAAATTGTCTTAAACCCATCCCTGGTAAATCTTTTAAAACCATAATCTCCGCGTAATTTGCCCACTATATTATTTTTGGTTCTAGTGTACAACATGTCTTCATGCGTCGCAAACGCCGGAAACGATATTGTTGGAAGTAAACCGGAATCAACTTCCTACAAAATAATTATAATTAAATTTCTAAAAAAATACAGGGTACGGCAATAGTGCGTCGGGCATCTGTTGTAGCTCATAGAATAAAAAAAACTCGGAAATTTTGTTTAAGTGCAGACCTAAAGTATGTACTAGGATGTATCTCAAGAAAATATTTTAACATCGACAGGGTAGCTCAAAGAAGTGTGAGTGGATCAGAATGATTTTTTAAATGGAACACCCCGTATATTATTGCATTTTTGGCTTCCTTTCAGATCACTTTACATAATCCTAAGGTATGAGTAAATATATTTTGATAGTTTCAAAGATATTAATAAATAAATAAAAAATATATATTTTTCAGCATTTCTTAAAAAAACTATTACAAATACAAGAACTGTCGTAAAATCAAAACTATATTCGGTATTTACTTTAGATGGTCTGTACTTACTTTGCTATAAATATTCTAATCTAAAATCATACAGGGTGTTCGAAATTCTACGCCAAACTTTCTAAACTATAAGATAATTTTTCATCGTTTTTTTTTTCATGAAACACCCTGTATATTATTATTTTATTAGATGGAGAGTTAAAAATGAACATTTTTCATATTTAGAGTATTTCAAAATTTTAAAGGGTTAATTTTTATCTATATTCATTTATAACATACAGAAAGGTTCACAGACTTCGAGACATGGGAAAAATCAAGTCCATTTAGCGTGTGTCGCAATTTTCACACCTTAAAAAAATAGTTTTTTATAGCTATAGCAACTGCAGCGACTATGAAAAACGCTCTGTGGTTTTCATAGAAAATAAGTGCACCTGTAATTCATTTGAGAATGTTATAAATCGCTAAAAGAGGTTTCAAATCTGATTTTTTTTTAGATTTCTATTAATATTAAATAAATTTTATTAAAAATTGAACTAAAATTGTTAGTGTCATTAAAAACAATTCAAATTCAAGAATTGTATCAGTCAAATTCCCTCATTTAAGGTGAATATTACAGTAAATATAAATACAGCTCATTCTAAGCTCTACTTATCTTTAAGAAAAATTTAAATCATTGGTACAATTGGGCCTTAATACTATTTCAAATGAATAATAGTATTATAATAATGTGCATTATAATAATAATAAATTTTATAAGATAGTGTGTTTTAAAACTACTAAAAGACTTTTAAATTGGTATTATATTAACAACTTTTGTTTTTTTAATCCAAAAAAAAATAAAAGTAACAAATTTCTCAATCAAAATATTTGTGGTCCTGAAAAGGACCTTTTTTTTCCCTGTTCGTCAAGGTAGGTAATGGGTAAACGGTAAAAAACAGGATAATGAAATTTAAAAAATTACTAAAATTGTTCAAAAATGCCTCCCTCTTGCATTAAACAATAACCCAAACGATCATAAAATCCCCTCCTCACATTGGATAACATATCAGGGGTGACAGTGTCAAAGGCATTAAATATTTTCTGCCTTCACTGCTCCAAGTTTTGAATTTCTTCATGGCCATAAATTTTAGATTTTATGTACCCCCATAAAAAGAAATCAGTCACTGAAAGATCAGGTGAAATTAAACGTCAGTCTAAACAAAACTGTCATTTTTGAAAACTTGTGAAAATTTGGACACACGCTAAATGGACTTGATTTTCCTATGTCTCGAAGTCTGTGGACTTTTCTGTATAGAGCATATATCTCCAATAAGTGCAAATCTTTTTATTGGTGGTATATTTTTTAACCCCAAAAAACACGTCTATGAGGTAAAAATCGGTGGTCAAATAATAGAACACTAAAAAATAATATTAAAAAAAATATATACTAACTTTTGAACAAGACTCTCTAGGTAGAAGTGTTTCAAAAATACTTCTATTTCTATTATGGGCGTCAATGTCCACATAAACGACACTCCAAGAAGCGCCTTTCTCGCCAAATAAGTTACACCCGTTAATGGCTTCTAATGCAGATTTGGCCATACCTAAATAAAAACAAAAAGACTTGTTAACTATTTTAATAGAAAAGCACAAGGGACGAAAGGCAGATGAAAAAACCTAATTTTAATGTACCTAAATAATCTTACCTATGGAGCTGGCATGTATTTCAGGACTTCCATCATTATATTTACTTCCCCGTTCCCACATTCCAAAATCGGGGGTTCTGTAAGCCCTTTCAACATAGTACACTAAATTCTGAACAAATGCCACTTCATCCTTAAATAACAGTAATTATAAAAAAAAACACTTTTAAACAATTTAAAGAAATATTATTTAGAAATAAAATACACACCTGTGTATATATAATTTGTAGTCCAGATGTAATCATTTGTACAAGAAACAACAAATAGACAGATATTACATCAATTTGTAAATGATTGTATTCATCGTCTGAAAACACTTCATTTCCACTTGTTAAATGAAACTTAACATGAAGAGCATGAGAGGCAGACTGATTCTTTTTAAATAATTCAACTCTTCCAGCCTGTTTAATCCAGCATTCTAAAAAGTATATATATTTTGTAGATTGGTAACTTATTATTGTAGCTCATGAATTTACATAATATATGTAAATTTACCTAAAATTCCTCGCATACATTTAACAGCTGATTGACCCAGTTCATAAGATTTACCTCTATCATCATCAATTCGCCTACAAAAAACATATAAATTTTTTTTATATTTTTTTATTTCTTAATAAAATATATCTATAACCTGTATGCTTGATAAAGTCCCCAGACAGCTGCTGCACAGTACACACTTTCTCTAACACTTCCAATCTCAGAATCTGTCGATAAAACAGGAAATAGCCCTGTAATAGGACTTTGGTACCTAAGTAACTGCCGTTTAACTTAAAATATTTGTATTAATTTAATTGCTTAGGTACATAACACAAATAAACTTACCCATTCCATAGTACACATCAAGTTGTCTTACTGTCTCCTCGTAATTCGATGTTTTAATGAATTGATCAAAATTTGTATCGTCCAAAGCAGTTGGGGAAGACATTATGATATTAAGACTGTACGGAGTCGTTGAAGATAAATAATAAATTTATCTAGCTAATTGTCTCTTCAGTTCTCATTGTTAATTATGTTTATTTAGATAAAAATTTGTTATTAAACCCTTTAGATTTGTGTTTATTTTTAGTATTTAAAATAGTTTAGGAAGAATGTCATTTTGAGGACAAATTAGTGTGGTTATAGACACAAAACAAAAATCTTCTTTTAAATTTGCCGTATTTTTGTTCTGTGTCATATACCAAAATTTCTGACCCAAAGATAAAAAAATATGACATCCCTGGTTTCTGGACTTATTTTACGCTCAAAATATACTGGTTCTAGAGGAGAAAAAGTTGTTCCAGGTTTTAGGATCCTTATTAGGTTCTTAATTGTGTTCCAGAGATATATAGAATACATTTTTTGTGTATTCTATGAACATCCTTTGAATGAGCCGTATAGTACTGGTAGCTGAACAGCTCTAAACTAAAAGGAAGAAGATGATGACAGATTAACCTTTTAAAATCTTGTTGTTTTAAAGTTATTTTTGTTTTATTTTATGTGTTTTGAATACGCTTTCATAAAATATTTTTCTCTTGAAAATGGACGAACAAACCTCGTCACAAAACGAAGATAATAACGAGACTCAACTTATAGAACTAGCAAAAACAAAACCAGAAGGTATTTCAAATAGCGACATTAAGGAACATATGCCCAGTTTACCCATGCTCGAACTAACAACCATTATAAATAAATTACTTAAGAATGGAACTCTAGAATTATTTAAAACAAAAGATAATAACCTTTTATATAAGTTTAAAGACCCTTCTAAAAGAGGAAACGTTAAGGGAGCAGATAACGAAGAAAAGATCGTATATAAAATTGTGGAAGAAGCTGGAAACAAAGGAATATGGATAAGAGATATTAGGTTTGTAAGACTATTAATAATTTAAGTTTCTCTTTAACATATATACATATATTTTTTTAATAGATTCAAGTCAAATTTAAACATGACACAACTGAATAAAGTTGTAAAAAGCTTGGAAACAAAAAAACTGATCAAAGCTGTTAAATCTGTTTCTGCCAGTAAAAAAAAGGTTTATATGCTTTTCGAATTGGAGCCTGACAATTCAGTCACTGGAGGTGCTTGGTATCAAGACCAGGACTTTGAGAGTGAATTTGTGGATGTTTTAAACCAACAATGCCATAGATTCTTAGTTGAAAGACTTGAAGAAGCTACTAAGCAAGGTATTTTGAAGAAGATGTTTATTTTTAAAGAGGGACTAATAACACATATAACATTCTTTTGTCATTGTATAAACATATTATGTTAAAAAAATATTTTTTTTAGGAGGGGGTCCATTGCTAGTCCGTAATCGTTCCTACGCGTCTGCCACAGATGTTCACAAGTTTATTTCTGACTTAGGAATTAGTAAAGTGTCTCTCAGTATTGCTGACATTGAGAGCATACTTTATACTGTAGTTTTGGACAACAATGCCGAACGAATCACCAATACAAATGGTATATTCCTATATAAAGCCACAAATAAATTTCTAACAGTTCCAGGGCTGGCCAAAACCACCTGTGGTGTATGCCTCATAATTGATAGGTGTGCCAATACAGGTTTAGTGAATCCTAGAGCTTGTCCATATTTAACTGAATGGTTGGAAACTAGCTAGTTTATATTTTGTATTATCAGTAAAATGTATTTGTTTTAAATAAAAATATAAAAATTTGTTTTTTTTATTAACACACTCTCAGTATACAGAGATAGTATTATGTATTTTTCGTCATACTATATTGTTATATTATTATAACATAAGCAAAATCAGAATGGAAAAGATGCATATAACGTCCGCCGGACGTTATCATAACGGCCGGCGGCCGTTAAGTTTCTAAGGTAATCGTAACGTCTGTCACCTGCAACAATGACTATTTATTGTCAGTTGGACTTTTCAAAAATTGGGAAAATAGACCATAGCGAGATGTCGCGAGAAATTCCGTTGGAAATACAGGAGGAAGCGGCTGCGGCTACTCAAAATTATACTTCCGACTATAACCAGAGAGAGATATCAGCAGGAATATGACAATTTTTTGAAGTGGCGGCAGGATAGAAGTATAAACAGCGTAAATGAAGCGGTATTGCTGGCTTATGCTAAAAGAATGTCTGAAATGTATTCTCCTACATCACTGTGGACAAAGATATCCATGCTGAAGCTTGCGTTGAGAGTATATGAAAACATCGACATATCAAGGTAAAAAGCCATTATATTCTTCGATATTTAATCATACTCATCTAAATTATATTTGTTCATAGATTTGGTAAACTGTTCATGTTTCTGAGGCGCAAAAACGAAGGTTATTCACCAAAAAGCCAAAGTTCTGTCGGAGAATGACATAAATAATTTTCTACTGGATGCCGATGATTACACCTGGTTACTCGAAAAATTGTATTGGTGCTTGGTATTCTTGGAGCTTGTAGGCGCAGCGAGCTTTGGTCACTCACAGTTGATGATTTCGAAGATTCTGAGAAAAATATTCTTGTCTCATTAAGAAATACTAAAAATAAGAAAGATAGGAAATTTCTTATTCCAAAAACGGGCCTTCCGTTTGATGCCTATGGTTTATACAAAAAATACATCAACCTGCGTCCTCGTAACTTTGACAATCCAAAATTTTCATTGGTTACAAGAAAGGCAAGTGTGTTAAGCAAATCGTCGGTATACATACCATCGGGGAGCGTACCGCAGAAAATTGCAAAATTTTTGAACTTGGAGAATCCAGAACGTTATACAGGGCATTCATTTCGTAGATCATCAGCAACCATGCTCGCCGAAAATGGTGGTGATTTACTATCGCTAAAGGAGCTTAGGAGGATGGGAGTCTTCAACAGTGGCAGAAACTTACATAGAAAAATCAAGTTTCCAAAAGAATGAAAATAACAAATCAACTTTTTCATGATAGCTCCAAAAAATAATGTGTCTTTAGTGGATACAAATATTTGCCATTCTTCAGTAGCATCATCTTCTTCTATAAAATCTGTAAATCCCTGGGAAGGATTACAGATTTCTAAGAACAACAAGTGCACTTTTAATTTCCATGTTCATTATCATGAAAAATGAATTTTTAGTATAAGACATTATGTATTTTTTTATCCTTACTTGTGTTATTGTTCAATAAAATTTGTTATTAAATAGTAGTGTTTATTGCTCTAAAAAATCTGCAGTATGACGAAAAATCTAGAACGCAACACGGCCGATAACAAATAACGGCCTTGGCTGCTTATGATCCTCGGCTATCGCCTCGGATCACAAACTTCAGCCCGGCCGTTATTTGTTGTTTATCGGCCTTATTACGTTAATAACTATAAATTATTAATGATCCTAAACAGTCATTTTTAAAAATCAAAATTACGGCAAAAAAGTGATGCCACAGTCTGTTCAATACCAGCCGGCCACTTGGCGAGTTTTTGAGAGACCGCGTGTTACCCTGCATGGATACTGAGTAGGTTATGGTAATATAAACCTAATAAAGGATGAATTCATATAAAATAGAGAGAAAAAAGACCATAGAATACTAAATCTTGATACCACACGTGGACTGCTCACAAATATATAGACAAGGGTATTTCTAAGCCGGAAGCTGTGTCTCGCTAGCTCGTGTGTCACGGCCTTGAATTTTTACTCCCTGCGCGAGAAAAGAATAAGTTTCACTTCAAAAATTCTCGGTAATAGGGTTATTGTCTCTCCTGGGAACACCCATAAAATTACTAATATTTCAGATCAATCTAAGACATATCCTAAAAGAATATAAAATTATACATATTGTTAAGACGAATACTACAGAATTCTAGAAATAGAAGGTTCCAGAAACAGTTAGTAGAGTACAGGGACGCCGACTGCGTGGGTGCTCGGGTGTCCAAGCACCCACGAGTGAAAAATAGTGGGTGCGGAGCACCCACGAGCCTAAACATCAATACTAGTCAGTTGTCAGTTTCACTCGCATCCCATTCAGCGCCAGGCGAGACGTCCGTCGGTCGGCGTCGCTGAAAAAAATCTTTTGATCCATGCATGATGCGCATTATACTGCGGTAGTTTTTCGAAGAAATCAATTTCAGTAGTTCTAGGAAAGTTTCCTCTTTCATTCTTAGGTAGTTAAACCAATCCGGTTTTTCAACTGTTAAATCAGCAAGCAAATTGACATGGAAACTATGCATGGAAATAATAATTATTACCTTTAAGTAGCCAATTTTGTTTTTGAAAGTTTGGTATTATTCAAAAAAATTGTATTTTTTTTAGTTAAACCGCAGGTTAAACCTAGAAAAAAAACAGTGGCTCTCAAAACATATACTTATGAGCATAAAATATAATATATTTTTTATTTTTAGTAATAGCCTTGATTATGTATAAAGTAAAATAACTCTAGGTTATTTTGGACTAGGTTACTTATATGGAACACAATGGAGAAGAATTGTAAACTCAGTTAACAGCGACAACCAAAAAGTAAAGAGACAACAAAGTAATGAGATTTTTGAATGTCCGGAGTGCGGAAGAGAGATAACATCACGTATCGGGCTTTTCAGTCACAGAAAAGCTCATTAAAGAAAACGCCTTGCGTAACCCTCTTCTGATGCGTGTCAACGTTATATACTGTTACGTTTTGACTGGACGGGATTAACGTTATGTGTAGGCGAGGCTTTAGTAGTTGCCGTTCATAAATAAATTCCTAACGGTTATTTAAGTAAATCATAACTTATCCGCTAATAATAATAGTTGAACGGAGAATGTCAGCATACGATATAATATTGATATTATCGATAGGGGAGATAAGCGGACTTAACACGTTTGAATGACTAACAATAAACAAGATCAGTCCATTTTCATTTCGCGATCTAGATATCGCAAAAATATATAACAGTTACGTTAAATAATTTTACCTCTGAAGATGGAAAATGTCGACAATGGATTTAAATGAGTTTAAAAAGTTTTAGGCACTTTTCAAAAGTTTTACTGTATTTTATAGGTAATTTGTTTTCTTTTATATAGGTACAATTTATAATAAACCTAGATATCGATAAAAGAAACATGGTATATATTCTCTTTACTGTGTTTTAAACAAGTTAGAATTTTTTTTTTTGCTTAAATTTTGAGAATCACTGGATTTTTTCTGCGTTTTCCAAAAAGTCCAAAAAAAATTCGAATTAGAAAAGTTTTTCGAAAAATACAGAATTCTTCAATATTTTTTCGCGAAAAAAACTTGGTAGGGGTGTTTCTAGGATTGAAATATACCACCCCTAAAAATATATGCACTTATTTAACACTTATAAGTAGTATATGGTTTATCTTTCAATCATACAAATGACGCTGGTGGCATAACTGTTTGATCATAAACAAAAAATACGTAAGCGGTATTATACCTATGTGAATTTTATCGTTCTTGTTGTAAATGGGTTCTAATTTAATTAGTACTAATAATACATAGGTACCTAGCTTATGTTTAGTTGTATTAATAAAAAATATTTCGGAGATGTAAGAAGTAGCGTGTGTGAATTTTGACTCTGTTGATTTTTGCTTTTTGGAATATCTAATTTTATATATTGTGCACCGGATAATTTTTTGTATTAGGTAATGTATATAATTGTTACATTAGATTTATATAGATGAGATATATACAGGGTGTCCCAGAAATAAGTGCAAGCATTTTAAGGGGTGGTAGATCTCGATAAAAAAGAAACATATCTTCTCTTTATCATTTTTCAAATGAGTCCAAAATAGCGGAGTTATTTTACTGTAAAAATTTCCAAAAAAATAATTTTTTGCTAAACTTTTGACAACCACTGGATCTTTTCTGGATTTTCTTGTAAATTTAATCTAATACCAATGTTGCCATATTATCAAGAAATTATGTTTTTAACTAAAAACTAAAAAAAATTCCAAAAAATTTTTCAAAAAATTTCGAATTTTCAATTTTTTTTTTTTCGCGAAAATAACTCATATGCGTGTTTCTGGGGTTGAACTATACTACCAGTTAAAATACTTGCACTTATTTCTGGGTCACCCGGTATACAATTTTCAGAGGCTTTAAACTTGAAAAATCTACTGAATTTATCAGCACGTCAAAGATTAAATAGACATAATTATCTGTAAAATAATATTCAAAGTGTTTTATCATTTTAGCTAGTTCAAATATTTCAAATTTGAATTTATTTTTGCTTCCGATGCTAAGTAGTTTTGATGCTTGCGTAAATTTGTGTCCAAACGAAAGATATACCTTACGACCAAAAAGTTATATAATCAGTTTGGACCTTGTTAGAAAATTAACAAGTTTCAAGTGTTCTGTATCATTTAGTGATATTACCTCGTTATAGAAGTGTTTGATATAAGTGGCTATATTGCTATAAGCTTATCAGCAATGGACTTATTACGAAGATATAGACATAAGTAAGAAAAATTATATTATTACTGACCCGGCAAACGTTGTTTTGCCATATAAATATTTTTTATGTGACAAAACAGTGTAACTTTTTATCCACGGGATTGAAAATTATTGAATTACTAACTAATATCGGTATTAAAAAATAGGGGTTGATGGTAGAAGGGTGAAAATTTAGGGTTGTATGTATTTTTTAATGCTACATCATAAAAAAATAAAAATAAATAAGTTTGTCCAAAATATAAAAAAATTTGGGGTGGACCACCCTTATCACTTAGGGGTATAAAAATAGATAGCTACCTATTCTCGGAGGAGTATGGTAACTAAGATAAATTGTAAAGGTATTTTGATTTCCATATTTCCAAGACCACTTGACGCCTTTTTTTTGATCGTACGGTATCAATTTTTGTTACATATCTAACGTCTTTAGCTGCTATTTAGAAAACTGAATCCATTTTTTTAAAAAGTATCTATTAGATTTCCTAATATTTTAATACAAATTTCAAAGACATATAATTCATGAAAGTAATATTAGTATTAATCAGGCAAAACCTAGGATAAGCGCGCTAAACCTAGGATTTACCAAAAACAAGTGGTGAAACCTCGAAAACTTCTTTATTTTGCTTCCATTTCGGACTTTTACCGGACCTAAACAGTAAATCTTAGGATTTACCACACCGCATTGGTAAAAGTACGAATTATTTTTCTTATTTTACCAAAAACATTAACTAATTAGGTTAGCCTGGTTATTTGGGGGGTGTTAATGCATTAATTAGGTGGTTATTTAGAGTGTGTTAATGCATTGGTTAGCCTGGTTATTTGGAGGGTGTTAATGCATTGGTTAGCCTGGCTATTTGGGGGTGTTAATGCATTGGTTAGGTGGTTATTTGGTGGGGTTGGTTGGTTTTTACTACCACTTGCTTATTCGAACTTTTACCAATGCGGTGTGGTAAATCCTAAGATTTATTGTTTGGGTCCGGTAAAAGTCCGAAATGGAAGCAAAATAAATAGTTTTCGGGCTTTTACTACATGCTTTTGGTAAATCCTAGGTTTAGCGCGCTTATCCTAGGTTTTACTGCATTTCGGCCATAATTTAATACATAATTTTTTTAACCACGTTAAAAGTCGCATTTGTATCAATACAGGACGAAAATAAGTACCTACCTTATTATTTTTATAAATAATTAAATTGATTTTCCATTAATCATATCGATTGATTCTTATTAGACAGTATTATGTATTGCGAAAGATAAATTTACTAAAACACTCCACGATCAACAAAAAAATTAGTTTGCATAAAAAGGCCAAGGTAGATTATGATGACGTAGATGCATACATCAGATAAACATCAATATCAAGTAAAATTTCATGTATATATATTTGCCAAACACTTCAGATATATAATAATAATATAAGTGAAGGATATAAAGAGATGAAAAGTGTTTTATATTGTTATATGCAGAAAATATTAATGTTTTTATAACTATTTTTGAACCCCGGATAATAATAGTTACAATTTTAAAAATTTAAAAGAAGGAATTTTGTGTTAGAATGTAGAATGAATAAGAGGGGGGGGGGAGGAGGTTAATCACGGCGACATTAAAGATCTATTGTGTTGTTATAATCCCGCAATAATAATAACAATTTTGCAACCAATTTCGAGAATAATTGAATAGCTAACCAAGATTCCAGCCGTTGGCCGTCGAGGCCGCCGGATTTAGCGCCTGTTATCCCTAGCGGATTTTTATCTTTGAGAAAGAATAAATTCTTAAATTGCCCTTATAATCTAGACAAGAATTAGAAGTACCTAACCGTTATGAGAGGGTATCTTTTACCCCCACTGAGTTAATTAATTCAGCGAGAAATGGTCAAAAACGGTCCCGTCTGTCCATAACAGAAGACAGAAGACGGTCGACATATCCAACACCTGTAGCAAAATCTCATGTCTTGATTTGCGATTAATTTTTATTGTTATTAGATAAATAATAAAAAAAATCAACTTAAACCATTAAATTCTACGTAAAAAGGTGCTTTGGAAATGTTTTCACAAAAATACAAAATTTCCATAGCAAAAAAGTTACAGCGATTTTTTAAAAATGCACATTTTTAAAAAACACCCCGTAACTTCGAAACGATAACAGATATCGATGTGCGGTTTTCACCATCATATTTTTGATAAAAATTGAGCTACAAACACCGATATTAGTTTTCGTCGATCTCCCATAGAAAAGGGTGTTTCCCTTTAAAAGCGTCCAATTTGACATACCCTGTACATTACAAAATTTTTTATAGAAACTGAGATAAACTCATATCATTGAATTGATATTTTGAGAAATTGATAACCAACAAGTGATGTATAAAAATTAAGTAGTCATTATAGAACAATTAGTACCAATTATAACGATATAATATTTTGTTTTTAAACTCATAGAAAAATTAAAAACAATTTAAATATTTATTTGAAATTGATATTGTGTTTAAATTAATGCTATTCTTATGCCTATAGAGGCAGGTTAATGGAAGATTTGGTACTACTGAAGATGACGCTAAAGAAGTTCTACAAGAAACACACCAATAGATACAAAATAGTGAATGATGAGAATAGAAAACCTGGAATTTTGGAACCTTTGGTACAAGAAAAACAGGACAAACACAGAAATACCTACAAAACGGAAGTGTAAGTATACAGATGTATTGGGGAAACTAGCTTAAACCGTACTACTTTGCACAAAATTTAAACAAAAAAAGTTTTTACTTACTAAAAGTGAAGGGTTTAGTAAAATATATATCAGAAAAAGTAATAATCTAAGAGCTGGCTACATAAAAAACCTTATCATCGTTACATGGCTAATTTTTTGTGTGAAGTATCCTTTTGTGTAGCCATTATGAAATAGTCATGTCTGCCAGCGCGATCCCGGGGCATAAAGCGGGGGCGGCCAATCGAAAGGGTGAAATTTTGACACTAAAAATATTATAAGGTACACAAGTTATAATTACGAAAATAGCTTTTATTTACTATTAAGAAACGTGGAAAATTGTTGGCAGTTATTTTTCCGGTCGCTAAAATGCCGACAGACAAGGCAAAAGAGGCATGAAATTTTAAAAATTATTAAAAAATGAAATTTGAAGAATGAAAAAAATTATGGCATATTTGCATGCCGATTGGTGAAATGTCATATTTATTTATTTTAAAAGCCGCATGCAAAAGGGCAGACAAAAAGATCGTGGCTCAATCAGCTGCAGACAGTTATCAAAAGCGCGATAATTACTCTAGCGCTTTCAGGGAACGCTCGCTGCCTCATCCATTAACCGACATGCATGTATGCGATGATTTTCTTGTGTCAAAATTCTATGCCTCTTTCGCGTTGTCTGCCGGCATTTCAGCCACGAGGAAAATGTCTGTCAAAAATATACCATGATAGTAAGACCCATGATTACTTATGGAGCAGTTGCCTGGTACACAAAACTAGAGCAACGGACGGCAAGGCTAAACCTATGCAAAGTCCAGAGACTAGCATGTGTTTGCATCACAGGAGCCATGAGAACCTGTCCAACAGCAGCAATGGAGGTCATTCTAGATCTAACACCACTGCACATTGTCATTGGTAGATATGCCAATAATGATTAGAATGGTCACTAACGGAATTAGTACTGGGAGAATTGTCAGATCAGGGGCTTGGAACACCCTCAAAAAGGAAATACCACTTCTGCAACTCCCAGTGGACGATATGCCAAGAACGTACAACTTTGACAAACATGTCAATGTAGTATTGAGCAATAAGAAGGATTGGAAGAGCGAAACGCTTGCCCATCAGTTAAAAGACCATACCATAACTTGGTATACTGATGCTTCCAAATCCAATACGGGAACAGGGATCGGAGTGTTGGGCCGAGAGCTAATTACTCCGAACCAATGGGCACTTACCCTAGTATCCTACAGGCAGAAATCTACGCTATCGAGAGATGCGTACAACTTATCTTAGATAGGAACTATCGGAAACAAGAAATAGCCATCTTATCTGATAGTCAAGCAGCGTTAAAGGCGATCAACTCAGTCTCAATCAATTCGAAATTGGTCAAAGAATACATAGAGAAGCTGAATAAATTAGGCAAAGAAAACAAAGTCCTCCTACACTGGGTGCCTGCTCACCAAGGGATAAAAGGCAATGAAAAAGCAAATAATCTAGGTAGAAAAGGAGCGAACACTCCACTAACTGGACCAGAACCGTTCTGCTTTCCAAGTGGTAACCAACTCAAGGAGGAACTCAAGAACTTGGAAGATTCCATCCGCAACCTGGAATGGAAATCTTGCAATGGTCTAGGACACTCGAAGAAGTTTCTGAGGGCTTATGATCAAGAAAAATCACAGATCTTTCTGAGTAAGAACAATCTTCGGATTGTCACGGGGTTTTTAACAGGACACTGTCTCCTCAATGGACACCTCAGTAGATTGAAACTAAGAAGAAACGGCGAATGCAGATTCTGTGGGGAAGATGGGGAAACACCAGTACACCTCATCACTGAGTGCGCCGAGACGACAACCATTCGTACCATGAATTTTGGTACGACTGATATTGGAGATGGAGAACTACCCTCTATAAAACCGTCCCAGATACTGGCTTTTGTCAAAGCCCTGGGACTGTATGATGAAATATGATTCAAGAAAGGGGGACACAATGGATCTGTAAGGTCGAAGTGATTAACCCCATAAAATAATAAATACAAGAAGAAGTGTCAAGTCAATGTTAAATTATGGAAACAGCGTGGCTGCCTGGGTAACTAATTTTCAGATATGGCGGCTGGGACATTTGACATGACATAGACATGACAATTTCAATATTATGAAATTTATTTCCGTTTCCGGTTTTTAATGGCGGGCTGTTCAGGAGGTTTAAATGAGGGTTAATATACTTTTTACTCTTTCTAGTAGTAAATAATACAACAAAATTACTCAAAAATATTTATTTGGAATTTAGAACAATGTAAATATGCAAATCAACACAATTAAAGAGCTATAAACCAATAAACTACTGTATCAATATTAAATATTTAAATAATATCAGAGATGCTGTGTTAAAGCGAATTAGTAAAGTAACAGTGCATTGACTTACAGAAACTTGAAGATAAATAAATGTTTTCACAGCTTCACGGATAAATAACTGGAAGCAGGAAAAAGGCAACCGGAACCCACACAAAACCTGGAATCAAAAAAAATATGTAAAAAATATAAATATAGGTACCTACATAAGACTTTTGTGAATTAAATCAAACAGGACTTGAATGAAAATAAAATGAATAAAAAATATGATACATATACATCTAATACCTCATTTGTATTTTAAAAATAATCTACATACATAGATTTATAGCATTATTGCTATGAAAATACATAATAGGTACCTATGTGATATGTAATTACGCATTTCTGTTCATCTTGTAGAAATTTAACGTAGGCTAATAATAGTTCAATAATCATAATTTACCTTGTATAACTTGCTTTCAATTGCTCAAAATCACCGATCAGTCTTTAAAGTAGAGATACGGAAAAATCCTTGAAAGAATATCCCAAGATCCTTGGGTTTAAAGCTAAAAAAATATAAAAACAGTTAATATATTACCTATTTTTACCTATAATATGGCCCATACCTGCTACACGCCGAAACGTCGATTTCATCATTTTCTTCATGTAATTAATATCATATATACTTTATTAAAGTGTTAACAAGGAACTTTATATCAAAAAACATCTTTGTACTTATAAATTTCAGCCGAAATATCAGAAACAAACTTCCAATCAAATCTAAACGGCAAAAATTAAAATGGCGCCCGACCTTGCCAGAGGCCTCGGGAGCTGACGCTGACACACAGACAAAAGACAAAAGAACAGGACGCCGACGTGCATAAAAATTTTCCGTAGCAGAAACTGACAGAAATCATATAGAAATATTCAGATTTTTGTCTAGGACAGTCTAGAAGGCCATGCTTTCTGCCTGGGTAGAACCGCGCCACAACTGTTTCCAATTTTCCGGTTTACTGTCACCCCCCTGATTAACCCTCCTCCCACTCATTCTAAATTCATTCTAAAACTGTATGCGATGATTTTCTTTTGTCAAAATTCTATGCTTCTTTCGCGTTGTCTGCCGGCATTTCAGCCACGAGGAAAATGTCTGTCAAAAATTTTACACGTTTCCTAATAATAAATAAAAACTATTTGGCAATTATAACTCGTGTACCTTATAATATGTTTAGTGTCAAAATTTCACCCTTTCGATTGGCCGCCCCCGCTTAATTTCACAATGGCTACACAAAAGGATACTGCGCACAAAACATTAGCCATGTAACGATGATAAGTTTTTTTATGTAGCCAGCTCTCGGTCTATAATAATATTTAGAGTATACCATTTAAAAAATTACATAGATATTTTTAATTTTTAAATAGTAGAATTTTATAAATTTATTTTGAACACTCTGTAGCATCTAAGGTACCGTCTGGCCCATCTCAAGTATGGTTTTCTGTCCGTGGGTACCATGCTGTAATTTTTGTGGTCTATCTGTTGTCTGTTCTTCTTGCCCAGGTGTTTTTTTTAGCCCCCATTTTGTCACTATTTTCATAAATATTGTCGAGAAATGTAGATCGTACCTACCAAAGAAATATTGTTGCTCGACTTCATTTTTCGACTAAAGAGCGAAAATTTATTTAGTGTTTATCAACATGTGGATCGACGAGGATGTAATTATAATCTCAGCCGCAGACGTAGATGCCCCCTGACGCTTGACAGTAGATACCCTGAAATTGACGATAGTACATTGACTATGAAAGGATTTTTTAATTAATATCCGACATATAAGAACACTTTGTATGCTTTTAATTATGTTGATGTATCGTTTATAATATGTTCGACCTAATTAAAAGCACACAAAGTGTTCTTATTGGCCAGGACAGATTAGTGGGGTTAACTCTAATCAATATCCATAAAGATATTGAAATAAAGGTTGATGCTGTTATTGATAGGTTTTCCAAACAGCGTACTAGAAAACTTGATTTTGTTTTGTAGTTTTATTTATAGTTTATAGTTTTTATAGTTTTTTTTTGATAGTTTAGAGTTTTTTATTTATAGTTTATAGAAAATTAACTAATAAACGTCGTTGTTTCATTTTTGTTTATGTTATTTACAAATCTATATTTTAATTTTTGTGTTATGTTTTTATATCTTTTTGAAGACAAAAAAATCGCCGTCGTTTTAATTCGACAAAAAAATTCCGACGGTGATTTTTTTTGCGACTTAATCATAGTACCACCCCCATAGCATACACCTATCTACGCCCCTGCTCAGCCGCATTCCTTATTATTTCGCGAAATGAGCGTCGTCAAGCCAGACGGCAACGTCGCGTCGTTTTTGGATATGTCCTAGCCTCCGGAAGAGAAATTTATATAGTGGTAGTGACTTGCTCACTTATCTTTGTACAGATGACTTAAATCCGCTCCACAATGAAATAAGTAATAATTTAATAATAATAATTTTCTCTCAACTTCCACCCTCTCCACTTCTAAACTAGTTGCAATATCATTCCAGGCATCATACTTTCTATTTCTGTTCTTATACCAAGTATGCTTAGTGTCCCAAAGTTCGGGGTGGGCTTGATATTTTTCAATCAGATTTCGTGTTTTATCATTGCTCCACTCCATACCAAATTTATTTTTAGCAACAGAATCAAAAACAAACTTACGTACAAATGGAAAAATATTACCGATAAAGTTACTGATAGGAGTTGATTCGGTGGAGACCTCTTTCGACATGTTTGTAAACATTGTCGTCGACCAGATTTTTCTTTGACCGCTCCTCAAGCGAAACATGAAACAAAGTAGGCGACTTAAATCTGCGACATAAAATGTCGACGACTTTACTGAATATTCAGCAATATTGTCGACAACACTAGTCGGCGACTCAGTCGCCGACAAATGTTGCTTTGGTGGAGACCCGGCTTTAGATCGTTAAGGTATTCTCCATCTATTTTTAATCGTTTGTTGGTCCAGTCCAGTTGACGGAAGATTTCTTCTAGTGTTGCTGTAAACAGCTTTGGGGATATCGCGTCTCTGGTGTTGTTTTATATATCATTATTCTTGCTTTGGCTTTTTGTATACTCAAAACTTTTGTATACTCTATTTTGTATACTCAAAAATCATTTAAAATTATCTATCTAAAGATAAAAAAAATAAAGAAAGGAAATAATGATTATTGCAGGAATAATTTTTGAAACAAGTTGGATTATATAAATTTTCAAACGAAATTAAAATGCTATAGAATCCCACATTCTCTCATTATCGATAGGTATATTAATATACCTAACATACATTTTTTAGGAAATAACTTGTGTGAATTATTTCATGTCGAGTGTTACAATAATAATAGCCTGATAATTAACATAATTACTACATATTCATTGTTATGTTTTATAGATAAATTCTTGTTGATTATTAAAATATTTTAAATCATTGTTTAGCACATTTTTTTTCTGATAAATTATAACGATAATCAAAATCTTCCATTTGATTTCTTTTTCAGTAATAGTACAAGAAGTTAAGAGTCTATTACGCTGTACTGTTTGTAAAGGCTTAGCACGATCCTGTCATGTTAGGCCACATCCAAAATTCTAAACACACGTGCTTTGATTAAGGCTTGATTAAGGTTTGCAGAGCTTCAGCATTTGCCATAAAATATATAGCAATTTGTTACAAAACGATATAAATTATATATCACTGTAATCACAAAACTTCAATCTATTTCAGTATTGTAACAGAATTTTAAATTATGTCTTTATTTTCGAAAAAATTTAGTCCAAACATAAGGAGTATTTTGTTGATGTTTGACCATCAAAACAGTGGCGGACTAAGCCTGTCGGGGGCCCGGGGCGGCGAAGCTAAATGTGGCCCCCGGTCTGTTGCAGATAATGATATACTTCTAATGCGTTTTTAACTAAATCTTAAATAAGTTTAAGAACGATTTATTTTCGGTATAGGAACATGTATAATCAGTGAAATAAAAAAGTGATTTTCCATTTTAAAAAAATGATTTATGAAAATTTTTTAATCGATTAATTCATGAAAGCTGCGGTCATTATTATATGACATTCGGCCACAATGCTTTATTCAGGCACAATTTAATTTTTGAAATAGATAGCCACATGTCTTCTCTTTATGGTACAGTGGCTGTGGTAATCACTAAATTTGACATTTAGGCTATACACATATTTTTGACAAGAAATTTGTTTTGTCCTTTAGAATTTTTAGAATTTAGAATGAGTGGGAGGGGGGTTAATCACTTCGACCTTACAGATCCATTGTGTCCCCCTTTCTTGAATCATAACTCATTATACAGTCCCAAGGCTTTGACAAAAGCCAGTATCTGGGACGGTTTTATAGAGGGTAGTTCTCCATCTCCAATATCAGTCGTACCAAAATTCATGGCACGAATGGTTGTCGTCTCGGCGCACTCAGTGATGAGGTGTACTGGTGTTTCACCATCTTCCCCACAGAATCTGCATTCGCCGTTTCTTCTTAGTTTCAATCTACTGAGGTGTTCATTGAGGAGACAGTGTCCTGTTAAAAACCCCGTGACAATCCGAAGATTGTTCTTACTTAAACCCAGGAAGATCTGTGATTTTTCTTGATCATAAGCCCTTAGAAACTTCTTCGAGTATCTTAGACCGTTGCAAGATTCCCATTCCAGGTTGCGGACGGAATCTTCCAAGTTCTTGAGTTCCGCCTTGAGTTGGTAACCACTTGGAAAGCAGAACGGTTCTGGTCCAGTTAGTGAAGTGTTCGCTCCTTTTCTAGCTAGATCATTTGCATTTTCATTGCCTTCTATCCCTTGGTGAGCAGGCACCTAGAGTAGGAGGACTTTGTTTTTTTTACCTAATTTATTTAGCTTCTCTATGCATTCTTTGACCAATTTCGAGTTGATTGATACTGAGTTGATCGCTTTTAACGCTGCTTGACTATCAGATAAGATGGCTATTTCTTGTTTCCGATAGTTCCTATCTAAGATAAGTTGTACGCATCTTTCGATAGCGTAGATTTCTGCCTGTAGGATGCTAGGGAAGTGCCCATTGGTTCGGAGTAATTAGCTCTCGGCGCAAACACTCCGATCCCTGTTCCCGTATTGGTTTTGGAAGCATCAGTATACCAAGTTATGGTATGGTCTTTTAACTGCTGGGCAAGCGTTTCGCTCTTCCAATCCTTCTTATTGCTCAATACTACATTGACATGTTTGTCAAAGTTGTACGTTCTGGCATATCGTCCACTGGGAGTTGCAGGAGTGGTATTTCCTTTTGAGAGGTGTTCCAAGCCCTGATCTGACAATTCTCCCAGTACTAATTCCGTTAGTGACCATTCTAATCATTGTCGCATTGGCATATCTACCAATGACAATGTGCAGTGGTGTTAGATCTAGAATGACCTCCATTGCTGCTGTTGGACAGGTTCTCATGGCTCCTGTGATGCAAACACATGCTAGTCTCTGGACTTTGCATAGGTTTAGCCTTGCCGTCCGTTGCTCTAGTTTTGTGTACCAGGCAACTGCTCCATAAGTAATCATGCGTCTTACTATCATGGTATACATCCAGCGCAAAATGTTAGGGGAGCAGCCCCATCTATTTCCGGCCAGTCTTCTGCATATCATGAGATCCAATTTTTGAAATAGATAGCCACATGTCTTCTCTTTATGGTACAGTGGCTGTGGTAATCACTAAATTTGACATTTAGGCTATACACATATTTTTGACAAGAAATTTGTTTTGTCCTCAAAAAACAGTTAACGTTAAGAGTGTTTAATATCAAAATTCATAAAATTTTACAGAGAATTTAACTATGTAAAAAAATAAGAGCACCCGTTTAAAATAAGAAAGTTGCTGTCAACTTCCGGTACTTCCGGCAATGCAATTTGATGTAATAAAACAAGTAATAGTCAACTAAATTAGAGGTGGCAAAATTAAATAATGATTCACCACAATACATAAAACTCTAAGATTTAATCATCTGCTGATGATATTAACATGGTTAGCGAAATGCGCGTCTAGTGCAAAAATAAAGCGTTTTGGTGTATTGGGGGAATTAGTGTTTTATTTTGCTGTTGTAACACCAAAGGTTCCAACCCCAACTGTAATAAATTAGAGGGATTAAATTATTGAACATAATTTTGCTAACGAGCCACATACTTCCATTCCACGGGCCCTGCAGTATTAGATCGGGAAATCCCCGAGCGAATGTTCGCAATGGCAACTTATGATGACAAAGTGATAGAAATACCGGTTCCACAAATGAGTCGCGTTACTTTCGCGACCGTTCCAAGGAAATACCGCTACAAAATATCGCGATTTTGTAAGTCCTCCAAGATTCGAGAGACCCCTTCGCTGTCTCAGGCTCGTGGCCCCCGTTAAGTATAACGGGGGCCAAAGACGGCAGTACTCACTATCGGTTAGAAAGTAGAATACAAGTTATACTGTGCATTGGTTGTAATTTAAAATGTTTATTCAATAAAAATAAATAATGAAACCATTGAAATATAACTTAAGCTAAAATAAATAAATTCAAATTTATATTCATAATTATTGTAATCTTTAAAATTATAAAAAATAATAATTTTCGATATTTTAAACAAAGAAAATTACCCCTTGATTTAATTTCCTAAATAGAAAATGCTATTGAGAAAAAAAAATCTAATAAATATCTGCTTCTATTTATACTGTTCTAATTTATACTGTTCTACCTAATCTATCTAATTAGTTATTTAATTAATTATCCGCTTTTGTAGAGAAAAGGATGAAATCTTTCAAACCTTGGAACAAAATGAATTCCTCAAAAATATTATGGCCAAAAGCCATATCAATGAATTAATCGATTGCATGTACAACAAGGAATTACACGAAGGCGAATACTTATTGGAAGAGAACAAAATCTACAGCCAGCTCTACATTTTACGAAAAGGAACGTTTGAAGTCTTGGAAAATGGAAAATCTGAGGGAAAGTACAATGACAGAAGAATATTTGGCGAAGTTGCCATTCTGCATTCTTCTAAGGCATCTCATAGCGTTAAGGCTCTTGAAAAGGTAAGTTTTGCAAACCGGCACACTATGGACGTATCCTAAGATAAGTTGTACGCATTTTTCGATAGCGCAGATTCTGTCTGAAGAATTCTGGAACAGCTCTTAAGGGGCGTCCAGACCAGATGGGCGAGCAGTAACGAGCGCGAGCAAACATTTATTCAAATTCGCTCGTGATTTCTGCTGCTCTCGAGCACATGATCAGCTTCCGTCCAGACCTAGCGATTATTTGTATGTTCGTTGTTGATCGGTGTGTGGCACTTCATGTTCATAATGTCGGAAAAAAATATTGCTTGTGCGTCTTTCATTGTATTTTATAAATTGTTGAAACGTCAAAAGAGAAAACGACTGCAGAGGAGATGGTGGAACATAACTCTTTTTAATAATCGAATTTCTCATGGTGGTAACAATTTACTAAACGATGTTGAAACAGAAGATTCTGGAAAATTTAAGAACTTTTGTCGAATGTCACTTAGAGATTAATACCTTATTAGATTTAGTTGACATGAAAATAATGAAAAGTGATACCAATTACCGAAAAGCAATTTCACCTAGAGAAAGGCTAGCTATAACCTTACGGGTCTTTGCGATTTTTGTACTCCTCTATTAGTTTTAAAACAACTTCATTCGGCCATTCCATTTTTGATATTCGATCACAAACGTGGTAAACAAAATCCCGTCCAAACCGAACGTGCAAGAGCGCGAATTTTCTTTGATGTACCGACACGGCGTGGGACAGCGTCGAGCGCGAGCAAGCAATCATTCGCTCGCTCGCAGAGCCGTCCACACCAGTTAATCGTTCCCATAGAACATACCCGAATTCTTGCTCGCTCCTGCTCGCTCATCCGGTCTGGACGCCCCTTTTTATAGAAACCTTTTTTATTTTAGGGAGAAGTATGGGTACTGGATTCTTCCGACTTTAAACGGATAACCATCAATGACTCTATGGAAAAGCAAGACGAAATAGTTAAGTTCCTGAAAAATGTGCCTAGAATATGTGAAGCTAGTAACGACAAGCTGTACAGACTGGCCGATTTAGTCACTGTTGAAAAATACGAAGGATCTAAGATTTTAATCAAAGAAGGCGATGTCACGAATAAATTCTTCATTATTGCTGCCGGTAATGTAAGAATATAAATGTAAAAAAGGAATAGTCTTTTTTTACTTATTAAAATAACCACTTTATTCCTTAATAAACTAATAGGCAATCTAAAAAATCCTGTACGCATTGAAAAATATTATTAACAAATATTTTTTTAGGTTCTGCAACACTACTATGCAGGCATGGCGCTAAAAAGGACCGAAAAATCTTCCGGGGTGATTTTTTTGGTGAAGAAATATTTCTGAAAGAAGTAGCTAGTATTTGTACTGTGATAACTGACGCTGTAGGCATTGAATGTCTCGTGTTGTCTAGAGAAACATTCCTAAAATATTTCAATGACCTAGAAGATTTTTTTTATAAGAAACCAGGTAATTTTAATAAAAATTTCATTGAGGAACCATGCAACATTTATACAGACCGGACCACCGTAGTAGTAACATAGGCAGAACCGGACGAATTAAGGCTGATTCATGGTACACCGGGCCGTACCCGAGCCGGGCACGTTCCGTAAAGTAGACACCGAGCCACGTCCGGGCCTTCAATATATGCTACACCGAGTGGACAACGGGGATCATGTCCGTGCCGATTATATTCTAGAAAACAGTGTTGCCGCAGTGGAACATTTGTACCAAATTGATACTTTTAATTCTATTTGGTACAGTAGTACTACATTTTCAAATCCAGGATGATTTGGTACAATAATTATTTCCCACGCGCACCGAAATTGAATAGATATTTAATAATTATTGTCGTTGATATTGCATTAAACGCGCTTACCGATACCATTCGGAGAAAATCCGCATTAATTAACGACGTATTATAAACGTTGTAATGTCTATAGCGTTGCCTATATTAAATAACCCGAAGAAAAAACTTGAAAATTTACTGTTTCTAACATGCTTCTATATTTGCGTTTTTTTTAAATAAAATTTAAGTTTTCCAAGTATTGTGTGTAGTATTAGAATTACTTAGAATTCTTCAACCTATACATACTTATAATTGGGTTTTCTGAATTTCTATTTCATGTTTTTCGTCTCGATTTGTGTCTTTCTCCAGGAAGTTTTTTTATGTAGAAATTTATGAAGAAATTCACAGCGACCAAACCGGTTAAAGTCATATGCAGATGTATTTTGTTGTGCTTTAAAAAATTGTACCAAAGTGGTACATTTTTAGTTTATAATGTGGTACGCGCTAAAAGTTGGGTGCGGCAACACTGCTAGAAAACAGTCGCTATAGGCCCGTAGACGAACGAAGTATTTAGCCCGGGCGACTCATTTATGTTTGCCGCAACGGGGCCGGACCGTAGCGGATCCGAGGAAAAATGTACACCGACATTTCTCGGACGGGGCACGGACGCGTTCTGGCGAAGCTCGGCCCGTGCTCGGCTTAGCATGAATGCATAAGGATAAATAACATTTGACAATGTTTGGCCGTGCCTTCACCGTCGCACGGCCCCGGCCCGTCACGGTGTACCATGAATCAGCCTTTAGCGTATACCCGTCCGCCGGATAAAAAGCAGGCGAAAAAATGCGCTAAAATAAAAATAGGTCGATATGTGATAAGAATGTTTCAGAATTTGTATTTATTCGTGTTTTAATAGCCAAAACGAATACGTAGATTCTCGCGACAGTTCTCGTGTAAAATTTATTTTTTAAGTAAAATAATGGATGTTTATGAAGTTCGTGAGAAAATTCAAATTGTAAAATGGTATTTCCAAAATACGTCTTATCGGGATATACAAACCATTTTTCCACAAACTTATGTAAACAGGCCAATTCCATCTTTATCTACTATATCAAGTGTTATTAATAATTTTGAAACACATGGGTGCGTGTCCCGACAAAAACACAAAAAGCCTGATGTGTTGATTAATGAAGAACAGGAGTTAAAGCAAGTGTTCGTTTGTGCTACCGCGGATCAAAATCCCACGTTTTCAAGTAATCAAATTGTTGAGATGGTTGCCCTGCCCATTAATGCCCGTATTGTTCAAGAATATTTGAACAATACTTTTCCCAAACCGTTTAATTAGTGGACATGGAACTATTTTGTGGCCCGCTAGATCACCAGATCTTTCTCCCAATGATTTCTTTTTTGTGGGTTATGTAAAATCCAAAGTGTATGGTCATAATGGGGCTAATAATCTGGATGAGCTTCAAGTAAAAATACGAGAGGCTTTCCAAACTATTAGCCCTAATATGTTAGCCACTGACAGACGGGGATTTTACGACCGCCTAGGCTTCTGTCTAGCACAAGAAGGTGGTCTTTTTGAACACTTGTTATAACTTTTTTTTATTTAGAGTAATATTATAGTTTTTTTTTGGGTTTAGAGAATTTATTTATTTTTAGTTTTGGCTTGTAAACACACTCAAATAATAAATATTTAAGTATTTTTATTTTAAATGTTACCTTAAGTGAAGGTAAACACTTAAAATGAAAATAATAAATACTCGGCACTCGCGCCATATTCCTAGTCTGTCACGACCGACCCGTCCAAGCACAACTGCAACTGCGTACTGCCTGACCAGCCGACTAGCCGGCAGTGAATCTCGAGTACGAACGCAAAACGGGTAAACGTAAATTCGTCCGGCAACTTGCTATGTTACTATTAGCCTGGTCTTCTCTGTATAAGCTATACCAAATAAACTTTTACGGCCGTATTCATAGTCGAGCGCCAGCCGCCCGCCAAAAAGAAGCGCTCGCCGAAGATTTCTCCGGCGAGCGCTTCGATATCGGGAGAGAAAAAAAGCTCTTTCATAGTCGGCCGCCAGCGCACCGCTGGCTTATTACGTTGATAAATTTTTATAGACCTTAACCTTAACCTATTGGTGCTGTGTTAAGGATTTTAAAATTATTTTAAGGGAAAATATGACCAGAGTAGAAGTAATTTATATTTTTAAATTGGCTCTATTTTTGTTTTGTGTAGATGACTGATGTTTTGTGAATTTGGTATATTTTTTCCATCAGTTTGTGTAAATTACAAAGAGAATTAATGTAATAAACGAAAAAACAATAGGAAAAATAAAAAATTATAAACATAACAAAAACAAAACGATAAAACATTTAAATGGTCAAATAGACGGACGAAATTCATATGCCTCAAATATAATGAATAATGGCCTCAAAAATACGTATGTCATCGTTCTCGTCGATTTCTGCATTTAATTGTACATTTAATCGTCACAATATTATAAATATCCATAATTAATTCAGTTTGTTTGGTGCTTCTTTCAACTAGAGAAATAAAGCAAACTAAACTGGCGGGCCGCCCGGAGATGGTAAGGACATGCTCCAGTCGCCGCACTAAGGGGTATTTAACCCAAAAAGTTGGCCAATATTCAAAAATCTAAATTCAAGATATCAACCAACCGATACCAGGAATTATTTGTATAAACATGAATGTATTCGAGGGTAGGTGGTAGGGGTCAATGTCCCCCCGTGTTACAATCCGCGCCAATCACAAATTGTTCTTTTCGAATAGACGGGCTGTGTATCGCTGTGCTTTTACAAAATTTACTTAACAATAATTATCTTAGTTTTTCTTACTAATCGCGATTTTTTATTGATCTTATATTAGTTTGGAGTATAATATGGGAGTATTACTCTTTAGTATAACTGTTATTTTGTAGTTAGAACAATATTAATCTGCTAGTTCAATAATAGACATATTATTTCATTTATAACAGAATGTTTATGTAAACTTTCAGTATGTAATCGAACCTTATCAAGTATATCAATCTGGCTGGTTTTGTAGCTTAAGTATTCCTTTAGAAGACCTTGATAAGAAATTTTGCTAATTTTTGCGAGTTTGGCAGTTACAATTTTTTTAATCGAATAAAAATGTAGTGTTTTTCACTTTCAACACCCTGTATCTTAGAAACAATGCATTTCTGGACCTATGTTTATGGGAACTTTTCTCCATAAAATGACCTGAGGAAGCACTCCCTCGAGTATTGACATGTTATTGTCAATACTCGAGGGAGTCTCGACTTAATCTTGTCAATAAAAAAACGCTAGGTATGTATTAAAATTTGAAGCAATTTCTTTATTTTCTCACGTTTTAAAACGCGGAAGAATGCAAAAAAAAAAAAATATTATTGGCCAGGTTTTGAGGTAAAATACCCCATAGTGCGCCGGCCGAAAATCACCCGGATGGGGTTTAAACTGCGCAAGTGTTCTTCGCCTGGAGATCGACTATGAAACGGAAAAGAAATGCTTATCCAACCGCCCGCCGGCGAGCGAGCGGTTACTCTATATGACGGATGTGCGCACGCGTTACTCGGAGAGTGCTCGACTCTGAAATAAGAACGAAGAATTTCGGGAAAGCTCCCGCCAGAGGGCGGCTGGCGATCGACTATGAATACGGCCGTTAGTCACGTGATTAAGCTTGACCGGCACAGCGTTGCCCACTTTTACATATTCTCTTTTAATCAAAATATTTTAGGAAACTAAAATAAATTAATTATAATATAAACAGTTATTATCTACATCAACAAAACTTACCTTCTTAACAGCACTTAAGGGACATAAAGGTTCATTGGTATCGCTTTCCCATTCAAAATATTCTAATAAGGTTGCGATGAGAGTTTTTTGGAATGGCTATTAAGCTGTCTTGTATACTTCGCACTAAAAGAGGTTCTAAAAAGAGTAATGTTCGACTGCAAGGTCTGCTAGTAAAATTTTTTAAGCTTAAAGTATCACAACACAATTCGTTTAAACCAAAAACTCGTAATACAAAACTAAAGTGTCAAAACGAATGACAATGTCAGAAAATAAATAAATAAATATGGCAACTGGACGTTTTTTACAGTAGAAATTAAAAATTTAATTGGTATCGCGCTTATATAAAACTTTTTTCATATCTTTATCAACAACGACGATATTGGACTTCCTAGTACTAATATGACCCACCCTGTATTTTTAGATGAAGAATTAAACATCCACTATGTGGAACTGCAAAACCTGAAAAAGCTAAAGACTTTAGGTAGGGGTGGCTTTGGAAAAGTAGTACTGGTACAAGACAGACAGAACAAGGAGAATTTATATGCCCTAAAGTATTTGGCTAAGCATGAGATTGTGGGTAAAAGCCAGAGGGATCAGGTTAGAGAGATATGAATTAAAACTAATTTCATAAATATAGAGGGTGTTTCAGAAAACATGTACCATCCCTCCTGGGGAGATTCCTCACGTAAAAATAAGATTTATTTTTTATATCAACATAGGTCCGATTCTGTCTTATTTCGTAGTTACAGGGTGTTAAAGTCTTCATTTCTTTTTCGATTTATTATAATTTTCTTCCTTATAAGTGCGACAAATTTTAATGCTAAAAAGTGTCAACATATTCACTAGAGACGTGCATATGAGTTAGTATCACTGGAATATTTGTCTCAAAATAACACGTGCGCCACTGACTTTTTTCCTCTTGCAAAGGTGTGTAGTTTATTTAATGCTGTTTGGAAGTAGTATCGTGCTTAAGATAAGGCCTATTTTTTAAAAGTTTTAGCATCCTATAACTTTAAAAATATGCATTTCCGCACGCAATTAATATAAACATGTTCTCATATTTTTTGATTATTTAAAGAAAAATACTATTTACAGAATAATTACATGTTCCTAATATTTCTTTTTCTTTTTTTATGTTTTTTAGGTTTATAATGAAAAACACCTTCAAATACAATGCGACAATAACTTCATAGTAAAACTCTATCAAACCTTTAAAGACTCAAAATATATTTATTTCTTGCAAGAACCATGCATGGGAGGTGATCTTTGGAATCTCTTACGGCGTCAAAAAAAGAAATGCTTCGAGAGTGACACCGCAAAATTTTATTCAGGTACAAAATAAGTAGGGGAAAGTCTCTCCCCTTATACAGGGTGGCCCGAACTGTATTCCGGAAACTTCGGCAGCATAAAACTAAGTAAAAAAGTTCGTGTACATGTATGTCCTAAAATGCTTAGTTTCGGTGATACAGGGTGTAGAAGTTTCATTTTTATTTCGATTTTTTCCAAATAATTTCAGAAGTAACGTCAATATTTGGATGAAAATTGGTATCTGGGAGTTTTTTAACATGAGAAATTTGATTTTGCTGTCAATATGGCTCCTATTTGTAGGGGGCGCCACCTACGTGTGTTTAAACTGTTTTGAAGCGTAATAACATTTTGTCCGTACCTGTATAAAAACTACTGAGGGAAAAATACATCTCTGTAACTTTTAGCGCAAAAAATATCTCTATATAAGAATCGTTACGAGCAACCGTTCTCGAGATATTTAGAATGTAAATAGTCAATCCATGTCATTATTGACGAAAAATAAACACGTTGAGAGTAGATAGTTATTTCACTGAAATAATAAATTTGGAAAATTTTTATTTTTTTAAATTAATCGTAAAATTTTATGCAAAAGAAAATGATAATTAAACAGTTTCTGTTGAACTTTTGGCACAAAAACATTTCAAATTTATGGTTTCAGTCTAATAACTATTGAGTCAACATGTTAGAGAAATGAAATTTCTACACCCTGTATCTTCAAAACTAAGTACATATATGTATATTATAAACTAAGTATAGTCTTCGAAACTATGTGCTAATACACTTATAAGGACTTTTTTACTTATTTTTATCTACAGAATATGTTGCTGAAGTTTCCGGAATACAGTTCGAATCAGAATATAGCTGCTGTGTTTTTACTACGAAAGACTATAAACTGATATTTCATCTTTTTAAGCTGTAAACGAATAAAATAACGTGTAATTTTTAGAACCATTACTCTTAGCGATTTTTATCAAGAGACGTTTTTTTACGTAAAAAACGTCGTAAATGTATATTTTTAGGTACGGACGAAAAGTTATTACTCTTCAAACCAGTTAAAAAATATGTAGGTCGCGCCCTCTACTAGTAGGAGTCATATTGACATCAAAATCAAATATCTCATGTCAAAAAACTCCCAGACACCAATTTTCATTCAAATATTGGAAAAAAAATCGAAATAAAAATGAAACTTGTACACCCTGTATCTCAGAAACTAAGCATTTCAGGACATACATTTATACGAACTTTTTTACTTATTTTTATCTGCAAAATACGCTGCCAAAGTTTCCGAAATACAGTTCGGACCACCCTGTATAGTGTTTTTACTTTTATACAGAATTTTTAAAAATGCCAATTCTGATGTTAGGCTAGTAAGCTTACCTCATCACCCAAAATCCCCATTAGTTATTATAAAGGTGATTTCGTTTAATGCGACCAGGGTTCGGAAAACTACATGTTACTTTTAAAAACTACATAAACTACATTACATGTAGTTAATGTAGTTTATGTAGAGGGTGTAGTTTATGTAACCTATGTATGTAACTTTCAAATTTCAAAGGTTTGAGGTGAGGTTATAATAAGTTGAAGCTTTAAAAACACATAATGTATTTAAGAAAACAGAAGAAATATGGCTTTAAATATAATATTTACATCATATTATTACATCTCATACAGAGGAAAATTATTCATAATATCAATACATAGTTTATTAACGTAGTTTTCATGTAGTTAATGAACGGGAAAAGAGGTAGTTTTTGAAGAAAAACTACACGTAGTTAATCAGGTAAATTACGTCTTAATTAACTACTTCCGAACCCTGAATGCGACCCCTAACTTTCCCTTCTCCTTTCTCCAAGTGTTTTCCATCTTCCTCGCTTTTTATTTTCCTTGCCACCCAGTATATTTTATAAATAATTTTTTTTTTATAAATATTTTCCAGCCTGTGTAGTAGAAGCTTTCGGGTATCTCCATTCCAAAGACATAGTTTACAGAGACCTTAAACCAGAAAACGTTATGGTCTGTTCGAACGGTTACATCAAACTGACTGACTTCGGTTTCGCCAAAAAGATACCCAATCAGGATCACGCCGTGAGTTTTGTAGGCACAGCGGAGTACATATCGCCAGAAATAATCCTCAGTAAACCCCACGACAAAGGCGTAGACTACTGGGCTTTGGGGATATTTATTTATGAAATGCTTGTAGGGTATACGCCCTTCAAGAACAGCGATCACAACGACGAAAAGACCTACAAAGCGATACTTAAAGGGATAGATTTTGCGACGTTTCCTGCAATTATATCGCCTAGGGCAAGAAACTTGATCAAAAAACTTTGTAGGCCATTATCGATAGATCGGATTGGTTGCCAGAAAAATGGAGTAGATGACATAAGAATTCATCCCTGGTTTTCTAAGGTTGACTGGGAGAAATTGGGGAACTTGGAGGTGGAACCTCCAATTTTGATATGTTTGAATGGCAAAAGTGATACTAGATATTTCGATTATGTTAAGGATAAAGACCATGAAGTTGCTGTTGATGATTTCACGACGTGGGATAAAGATTTTTAAGTTATTTTTGTACAGTAATAAATCAAATAAGTTTATAAACTGTTTTTACTTTACCCTGTAACAGAGCTGCAAACTCACAGAAAATTTAAGTCTTTTTTTTATTTAAACCATTTTAATGACTTAAGTCATTTTTCGAAAGCTGACTTAAAATTTAAGTCTTTTTGAGAATGATTTGTGACTTAAATCTTTATTCCGAAACTAGCGTGTACCAGTGACTTCGTTCGCGTCGAATTAATCATTTGTAATGGTGATGATAAAGCAAAGCAAGAATTTCCGATAGCATACAAACTGGATAAAATTTTCTTGCATTTATGTCAGCATGAGAAAAAACAATATGGCGATATTATTATATAACTTGGTAATATTTGAGGGGTAATTTCATCTCGTTGGAATTTGAGTTTCGAAAAATCCGTTTGCTAAAAATAAGCTTTTTACGTCAAGCAGTTTAAGCAGAATCGTGGTTAAGAAATTCCCAACTTTTTGGAACACCCTGTATGATTTTTTAAAAAATTTCAAAATATGTAAAAAAAACAAATAAATTATGCTTGTTCAAGCGTTTTCCCGAAAGACTAATCGTTTTTTAAATAACAAATATTGTAATATTTGAGGGGCATTTTCACCCTCTTGGAATTTGAGATTCGAGAAACCCCCTTATCGAACCTCTACACCTACGTCAATCCGTTTGCCAAAAATCAGCCTTAAACGTCAAGCAGTTTAAGCAGAATAGTGATTACTCAAAGGTCATATTTTATGAAACACCCTGTATAATTTTTTAAAAAATCTTAAAATATGTAAAACAACAAAATAAAATATACGTGTTTAAGAGTTTTTCCGAAAAACTCACCGGTTTTTAAATAAAAAATATTCTAATATTTGAGGTGGGTTTCACCCCCTTAGAATTCGAGTTTCGAAAAATCCCTTCTTATCGAACCTCTACACCCTAAAGTCAATCCGTTTTCCAAAAATCAGCTTTTTACATCAAGCGCTTTAAGCAGGATCGTGAGTATACATTTTTAAAAAATCTTAAAATATGTAAAAAAGCAAAATAAAATATACGTGTTTAAGCGTTTTTTCGCAAGCTTGACAGTTTTTTAAATAAAAAAATATTGTAATATTTGAAGGTGGTTTCACCCCCTTAGAACTGGAATTTCGAAAATTCCCTTCTTATCGAACCTCTACAGTACATCTGCTTGATCTGTGTCTATGAAAGGAATGCGGACAAAAAACATTTAAATAAACAACAATATATTTTATACGTCGATTTGACGAGTGCGTCACCGCAAATCGCTCCGCCCACTCATTTTATTGGCTACTTGCAAATTTGTTGAATTTTTATTGATGGGACGCGTCGTCTATTTTTTTAGGAAAAACATCGAGAGAATATCGTTTCCCCTCTCACGGATACCCCGTAGCTACAGAACGGACAGACGTACTGTACACCCTAGAATCAACGTGTATGCCAAAATTGAGGTTCTTACCTTGAGTGGCTTGAGTAGGATCGTGATTAATCAGTGAGTCTTAAGATGAACTTAAGGATTTTATATATTAGTATAGATTTAATACCGATAGGTTTTCCAGCTCGCCACCAACACACATGTATCTTATCTTCTTCTTGTTTAGCTACAGTCCCAATTTTTCATATTCTATCAGTTTTCTAGTCATATATTCTATATATTCGGAATTTCGAAAAATCCCTTCTTATCGAACCTCTACACCCTAGAATCAACCTGTATGCCAAAATTGAGCTTCTTACATTGAGTGGTTTGAGCAGGATCGTGATTCAGTAGGTCAGTCACTTAAGGATTTTATATATTTAGTATAGAGAAAAAAGCATTTTCAGAATTACCTACTTTCATACATCTTATGAAATAAAACCTTGTGGTTTATTTGGTTAAATAAAAAATTGGCAATGTTATTTATACAAAATTTTATTCTTTCTCTCATGATGACAAAATAAGATGTCAAACCTGTCAATTAGGTACTTAAACTATTTCAAAAATAAATTGAAACAATCTGAATCATAAAAAGTTCCAAGTAATTCTAAAATAATCCTCTTACTAAATTCTATATTTCAGATTCCAATATAAAAACTAGAAAACAAGTGATACAACATTTTATTTTACTTATTGAATGTAACCAAGCAGCTTAAACCTATATCATAATTATATTTTTTACAGTTACATAAATCAACTTATTTAATTTAGTATCCCCTGGGTGGTGGTCCCCCTCTCATCATACCAGGTGGGGGACCTCTCATTCCCATTGGTGGTGGACCCCCCCTGCCCATACCCATAGCGTTAGGTGGCATCATGCCTGGTGGGGGACCCCCCATCATGCCGGGTGGTGGAATACCCATTCTAGGTGGGCCGTGATTCATTTGAGGTGGCGCTGATACTTGACCTACAATACCATTTCATTATTTTTATTACTGATTAATATTACTAAATTAACGTACTCATTATAATAACTAATACAATTAAGTATGTAATCAGTTAATGTTTGGGCAGAAATAATGGCGGTATATTTTATTAGTATACTCTTTTACAAATATTTAAATAATTTTCTTTTTGTAAAGAAAATCTGATGCTTGCAAAATATACAAGGTGTTCCATTTAGGATAAACAAATTATTGCCCTTGAAAGCTAGTCATTTTTATAGTAGATTTTTAAACACCCTTTCTTATTGTAATAATTCACAATATTAAGTAAATAAAAAAATCAGTACATATTTGGTTAAAAAAAAACTTAAATACACGTAAAGAAATAATGCATTAAAATTGCTACTATATTTTCGCAAAATTGTAAATATTTCAAAAATGTTATGATTTAATTGAGGTAAAACTTAATCAAATTTACCTTTATTAAAGTAGACACCATGTAGAAACTAAAGAAATACAACTTTAATCTTGTTTATTTATTTGGGACACTCTGTACCTTATAAAAATACTTTTAAATTGTAGCTCCAGTAGTCTTCAACCACTCCACCACTCACAATTTTTAAAAATCTAATTACTTTACCCAAAACTCTGTGTCGAATAACATAAATAATCATGTATATAACTTAATAGACTAAATGTTCACTTACCTCTTCCTCCCGGAGTCATTACTTGCTGCGAGGGTCCACCGACACCCCTAACAGGCCCTTGAAGCCCTACAGGGACTCCGCTCATGCCTGCAGGCATACCACGGCCGGCTGCTCTCCCCATTCCTTTTGATTAATAAGAAAACAGAAATTAAAAATAACAAAACGCTATTTTAAATGAAATTTACCTGGTCCAGGAGTTGCTCCAGGAATCGGTACTCTTGGCAAACCTTCCTCGGGTGGAGGTGGGCCTTCTACGGTCAAGGAAACAATGCTTTCCCCTCGAAGAAGTACGAACCCTAGTACTCTCTTCTCTTCCCGTTCTACTTTGGAGTTTTTCGGTTTTACTTTGCGAAACTCCTCGCAATCTCCCAAAATCATGTTCATATGTTTGTCGAAGGCTTTGAAAGTACCGATAAACGTCCGAGAGTCCTGAAGCGTAATTCGAACGCGGTAGTTGATGTGCTGGATCATCTTATTGTTTTTGCCGATCGTCTGAAATTTTATGGATATTGTTAATACGCAATGCGGAGTTCTTAAAATTAATTGTACTTACCATTTTGAATAAATTGTATCTATTAATTTCAAGCCAAAATAAATTAAAATTAAGGTGATATTGTCGTCGGTAACCTCAAAAAATGTCGGCGGCTTCGGTTTCTGTCGAAAACGCTTTTTTGACATTGACACTTACCAACTTACCATAGATGAAAACTGTAATATTACAGAATTTAAATGAAAATTTCTAGCTTCTTCTTCTACTACCGTCCACCAGATGGCCAGAACCCCGACAAAATTAATTTAAATATATTTCCTGAAAAGTTCAGATATTTTCATCCATTGTTAATACATTTTTAACGATAAATAACAACTCATATTGTTTCCACACGTTTAGACAGAATCCCCGGAAGTAGGGTTATCTCTCCATGGGATTCCCTTAAAATTACTAATATTTCAAATAACTGTGAGACATATAAAAGAATATTAAATTATCTTTAAACGACAAGTATAATTTTAGTTATTTCACATCTTTTCTAATACTTTTTAACTTAATTTTTATGTATTTTAGGGCAAAATTATTAATTACAGAATGAGTTTCAAATTATTAATAAATAAAAAACATTTTTATTTAAAGTTTCTTTTATTTTTTCTTCAATATATCAATAAAAGGCAGTTTTAGTTAGAGTCAGTCATTATGTAGTATAAACATATACAATACTAACCTCATATTAATACAATAAAAATATAGAAAATATTGTGAAGTTCACGTTCACTCCTCTCTTGCAATGAAAATTTTTTTCTTACAATATAAATGACTTTAAAGACAAAAAAGGCTATATTTGTTATTATATTTTATCTAAAATCTGTTATTGGCACACGCAGTCCTACTAAATTAAGTAACAACTAAATTTTTATTAATAACAATTTTTTTGTATCACACATTTCATATTTTATATTATAAAAAAACATTTTCTTTTAAATTAATCATAATAACCAATATAAACTAATAACGTAATCGTATTTCGAACGATATACTCGTATAGCCTTAAGATAGTTTTAAAATCTAAAAAAAAGATTATTTATAACAAAAACAAAATAAATAAAACAAAACAATTTCACTAATAGATGTAAGCGTACAAATATGTGTATTCTATTGGCTAATTTAAATAACTAAGAAAAAATAGGTAGGTATAAATATTTCGATTTGTAAAATTAAATACTATATTATTTATTTTTTCATTAAGAATTTTTTTTAAAGACAAGTAGCTACAGTCTACAGAGTCTACAGTAATCCCTTATTATAGGCTTGATGCATTCTCCGCCGCTGCTGCCACCATCGGAGATTATCGCAAACAACCGGCATATACAAATACAAGGATTTAAATAGCGACTATACGAAAAATTTATTATTTAATTATTCTAAAAATGTTAGGAAGTATAATTTGTAAAAATTGTAAAAAAAAATAAAAAAGTAAATATTTTGATATATTCAGAAGGTCTAACTTGTATTATAATTTATTATTCCAGCTAAAACACTTTTTAGATGAGTTGAACTACGGTAGTGAACATAGTTTTACCACGTTTTACGCAGCGGTTTTGCTAGTGGGGTCACATAATTGTGGCTATTTCGGCTATAACAAATTTTTTTAAAGGTACAAAATTATAATTTTGAAGATGTTCATAAAAAATTTAAACACTTTTTGATTAAAACAAGTATACCATTAATATTGCAAATTATATTTTATTCTTTTATAGTATATCCCTATTTAATTTTTTGATTATATAATGGGCACTTTGTTTACTCAGTTTCTTTCGTCAAATTGCCTGAATCCATTTTTGCTTTTTACCAAATCGGTATGAGAAGCTGTGACGCTATAAAATGTTGTTTCGGGAGAGTTGAGTTATTGATGTCCACCGTTTGTATAAACTTTGTTTAAAGGCTAAACAGTGATTAACTATAATAAAATATTATATAATTAATCACTGTTTAGCCTTTAAATAAAGTTTATAGAAACGGTGCAAGTGGGCATGAATGTTATTGCACCCAACAACCATGTAATTACGCCCTCTTTTATGCGTTAACATTTTTTCGACAGTTTTATTAACGTATGAAATTCTCACAACACAACGGGACTACAACGGGAAGCCTAGTTTGAGTTCTTTTTCACTTAATTTTTAAAAGACCTTTGGTATTAGGAAGGCAATATAACAATACTAACACATTTGAGAAGTAGATATAATAAAGGATTACTGTAAATTCGTTTTAATGACAGTAACTACATTTCGGGTGGCATTTCACTCCATTGATGCCACATTTACAGCCGCCCGACGTATCGCCCTTGCCCGCAGGGCCCCACCTGGGTCCCCTCGTCACCCAGCATATTTCCGTTTTGCACATCGAACAGCGCAGCCAGTCACAGCCCCATTTTTTCATTAATATCACCTGTAGATACAAAAATTTCACTTTAATTAAGTATGGACAGGGTTGGGTAACGACGCGTAGAAAATTAATTTTCTAGGTGTATGTATGTAGAAAAGTGCGTAGAGAAATTAGAGAATGTAGAATATTACAGAATTAAAAAATTGTAAAGTTCTTACATTTGTACCAGCTCTGTTAATATTTTGCTGATATTTATTTATTCTTTCACCTCTTAATTAAATCTATTGCCTTTTTCAAAGGATACAAATTTTTAAAATAAAACTTTCGTAATTATAAATTGTATTATAAAAAGTATGGAACTGATACGGAACGGAAGCTTACGTATAGCGTTAATACAATAAAAAATACGGAACGGATATGGAATGGAAACGGAAGGTATAGTGAGAATGAACCTTTATACTGACTAATAAGTATACTAACTTTACACGTTGGGCAACCTATTGCCTCCCCTTTTTCAACCATTTCCTGTAAAAAATCTTTGGTTCTTTTAGCATCTTCGTCTATATCCGCTTCGTTCTGCATCCTCTCTTGATACTGTTTACAGTTCAGACCAATATGGATAGCCTGGAAAATAAATGACGCATTTTTTAAAGTTTATTAACAATACTGGTCTACTATTCAAGGATGGACGGTGGAATGAAGACCAAGACCTATGGCCTATAGAAGCAGAGGACGACCCCCTAGTCGATATACAGATGAAATTAAGAGAGTGGCTAGAAACTGGATTCAAGTGGCACAAGATAGAAAGAATGGAGAGTTGAGGGATGCTTTTGTTCAGCAGTGGATGGAATAAGCTAAACGATGGTGATGATGATGATGAATATGCCAAATACTAAGGTTTATAAAAAACTGAGTTTATACAGTTAATGTTGATAGATTTATAGAAAGATAGTTTGCTAAAAAATTCCTGAAAATCGGCCTAATAGTAAAAAAACATAACACTCTAAATTTGACGAAAAAAATTTCCGTTGCGTTTTTTTGCATCTGAATGTATAATCACAGATTAGGTATACTATAAGTATATAGATAAAATCTTGGCCCCGTGGTACGAAAGTTGTTTTTTATGACGATGAGCAAACGAGTAAAATTTCCTGTACGCAAAAATAAACTCGCGTTTAAACAGCGTAATAACTGGGCGCCGCGCCGGTCAGGCGCTGCGCACAATTTTAGAGGCCATAAGTGGGCGTGCTTATATGTGCGCAAACTAGTCACCTAACTAGTGCGCGACTCCGAAAATTGGAAGTTTATAATCTGTATAATCTGTGATATAATGTTGCTAAAGAGCTGTTCATAAATTAGAACTCATGCATGCATTAAATCAAAATTTATATAAATACGTACCTGACAAGTCAAACAGTTTGTTCGTCTACAGACGGGACATTTGAACTCGTTCACGTTGTCTTCGAATATACACCAGCCCTTACAGTCCGGTGTTTTACAATGGAAGGTCTTCTCCATCTTGTTTTCTGCCTGAGCTACAGACTTGGCCAGGTGCTGCTCGTAAATGTCAGCTGAAACTAGAGCCTTTATCTCTCTGTCTTGTAGCGCTATATTACAGGAATATTCCTCATCTCTAAAACAAATAAAAACAAGTTTTTAAATCTCACGGTATTAAAAAAATTAATAATAAAGTCTTATAGTATCATTATACTATACAGGGTGTTTCAAAAAACATGTGCCATTTTTCGTGGGGAGATTCCTCTCGTAAAATTATGATTTATTTTTCATATCAACCTAGGTCCGATTCTGCTTTGTTTCGTAGCTACAGGGTCTCATCTACAAGTCTCCATCTTTTTTCGATTTATTATAATTTTCTTCCTAAAATAGTGCTTTTAGCGATTCGATTGTAATTTTGAGGGTAAACATTACTATAAGTGCGATATATGTTAATACTAAAAAAGTGTTGATATTTTCACCAGGGACGTGCATATGAGTTATCACTGGAATATTTTTCTAAAAAAAATATGTGCGCCACTGACTTTTTTTTTGTTAGCAAAGTTGTGTAGATCGTTAAATGCTGATTAAAGTCTCATTTTGTTGTCATATTTTGTCGATTTCGGTCTGCTTGATGAGATAAATGCAATTTAATTAATAGGTATATGATATATCTTAAAATAGTTGAAGAATTTTGTAAAATCTATCAGAAAAATGATAATATATAGGGTGTCCCATTTAACCCTTTATTGGTTTATGTTACCATATGGTTCCAACAATTTTTACGACCCTTAATGGGCAAGATGTTAAAGGCATCAAATAAAATGTATTGTATGTGTGTAGTGGTTTTATTATTGATCACTGACTCCGTTACTATCATTTAAATGTCAGTGTCGTTCGGTTCTACGTTTTTACAGATTGTAACCAAATGGTAACAATGTCCAATAAAATAACAAAAAATGCAATTTTGGATAATAATAACTTTATTTTTTTAATTATTCAAATGAAAATTTTTGAAACAATTCCTGCTCTCTGTAAGACACAGTCTACAACCACATTTTTCGCACATCAGTCGGCTAGTACCCTTTACACAATGTCTGCATCTTCCCTTAGTCGTGTGTTTGGGCCAATGAGCAAAACCATCGGTTCTTGATGTAGAGTCTGGCCTTTCAACTACAGGTCGTTTTATACGCGAAATCTCGCTAGTTGTTGAATTTGATGGTCGTCCTTTTCTGGCTTCTTTCCCACATTTAGCTAAAGCAGCTGCAACTTGTAGCCTAAACTCCTTTAGTGGCATATGCTTTTGTTGTATAGCTGAGCAGTCAATTCTATAAAGAAGCCATGCATTCACAACACTTATATCTAATAAGTACGTGAATATACAGAAATACCAACGTTTTGCCTTATGCGGTGTTTTATAAAGCCCCATCAAAGCATTTGCTGTATCTACTCCTCCCATATGCCTGTTATATTTTTTTACTATAGATGGGCAAATAATATCTACTTTTGCCTTGGCAGTTTTGCTAAATCTTTTTACGGTTTCTGTTGGTTCTATACCATGAACAGTGCTTCCTAATAGAACAGGTTTATTATCTACCCACTTGACAATAATGAGACCTTTTGCAACATCAGCTTTGTAGTCGAATTGGCCTCTTCCTTGTTTCTGCAAGACCTTATCGGTTTCTATGGGACAACCAGCAATTCTATTTGAACGTAATGTTCCAAGGCTGCGTATATTCATTTTATCTCTAAGATAAATAAACAGCGGTAGACCAGCAAAATAGTTATCAAAAAAAAGTATTGAATTACAGGGATCATGCAAAGATTTTGACAAGGCTATGACGACTCCAGCTCCAACGCCCATTTCACGTTCTTCTGTACTCAATTCATTTATGGACCCTTCGAGATCATCAAATGTACCTGCGCCTTGGTATGGAATAAAATCTAGTATAAAGCCGGATACTCCAGCGATGAGAAAAAACTTGTATCCCCATTTGTGTGGCTTATTTTTGATATATTGTCGCAGATTTCCAGCGCGTGTACCTTTGTATGCAACCATTGTCTCTTCGATAGAGTAATTATTTTCAGTATGAAATGCTCGAAAATTTGCCCTTATTTTGTCAATCAACGGACGAATTTTGAAGTATCTGTCTGTTGTATTATTTTCGTTGATGTTTTCATTATTATTGAAATGTATTAGGCGCCTAAGACTTTTGAAACGCTTCACAGGCATTAGATTTGCGATTTGTTCAACTCTTGTGCCATTAGCCCAATAATCTTCATACGCGGGGAGACTTATTACGCCCATGTAAAGCAATATTGAAAGAAAATCTGTCATTTCTTTAGGATTAGAGTTGACACAAGTACCTGTTGCTTGTGTACTGTAAAGGTTTGTTTGATCAATAATGTCATTGATGACGTCCATGGAAAAGAGTTTCATGAAGTATTCAATTGGAGCTAAAACGTTGTCATTGATATTTGGCGTAAAAGGCGCAAAAGCACATGATTGTGGGAAGTCGTCTTTCGTCCAACTAAAGGATATGTGCGAAGATTTTTTCAACTTTTTGGCAACTGGCTCAGGCTGATTTTCGTCATTTTCTTTTTCCATATCAACATCGTCGTCAAAATCGAAATCAACATTGTCATTTTCAGCCAACTCTTGATCTAGATCATCTGCAATAACCTGGTGTAGAGTATGTACAATTTTAGAAAGGTAAACAATACCTAAAGCTGAATTTCCATTTTGTTTCATTCTATCTTGAATTTGCTTCAATGTCAAATTTTCTTCATCATCTGAAGAACCAGAACCGTCCGAAACCTGAGGTGGGGGTGGCAGAATAAACTTCTTTTTATAAAACGAAGTTGTCGCTATTGTATTCAGGAAATCCATAAATCTGAAATATAGAACAAAAAAATCAGGACAATGTAACCATATGGATACATTCTTATTCGAAACTCATTTCCACAAAAAGTAACAGGACTACTAAAAAATTGTTATTATTATCACTTACCTATTAGTTTTCACTAACACACATACAGAAAGTAAACCAATATGAAATTTTTATAATATTTTAAATTCAAGTTTTTTACCGGCGTTCACCTAACCTCATAAAATTACAGCGACACAGGTTGTGACGCGGCAGCTGTAAATGGAAATGGCGCTCTAAAATGATTTGCTTATAATTTCCCCCACTTCTATTAGAATGTAACCATACGGTAACTTTGTCTTGAGCTCGAAATTTAACAAGGCATTGTTAGAAACAGGGTTTGAAATTCAATGTAACCATATGGTTACATAGTCTATTAAGTGATACTAATTATTTTGAAATCTTGGCCGATAAAGGGTTAAAAAACTTAAGATTTTTTAATTTAACATAGTTGAAATTCATAAATATATTTTGTACACACTGTAGCATCTAACTAAAATATCTTTTACATTTGTTCAAAGAAATTGAAACATTACAAAAACTATTAATTTTAGGTATACAACACAATATTAAAAAGTCATAGAATTTTACGCTGAATCTAAAAATAAAATAAAAAATAGGGTGTTGAATTTAAAAAAAAACATATGTTATATCCGCCATACTTTTTTGAAGCACCCTGTATATTCTATAATAATTTCAAAATGTGTATCTTAATCTTCCCTATAACTTTCATATTTAACATTTTTTGTAAACCTCGAAACAAATGAGATAGTGGACTTTATCATTGACTCACCCTGTACATTTGTATAAAATAATTCTGGTGCTAAACTGTAAATATACAGGATGATAATTATTACACGTGGAAACTTCAAGTAATTCCTTAATTAGATTTTTTCTTTATTTTTATTTGAAAATTTTACAGCATTTGTCGATGTTAGTACTATACCCTTGTACCACTGATAAAAAAATCAATATACTAGATATTGCGTATATTCGATACCGATTAAACTTTTAGTTACGTAATCAATCCATGGACATATTCGGCGCCGGGCTGACTAACTGCAATTTAAATTTCCCACTGGTGTTTCAGGTGAAAAAGATATCAAGAAAAAAATATCAAGTTGCCAGATTTATTTATTTATTTCCTGACATTGTCATTCGTTTTGACACTTTAGTTGTGTACTACGAGTTTTTGGTTTAAATGAATTTTGTTGTGATACTTTAAGCTTAAACATTTTTACTAGCAGACTTTGCAGTCAAACATTGTTCTCTTGAGAACTTCTATTAGTGCGAAGTGTAAAAGGTAGCTTAATAGCCGTTGCAAGAAACTCATCGCAAGTTTATTAGAATATTTTGAACGGGAAAGCTGTAGTAATGCCCCTTTTATGTCCCTTAAGTACTGTTAAGAAGGTGAGTTTTGTTGATGTAAATAATAACTGTTTATATATTTATAATTAATTATTTTTGCTTCCTAAAATATTTTGATTAAAAGAAAATATGTAAAAGTAGGCAACACTGTGCCGGTCAAGCTTAATCACGTGACTAGAAGTTTATTTGATATGAACTAAACTAGTATATTTATTTTTTTTATGAGACAAATAATATTATCTAATTTTTTAAAAATTAGTAAAAATAGCCTGTAGTAAAAAAAGAAATTTGGTCAATTCTAAATTGATAATTTTCTATAAAACGCATTATAACAACACTCACCTGTAAGGACACTTCACTTCCGCATCCTCCGCAAACTCCACAGTCCTCGAAAGACACTCCCTACAAAACTGGTGCAAACACTCCCTCAAAGTCACCCCCTGCTTTGCATCAACTTCCAAAAAACACACCACGCACTCGAAAGCATCCGCATTAGGCACCAAATCCGCATTATCCAGAGTAACTAACTGAAGATAAGTTTGCTCCTGAGGCTTTGGAGCAGGTTTTTTCTTGCTAGATCGCTTCAAGGTGGTTCTTTTGAGTCTCACTGTAGCACAAACCGCACAAACGTTACTGGAAACAGGATTGAGGAGGGTGCATAGATGACACTCCCATTCTTTTGGAGGTTTTAAGGTTTTAGAATCGTATTCTTCGAAGTCTTGCTCTTCTTTAGCTTTCGGAGCTTCCTTACTTTCAACTTTTGCATCTGTTTTACCTATGTCATCTAAGTTAGATAAATTCGGATAAATACTACTAGTTCTAGGAGACTTAGGTAAAGGATTAACATTAGTAGAAGTAGAAGTCCCGGTAACTTTTGAAGAAACGCCAGAAGATTTCGTTTCCTGTTGAGAGTTTTTAGAAACTTCAACAGAAATCTCCACAATTTTTTCACGTCCATTTTCAACACCGTTTGATAAAACTGCTTTTGAAGTTTTTGGTAAAACTTCGCGAGTAAATGTGGAGCTTTGTACAGTAATTGGAGGTGCTTGTAGAACTTTAACTTCAGATACTTTGGCTCTAACCAAACCGGTCTTTTCTTCTTTCACTCTTGAAGTTGGTATTTTTGAAACCTGAGGACGGATATCTACTTTGATTTCCGTGACCGAAACAGGTATTTGAGTAGATGTAGAGGTTTTTTTCTCATTAACATTAGAACTTGATTTTTTCTGAGTTTCTTTTTGTAAAGGTATAAGTTTTGCTGTTTCTACTCGGTCTGGGATTTTTTCGGTAACTTTTGGTATGACGTTTATTATTTTCGGTGCAACAAGTTTATGCTGAGTATCTTCAACATCTTTAATTTTCGAGTTTTCCTTGTTACTAAGAAGTACTGTTTTGATTTCTTCTGTATTCTTGTCTAGTTGGGTTACAGTGACTGGAATCTGAATATCGTTGATTTTTGCTGAGAGCCTGTTTTCATTTTTGGAGTTTTTGTAAATAATTTCTTTTGAAGTTGAAGCGTTAAGAGATTTTGGTGGATTTTGCTGATCTCCAGAGGCTTTCTTTTCTATTAAAAAATAAAAAACATATTTAGAATCGTATATAATTAATTAATGTCCATAAATACACTCACCAGCACGAAGACCGGGCACTAAAAACTAGTTTCAATTTCAAAGTTAGATTTCTCGTGAACCACTCATTAGATTTTGATTATTTTTTTTTAAATTGTAAATTAATTCCTTCTTGGATGCTACATTAGAAATTTTTATTCCGATTTTATTTTGAGCATATACAGGGCACAACAATAAAACGAAGTTTTTTACCCGAACTTTGTAACCCCCTGTAGGGTGCAGCAGCTGTAGTAACTATTGCTGAATCAAATCACATTGTAGCCTCATCTTTTGAGAGCGTTTTATTTTTTTAATCACGACATTATCTCTGTTTGTATTGGAGATACGCTGCTTTAAAACGAACGTCTCGGAAAGATGCTTCGCAGGCAAAACCGCGATTCCTCCTTGAAAAGGACTTTAATCCATTGCTCAATATCCCAATTCACATGTAAACGCGCAAACTAAAGACGTGCTCGACGATGTCTGGGAAATAGCTGGGGTCCTGTGGCAGGCCTCCTTGCAGACAAGCTGTTTTCTTTTAGTCTTCGTCGGATTGTTCTCTCACTGACTTGAGTTCTACGCACGGCTTGTAGCAGATGTTGATTCTGAAACGCTGTAATTCTATGATTTCGTAAAGTATTTAGGACAATAAAGCGGTCGTCAATTGCATTTGTCTTCTAGAACCCACTAGCCTGGTAAAATTTCCCGTTTTCATATTCCAGGCATCCTGGACTGTTGTTCGAGGTACATATTACCCAGGATATCGGACACACAACGTTGACTTCGGCCATCCTCAATTCAAGCCACAATACGAACCACATCCGTCACAGCTAATGGCATTTTTTAATTTGACAACCGTTGTTGTCATATTTGCAAATACTCATAAATCCGTTTTCTCCTATGTCGCCTTGATTATTCACACGTAAAACTTTCTGCCTGCGAAGCATTTTTCCGAGACGTCCGTTTTAAAGCAGCGTATCTCCAATACAAACAGAGATAATGTCATGATTAAAAAAGCAAAATGCTCACAAAAGATGAAGCTACAATGTGATTTGATTTAGCAATAGCTACTACAGCTGCTGCGTCCTACAGGGTGTTACAAATTTCGGTCAAAAAACTTCGTTTTATTGTTGTGCCCTGTATATGCTCAAAATAAATTTGGAATAAAAATTTCTGATGTAGAATCCATTAAGAAGAATTTAGTTTATAATTTAAAAAAAAATCGTCAAAATCTAACGAGTGGTTCGCGAAAAATCTAACTTCGAAATTGGGACTAGTTTTTAGTGGGCGTTTTTTTGCCGGTGAGTTTAGTTTAATATATTTTGTTTTGGTGGGCCGATTTTGATGATTTTTTGATCAGTATGTAGCTAAGTTATTTGACTTTTTAGTATCTCTTTCTAAATTAAAAATAAGAGTTCCCATGTGTCAATTATACGAAAGAAAAAATTTGTTGATATTTTAGTAAACTCAATCCTCTCGATTCGAAGTTCTCATACGAAGGTTTTTGGACGTCTAGCATATGAACTTGTCTCGAGGAAGCGACTACACTGTAGTTCGTGCATAGCTAAATCTGTTGGCAACATAATTTTGATTTCTATCATCTTCATTTAAAGCAACTTTTTGTTTTCCTTCGTATAATTGACAGATGGCAACTTTCTTTTTTAATTCAGAAAGAGATACTAAAAAGTCAAATAATTTAGCTACAAATTGCTTAAAAAATCATCAAAATCGGCCAACTTGAACAAAATATATTAAGCTTTAAAATGCATGAAAATTTTAATGCGTCAATTTTTCGTGTCTGCGAGTGAAAAAAATAATGAAAATAATTGATTTCAATACTATTAATTATTCGCCTGTATTCAGCTGAAATAAACAAAAAACTATAAATTCTATTTAAACTATTCGAAAATTTAATGAGGTTGAAATTTTCGTCGAGCCCATAAAAATAGAGACAAGGTTAGGCTAACGTTCGTTGGAAATGAAAATATACACCACAATCCGATACATTTCGAAAATAGCAGCCGGAAATGTTTTTTAGAAAAAGAAAAATATCTAAGTGTGTGCAATGGATGACGGTCACTGGACTCATATTCACATCACATCAGAGAAACTACCAGTCAACGAAAAGAGAAACAACAAAAACAGATTTATTTTTATTAGAGCATCAGTTAATTTTTCGTTCAGAGGAAATATATTTCAGTTTTGGGTTTCTTCTATTTATCTATGAGTTTGATTTTTCTGATGTTATTTTTTAAACAACTTAAAAATAAAGTCATAGTAGTAAATTTATTGAGTATCCATATATATTAGAAACACTAAAAGCTGAGATACTTTCTCTATCAATGTCAGCGGCTCCGTAACAAAGTAGATTAATAGTGTATTGTTTTATTAGGAGTAAAAATGACACTTTTTGTGGCGAGGCTGTACGTTTGGTAACTGATATACAGGCGAGCCACAAAAATTCATTTTTACTCCGAATAGAACATGCTATTTTTTTTCAAACGCCACAAATAATTTTTTAAACAATTTCAAACGTTCCAAATAATGTAAAAAGATTTAAAAATCATACCTTGAATGTAATTATATCGAGAAATTATGGTTCCGCTCGTTGAATTTGACACTTTATGTCAGTTTAATAGTATATATTTTCGTACTTTTAAGCTACACGCACACTAGTGCGATCACGGCCGCGATCACGATCGCGATCAGGACAGCGATAACATGAGCGATCATTCTAGCACACACCAACGCGTTCACGTTTACCGCTGTACCTATATGTAGTGCGCCATCCTGTAGGTATACATAGGTACAAATTAAAAATGTGAATTATGTATACCGAAAAAAAAAACATTCTTAAATATTTACCTATATACAATATTTAAACTAAAACAATAAAAATGTATACATTTGTACTATCCAATCCAATTGGAACTCCAATTTTGTCCCAAACTTTTTATTTTTAATTCTATTATTTATGTAACTTGGATCGGATAAATCATATAGAATTTTGCGTATTTTTACAGCCTTAATTAGCTGCTCTGTTAACTCCATTTCTAAATTGCAACAAAAAAAAACACACAAAATAACGGAAAATTCCTATCAGTTGGGTCGCGATCACGCGATCAACTCGACAAGTTGAATCTAATCGCCACCGCCGCGCCGCTCCATCTCCAAAACTCGATCGCGCTAATGTGAAAAGGCTCATATGCAAAGATATTTAAATTTAAACTCAACTCTTTGTTGTCATAAAGGATAAGTCAACGATATACAGGCTGGTCCAAATTATACCAGATCCAAATTATACTAGTCCAAAAACTACAACCTAAGGGCTCGAACTCACTGACGACCAGGTCGCAACGACCTGGCCGTCTGCTGGCCGGATGTATTGCGTTTTTAGCTGCGGCCAGATGAACGACCAGTTTCAACAGAGTTGTCAAATCTAACGATTTTTTACGTTTTACCAATTAGAAAATATTGTTTCAGAAATGTTTAAATATCCGAGTTAACTAAAAAGCGAAGTTGCTATTCACAACAAACAAAAAGCATTGTGTACGCGCGACCGACAAAAAGGGAGATATTCTGTTTCTTTTTTCTACTGATATGGCGCCCTTATCGACTTTAGAAGTAAACATATTAGGGTCATCGTAAAAAAAGATCGTCAGACACTGGCTCTAAATATAAACAGGTAGAAAGTTTAGCTTCCAGTTATTTCAATGTTTATAATATAACGAAGAATCTACAACAGTAATTACTTCTATTTTTATGAATGTTTAAGTTACTTTCTTAATTTTTTTTTCGAAATAATGTACCTAGTAGAAATATAGTCTAATGAACCCTGTTTGAAAAACGTTAAATTAAATATCATATTTAAAATACAGTTGTCCTCCTTGTATATGACTACAATACAACTAAAAAAACTAATTTAATAAAAAAAAACAAGTGGTTGTAGAAAAACTTTAAATATATATTTTTTTTAGTTTTTTAAACATCGTAACTCAAAGGTATAATAACAGGTATCATACTAACCATAAATAGAGTGGGTATGTCATATAAAAATGTTTTGAGTTTTTACTAGAATCGACCCTTGATAAAAAAAAAGGGATTAGATTTAAGTTTACCTTTGATCCAGTCTGTATACTATTTCTTTGGATTTTCTGCACGGGTGCAAAATCTACACTAAAACACTATATCTTATAGACAATAAGATATTGTGCCTTGAATTTGAGGGATTTCATCTGAAAAATTATTAATTTGGAAGAAAACCGGCAACAAGCGGCAGAAAATAATAATATTTCCGTGCAGTCTTCTGGTCGCAACGACCAACGGACGGCCAGGACGTTAGTGAGCGCTATATCATTTGATTTAATGGTTTTAGAGGTAGCTGCGGCCTGGCCGGAGCGACCTGGTCGTCAGTGTGTTCGAGCCCTAACCGAGTTTAAATATCTTTGCTCATATATATTCTTCAGCAACTTTTGGCCGCGGCCGCGTGGAGATCGTGATCGCGGCCGTGATCGCACCAGTGTGCGTATATATTATTTAAACCTGTAACTAACTTTTTTAAGCCATAACTCACTTACCAGGTTTAACTAGATATAGAAACACTGGACATCCTTCAGTTATATGATGGTCCTTAAGCGTTGCACTGTCATTGGTAACCAGTTCTTTTCCCAAGATCCATCGCTGGACGTCTACTGGAATTTCAAATTCCCGAAATATCTGTTCCTTTAGGTCTAACACTGTTTGAGATTCTTGTACGTCTATGGGAAACGGTCCTCTGTGAGACACTTTATCTTCCACATACATTTCTATTCTGAAAATATTAGCAAAATTGTATATATTAGAAAAATATTATCAAATTTTAATAAGAGAGTTATAACAATATACTTAAAATTAGTGATAAATTAAATTTAGTTATGCATTTAGCTTCAGACATACATTCGATACCAATTAAACTTTTAGTTGCGTAATCGAAGGCGCGATTGTTAAATTCATTGTTGCCAACCATGAACATATTTGGCGCCAGGCTGACTAACTGGAATTTAAATTTCCCGCTGGGGATTCAGGTGGTAGCTCTGCTGTAAAAAATGTCAAGTTGCCGCATTTATTTATTTATTTCCTGACATTGTCATCAGAGTTTAGAAAACTACATGTTACTCTTAAAAACTTTACCTAAACTAACTTATGTAGAGGGTGTAGTTTATGTAACTTATGTATGTAACTTTTAAACATCAAAGGTTTGAGGTGAGGTTATAATAAGTTGAAGTTTTAGAAAACACATAATGTGCTTTAATGTTTTGAGTTTTCGTATTTTATAATAATTTTAATATATTGTGTTATCCATTAAATTCTTTTTTTTGTAAATTTATAATTCTTTAATTAAATAAAAAGCCTATGCATTTTTATTTACATGTTTCTATCAAAATGAACATTTTTATTTAGAGGATGTTTTTTTATCATAATATCAATACATAGTTTATCAACGTAGTTATCATGTAGGTAATAAACAGGAAAAGACGTAGTTTTTGAAGAAAAACTACACGTAGTTTATCAGGTAAATTACGCCTTAATTAACTACTTCCGAACCCTGATTGTCATTCGTTTTGACACTTTAGTTTTGTTTTTGGTTTAAATGAATTGTATTGTGATACTTTAAGCTTAAAAATGTTTACTAGCAAACCTAGCAGTCGAACATTGTTTTTTTTAAACCTCTTTTACTGCTAAGTGTACAGGGTGTCCCATTTTAGTTGAAATCATACGGTATCTCCGTTATTAGTTAAGATAGGGGGATGCGGTTTCCACAAACCTGTCCCACTTTTTTGTCAAACGGAAGATGCTTTCAACAAAATGTTCATAGCCCTCGTCGTTTCTGAGCTACAGGGTCTTTTCGAAAATTTTGGAATTTGGGACAGTCCCCGTATCTCCGTTATTATGGATGATATCGAGAAGGTGAAAACTGATTCTTGTAGAACTATTTACGTAGAATACAGTGACGTAGTCTGTTTTTCTACGAAAAAAATATTTTTGAAGATATGAACTAAAGTTATGTTTTTTCAAATAGAATACCCTGTATATTTATAAATCATATGATCCGCCTTGCTATGAGCTTCTCAAAAATATATATCACTCTATATTTATTTTCACTATTTATTGTAATATTTAAAATATACCATTTTCTTATTAGTAGGCCGTGATATATAACAAAAATCCAAAATGGTATTTACCAAAATAGTCATTCAAATATTAAAATTTTATTTGGAATTGATATAGGTTACTTTTGAACTGTTACCCCTGAATCTCTGAATATATTTTTCTTTTTCTATAACGGAATTTATTATAACGAGATGGTGGGATGGGTTTGCAAATATTTAAAAGCTTGCATTATTAAAGCATTTTCCAGGTGTTCGACATTGAGTTAGTTGCCACGATATATTTCATATTTCCAAAATCCCCAAAATCATAAATCGAGAACGGACAAATCCGGGAATAAGGGAGGCTATCATATGGATCCATTGGTTTCAATTCATTGATTTGAGAAATAATGATTTAACAAAATTCTAATATTTTCGTTGTAAGTTTAAGTGTGAGGGGGAGCCCCATCTTGCTGATAGTACCTATATTTCACGTAAATAGCTAGGAATATTTAAAAGTCCTGATACGATAGCTTCCAAGATTTACAAACAGCGGTAGAGAGTTTAGTTTCCTTAATATATAAAGAATTTGTTAGTGGCTCCCAAAATAAAACAAGAAACAGATAGCAGTATACTTTTAATAATTCTTTAGTTTCTTTTATTATCAATCATGGCCTGCTAATAAATTTGATGTTTTAATATTTTTTTTTAAATATTGCACTAAATAGTGAAAATAGATATAGAGTGATATATATTTTTGAAAAGCTTATGGCAAGCCAGATCATATAATTTATAAATATACAAGGTGTTCCATTTAAGAAAACATAACTTTAGTTTATATCTTTAAAAATATTCTTTTTATAGAATAACAGACTAAGCCACTGTATTCTACGTAAAAAGATCTACAATAAACAATTTTCACCTTCTCGATACCTTTAACAGTAACAGAGATACGGGGGTGACCAAAATTGCAAAATTTTCAAAAAGACCCTGTAGCTCAGAAACGAAGAGGGCTATGAAAATTTTGTTTACGGCATCTTTCGTTTGACAAAAAAGGGGGACAGGTTTGTGCAAACCGCATCCTTCTATCTTCACGAATAACGGAGATACCGTATGATTTCAACCAAAATGGGACACCCTATACAAGATAGCTTAGTAGCCGTTGCAAAAAACTCATCGCAACTTTATGAGAATATTTTGAACAGGAAAGCGGTAATAATGACCCTTTTTGTTGATGTAAATAATAACTGTTTATATATTTATAATTAATTTATTTTGGTTTCCTAAAATATTTTGATTAAAAGAAAATATGTAAAAGTAGGCAACGTTGTACCGTGTACCGGTAAAGCTTAATAAGGTGATTAAAAGTTTATTTGATATAAACTATAGGTATAAAAAACTGCTAGAAAACTAGATCCGCGGATTAGATCCACAGACCAAGTCCGAAAACCAAATCCGCAGAGCAAATCTTCTGGTTTAGGCTGGATTATTGTCTATATGGGTTCTGATCAAATCCTTTAACTTATTGCTACACAGGGTGTCCCACAAATAAGTGCAAGTATTTTTTTTAATTGGTAGTATAGTTTAACCCCAGAAACACGCCTATGAGGGTTTTTTCGCGAATTTTTTTTTGTAAATTCTTTTTTTTTTTGTTTTTAGTTAAAAAACATAATTCCTTGATAATATGGCAAGATAGGTATTAGATTAAATTTACAAGAAAGAAAATCCAGAAAAGGTCCAGTGGTTCTCAAAATTTTAGCAAAAAATCATTCTTTTAGAAATTTTCAAAGTAAAATAACTCTTAGTCTTATTTTAAAAACGAAAAAGAGAAAATATGTTTCTTTTATCGAGATCTACCACCCCTTAAAATACTTGCACTTATTTCTGGGACACCCTGTAGTAGGCTTTATTTTTAAATAAAATCTAAGCTTAACTTGAGATTCATTAGATGTAGGTACCCGAAAATTGTAATATCACTCGATATAAAATAATAGGTATTTACTGTCTAATAAAATCCATAATCTATTTGTTTTATTTCGAAAATCCGAAACGAACATCCAAATATTTCGACCACCCACAGATCTATTTTCGTGCGTCGTGTTAAAAAACTTGTAAAATTTTATTCCTAGACTATTATAAATAACTATTTAAAGTGTTTTTAACAGAACTATCAGAAAGTCTAAACAATGAAGTATTAAAAATATATTCACGGTTTTATAGTCAATTTTATAGCTGCCAAATTCACATCCTTCGCATGAAACTGGACAGGATGAGTCAACGTTAGAGTAAAGATCATTATCTCAATTTCCTACAAATTAAAATAAAATTCAGGTTTTCTTATGCTGCCGAAGTTTCCCGCTACAATTTGGACCACCCTGTATATCGTTGACTTGTCCTGTATGACAGAAAAAAAAAATAAGCGTGCAAGCATAAAAACTATATACTTACTGAAATCCTATTTTCTTTCCTGCATCCACTACAACCCCCTGAGGTTTTTGTCTAATAACTGAACAGTTAACTTTCAACTGAGCAAGTTCTTTCGCAAAAATGGCGGCTTCAGTCATATCTCCCTTGGCTATTGCACTTTCCAGTCTCCTCAAAAGTCTGTTAATTTCAATGGTGTCGGTGTTAAAGTTATTATTACTTTGCGTCAAGGAAGAAACACCATCTTTTTGATTATTTAGATTGTTCTTCAGGTTACTAATGTTCTTCGGAACGTTAAAAAACAAAGACAGTTCGTCGTTTTGAGCTAAATTCGCGTAAAGACGTGCAGCAGATTTTCCGTTTTTATCTGAATAAATATCTTCAAAATCCTGTACTTTCATTGGTTCGTATATGTTATTGGCTTTGTGATTTTCAATCAGCTTTTTGATACTAGATTCTGGCACAAGTTGTCTGACCACAGCGCTAGTTTGGGCTTCAGAAGAAACTTTGATAGGTTTAGGATTGCTAGTTTTTCTAACTTTGATGTTCTGGTAGATAGTTTTGGTAGTCCCGATAAGTATTTCCGCTACTTTTTCTTCTTGAGTTTTTTCAACTGGTTCTTCGTTAGTTTCTTCCTTTTCTTCCTCGATTTGTTTTATTTCTTTCTTTGTTTCTTCAATCGGATTTTCCATTATTATACTGCTTCGACTGTTTTGTTTCATCAAAATGTTGCTTTTCCTTTTCGGCAAGGAGTTCTTCATTTCGATCAGCATCTTCCTTAGTTTTTCACGCTCTTCTTTCTTGCTGGTTTCATCTACCTTGCAATCATCGTTATTTTCAAGCAGTTTCTTTTTGTTGGCGTTGTAGGTAGATAAAGCCGAGAATCCTATTTGAGTTTTGGATCGTTCGAAGATTTTTTCTTCTTTTTTCGTTGGTACAGGACTGGAAGCTTTTGTCTCGGGTGTTTTGTCAAAATCGTCAAAGTAAGGCTTAATAGCTGAGCAGACATGGCAGATAATCCTCCAGTATTCGTTTTCTAAGTTGCATTTGGGACATTTCCAGCTTTTTCTATCCATTTTTGGAGTTTCTGGCTTAGCACCTAACTTCACAGCACTGGCGCTTTCGGACTTCATCAACGGGGCAAATCTGTCTTCCTTTTTCTTGTCGATTTCTTCAATTCGTTTTTTGTGGTTCTGTAAAATCGCTTCTTGTCGCTGCTTGGTTTCGTCCAAACTTGTCTGTTTCCCAAAGTACTTATCTTTGTGTGATATTCCGAAAACTGTAGCTTTAGTCACGTTGGTGATAGCATTAAATTTTGCTATGAGATCTCTAGTTGATCGTCTTTTAGATGAAACTAAAGTATCGTTGGTCGGTTTGGTTTCTTTGGGTTTCATAAACTCAGGTATTTCGTTTAAGTTGTTTGTTGTTGAATCGGTTTTTTCTAATTCTGATTTCTGTTTAATTATTTCTGAAGCTTCGCGGTCTAGCTCACTGATGTTTGTTAAGAATGACATTCCGCTCCGTCTTTTGTCATCTTTCTTTTTGTCTTTTTCTGGGTTGGCTAAGGAATCTTCTAGTGTGAGATCTAAAGTGGAATTTCGCATATACTGCACCTCTGGAAGTCTGACAAATAAATAAAATAACAACATTTAGAAAATGATCTTAATAAAAAACCTGTAAATTCAAGTATATCCAATGTTCTTTAGTATACAGGGCGTTTCGAAAAACCTATGCCATTTCGCGTGGGGAGATTACTCACGTAAAAATACACTGAAAAAAATATATGTAATTTTACAAAAAAAAATATTGATACATTAGAGTATTTTTAGCCCATGGCCATCCTATATATCGATTTTTATTAAAATCGGTTGACTGAAATTTTGACATGTCATTAAACTGTCATTTTTTCAAGATGGCCGCCCATATATTTTTTTTCATATGTATATACCCACAATATACCTATATATACAGGGTGAGTTTCCTACGATGTTCTCTATGGGTATCTCGGAAACTACTGGAGATAGAGAGTCGGTTAAATGGGGAAAGAATTGCAGTTTTGTGGGGTCATAAATATGCGCCTTTCAGATTTTTGAAAAAGTTCATGGCTTACTAGATATTTCGAAAAAAACAAATTTTGGCTATTGGGGATCAGGTGTTTGGGCCGAGAGCTAATTACTCCGGAACCAATGGGCACTTACCTAGTATCCTACATACCCACAATATACGCTATCGAGAGAGGGGTACAACTTATCTTAGATAGGAACTATGGGAAACAAGAAATAAACTATCTGGATAGTAGAGCAGTCATTAAATGGCGATCAACTCAGAATCAATCAATTTTGTGGGGTCATAAGAATGCATAGAGATTTTGAAAAAATCATAGCTTACTAGATATTTCGAAAAAAAACAAATTTTGGCTATTTTGGGTGCCTGCCCGCCAATTCCATTATAATCTATTTGAAAAGCAATAAGTTTTCAGATAGGAAGTTGTAGATAACCACATCCCTAATGAGAACCGTGTTCTCCGACTTTTCTAAAGCCTCAAGGCGGAACTCACAACTTGACACAAATATATGTTTTATTAAATGGAAACCATAGTTGGCCATGACTTCATAAAAGAGCCATTTTTTAAGCTTTTCAGCGATATAGCTATGTTATGATTCAAGAAGGGGGACACAATGGATCTGTAAGGTCGAAGTGATTAACCCCCTCCCACTCATTCTTCTTCTTCTTCTTCTTCTTAGAGTATTTTTAGCCCATGGCCAAGTTATATATCGATTTTTATTAAAATCGGTTGACTGAAATTTTGACATGTCATTAAACTGTCATTTTTCAAGATGGCCGCCCATATATATTTTTTCATATGTATATAAGAAAAGCGTGTAGGATTATTGTTTCAATTTTTCTTGGCCATACAGTTTCGAAGATACGTTGGCCGTTGACCGGTGAACGTTACTTACGTTTTTTAGAGAACGGTTTTCAAAACATGTTAGAAAAGTTAAATTTAGATACTCGCGCATTAATAGAGTGGTTCCAACATAACTTTCATTATGACACACCAACCCCTCCCCCACAATGTAAGAAATGTTAAAAATTATTTTATTATCATAATTATATGTAGACTCAGGGATAGAAAGAGGTGAACCAATTGCATGGGTCTCCTCGGTCACTTGACCTATCCATTTTAGATTTTTTTTATGTGGTATGGGTAGTAACAAGGTACAAAAGAACTTATGAATTGAGAGAAGCACTCGAAGAGGCGAAACAGGAGAAGTTTAATTAAGTCGACCGGTCGTTCTGTGAGAATAGCTAGAAATTCATGTTAGAAAAGTTAAATTTAGATACTCATTAATTACATTAATAGAGTGATTCCAACATAACTTTGAATTGAGAGAAGCACTCCCAATGTAAGAAATGTTAAAAATTATTTTATTATCATAATTATATGTAGACTCAGGAATGTAGAAATTCAGTTTTAAAAAGATGCATTTATGTACTCAAAACAATTGCGGATTTTTTGAAAATTTTCTAAAATAACTTGTAGTGATATTATTTTTTTAAGTTTTAGTTTGTGTAACGCAAATTGTAAAGAGCCGTTTAATAATATATTTTGTCTTTTTATAAGTTATAAATCATAACAAAATTAGAACACTATTGAAAACCGTTCTCTAAAAAACGTAAGTAACTTTCACCGGTCAACGTATCCTCGAAACTGTATAGCCAAGAAAATTTGAACCAATAATCCTGCACGCTTTTCTTCATTTGAAAAATTTTTATTTACAATTTTTGTCTATTTTAATTTACAAAGTTCGGATGTGATAATTTCACATTTCTGAGAGCAATGATGATTCAACTTGTTTCCATGGCTAACTAAGTGAAATTAATCAAGAAAGATAAGAATTGGTTATAACTCAGTAATTTTGTAAAAGAAACATATTATAGATTATATCGCTGAAAAGCTTAAAAAATGGCGCTTTTTATGAAGTTATGGCCAACTATGGTTTCCATTTAAAAAAATATATGTTTGTGTCATAAGTCAAAAATGACAGGCTTTAGAAAAAATCGGAGAACACAAACTCATTAGGAATGTGATTATCTACAACTTTTATCTGAACACTTTTTGTCTAAAATAGATTATAATGAAATTAGGGAGAATTTTTAAAATAGGCAAAATTTGTTTTTTTCGAAATATCTAGTAAGCCATGAACTTTTTCAAAAATCTGAAACGCGCATTTTTATGACCCCACAAAACTGCAATTCTTTCCCCATTTAACCGACTCTCTATCTCCAGTAGTTTCCGAGATGCCCATAGAGAACATCGTAGGAAACACCCTGTATATATAATTTCAGCCCGATCCATTCATAAATGGAATTTTTAAAAATCAAAAACCTCAAAAATGCGGCCATTTTTGCCGCCATTTTGACAGCTGTCAAAAATTTGGGTCATGCCTTGCAAAAAAATGTATTGTCATCGGGACTGAACCTACATGCCAAATTTCAATTTCCTACAATAAAAGGAAGTGGTTCTAATTTAGCTTACAAGATTTGCCCCGAACAAACATACATACATACATAGATAGTTACATACAAAGCAAATTAAATAAAAGCTTATAAAAAAAGACGCCACGTCACGTTAAGAAATCGACGTAGTTTTAGCTCCATTTTTTAGCTCCATGTTTTTTGTTCTTTTTTATGACAGTCCTTCAGCATTTTTTATACGCTTTCCAAAGAGATGTCACAAGTGTGGGGTATCGCTAACTTGAGATTAGAAGTGAGGGGGTGGCACCTAGGGGTGGGTCGGGGTGGTTTAAAAAATACCTCATTTGTCTCATTTAGCAGGTGCAGATTTCCAGTAATGTTCTTCTAGACAAGAAGAGATGGTAATGGGTATCTTACATACATAAATTCTGTTCTGTTACTTTTTATTAACCTTTATAATAAATATTATAATTATAAACACGTGCTTCATTAAATTTATTAATATTTACTAACGCTTTGTGAATTTACAAAAGTAATTGTAAATTGTTACTCCACAGTAATATTACAAGAAGTTGGCGATTTTAAAAACTAAATTTACAGTAAGTAAAATCGGGACCTATGTTGATATAAAAAATAAATATTATTTTTGCGTGAGGAATCTCCCCACGAGACATGGTACGTGCTTTCTGAAACACCCTGTATAAAGTAATTTTGCCTAAAATTCAGCATTATTATAAACGAAATCTTCCACTCACCTTTCTATCGGTTCGTACTTGTTTTCTTTCTTCGCTAACACCTCCTTGGACCCCGAATTCCTCTTGTACCACGGCCTGGGCGATACAGGAGCCTCTGCGACACTTGTTCTGGACGAGGAAGGACTCACAGCGTTAAATCCAGGAACAGGAACAGCTTCTTGGGGTGTTTTTGGTCGAGTCTCTTCTTTGACTGGTTTCAAAACTCCTCTATCTAGCTTCAGATAGTCGTTTGCTACTATATCTTTATCTTGGTCGTCTGTATTTTCAGTTGTTTCTATTTTATGTGGTGGAATGGGAGCAGTTCTCTTTTTTCTTTTCAGGCTAGAGGTGGAGGATGAATCTATGGGGATGTTCGGACCTCCTCCTGGTGGTTGAGGTGCTCTTCGTTTGCCCTTGACGTGTACATATGCACCTGCTCGTTTGACCTTAGATGACTCACTGTTCGTTCTATATCATAAATATCCTTTCAATATCAATTTTTTTAAGATTTCAAGATTATTAACTAAATTATGAAGTCAGAGCTGCAACAGTTTTAAAATATCTAAATACAGCTATACCCTTAAATGTTCGAATTAAAGATTATAAAGATTATTTAAGAAAGGGAGATTTTCACAAATCTAAGATTTGTCAGCATTCATGGGACACAGGGCACAGAATAAATTTTAATAAGGCCAAAATTATAAGGAAAGAAGCGATATCCTCTAAAAGAAAAATAAAAGAGGTTTTTTTAATACAATCTAATAAAAATAAATGTATTGCTTATGTATCTGTAGATGTTAGTAATGTATGGCAATCGCTTCTTTGATTTTAATAAATCCAAGCAGCATTTGGACGTTGGGACAACGTTGTGTCACGCTACCAAACGTCGGGGCGCAACGTCGGCACAACCTCGTGCCAACCCTAGTCTGTACTAGTTTGGAGAATAATTTTTGGGTCGAAACGACGTTGGATACCGACGTTGGCTAGAAGCCTAATTTAGTACAAACTGCAACGTTGTTTAAAATCCTAATTAACAGAAATACAAAACTAATATGGCGTCTAAGTCGCGTTTTATCCTAAATTGGGATAATTATAGTAAAAATATTATATTTATAATTTAGTTAGAGACATATGTCAGATGGCAGTGAAGGAAAACAAAACAAAAGTATTTAAGTGTGGAGGATGTTTGAAGATCATAATTATTGAAACACTTTAACCGACTCTGTAACTCGTTACCCAAGGTAAAAAGTTAAACGCAAACAACTTTATTGATAAATGTATTGTTTCTACTTTAAAAAATACTAATGGGCCTTGAAATTAAAGAAGTTTTAAAAATTTTCTTGAATTTTTTTTTTAGTAAAATGAGAATAATTTATTCGCATTCGAAAAAATTGTTTCCGCGTATTTTTTAGGGTCAAATATTTCAAGTTAATGTATTCAAAAAGCAGGAATTGCTATTTTAAGAACGAAACATTTTCTTATTTAACAACATGGCGGCTTTAACTTTGTTGTTTTGGAGATTAAGATGGAGTAGTTCGAGTAGTCGCATACTGGACTAATAAAGTCGCAGTTCGGCCTTAACAGGTAGTATACTAGTCGCAAGATTGCCTAATTTAGTCATTCTAGAGTCTAGCTTGTGCCGCCCTCTATAATCTAAATAAACGAGGAAGTGTCGGTAATATATGTCGATGTATATTTAAATTTAGTTTTATATGTACCTTTCTTATGTCCCATTTTAATTAAGTTTTTTTTTTATAAAAACAAAAACAGCACTGAACTGTCTGACTGAACAGAACAATGAATTGAAAATTTAAGATTTAAGGTTATGGTTCAATACAGTTGCAAAAAGGTAGTGACTCTACGTCCTACCAACGTAAGAATAAGGAAATCTAAACAACGTTGGAATTAGTAAAACAGACGACGTTTGCATAACGTTGGAATAGGTCCTGAAACTGACGTCGGAAAACTCTATATTATCCAACGTTGTAACTACGTTGTCCAAATCACCTAAAGATCACTTAAGCAAAAAAGGTTAGAAGACAACGTTTATTCGACGTCGCAGAAGCTTCTACTTTGCTGTAGTACTAGTCCAACGTCGGCACAACGTTATAAAAACGTTTAAATTTATTTTAATACCGAAGGTAGGGAGCTAACTATTTTTTGTAACTAATCCAACGTAAACAGGTGGTCGCAAGTCGTGAAAATGCTACTTGGGAACATAACATAAATAAACATAACATAAGTAAAAATTAAAAAATAATCATACAGAAAGTTTGAGGCTTTTTGGTTTTACCTCACTGAGTAATTGTTATCAGGTAGTAATTGTTAATTTTGAAGTTTAACTTGGATATACAGGGTGGGCCACTGAAAACTTACAATGGCTATAATTCTTAAACCAAAAAAGATATCAAAAAAATAAAAAAATACCGTTTCTATAATATCGAGGGGGAATCACATGACGTATTTTTTGAACCACCCCGACCTACCCCTTAGGCGGCACCCCTACTCACTTGAAAATCTTAAATGGCAACACCCCACTTGTGGCGCCTTTTTGGAAAGCCCATGAAAAATGCTAAACGATGATCATAAAGTTTTTAGGGTGAAATTGAAAAACTACCCCTTACACGAAAAATTAGGTGGACATTAATGAAAAAAGTGATTTTTCAGTATAAGTTACAAATTGGGACCCAGCTTAATGAGGCAAATGAGGTATTTTTCAAACCACCCCGATCCACCTCTAGGTGCCACCCACTCACTTCTAATCTCAAGATAGCGATACCCCAGTTGTGACACTTCTTTGGAAAGCTAATTGAAATTAATTGCTAAACGATGGTCATACAGCTTTCAACTTCTGTCTTCTTTCAATAATTACTGGTAAGTAGTGATAAGAAATGTAAGTTTGACAATTTGAAAGAAATTTAAAATAATAATTTATTTTAACAATTGCTCAAAATGACAGCCGTTTTGTTCCATACAAAAATACAAACGATTTTCAAATTCTTCTCTCACTTTTTGGAAAGTCTCTCTCGGAATATTTCGACATGGCTTCAGTTATCCTCTGCCGCAATTCTTGCAACGAACCTGGTTTTGTCTTGTAGACTATGGATTTATGTAACCCCACAAGAAAAAGTCTAAAGGAGTGAGATCAGGGGACCTTGTCGGCCACTCGATTGGACCCCTTCTGCCAATCCATTGCCTTGGATAATATCTATCCAACCACCGCCTTGTGACAATAGAATAATGCGGAGGGGTTCCATCTTGCTGAAAGTGTATGAGGTCTTCATTAAGAGTTAAATTTCCTTCCAAATTTCTTTGATTTTCAACCTCATTTATAATGGCTGGCTCTATCAAATTGTTCAGCATTTCCAGGTAAGCATCACCAGTCAAATTTCCGTCGATGAAAAATGGACCTATAATTTTATCGCCTAGTATTCCGCACCAAATATTAAACTTTTGGGGATGTTGGGTGTGTCCTTCAACAACCATATGCGGATTCTCATCGCTCCAGTGTCTGCAGTTCTGCTTATTCACAATTCCGTTTAAAAAAAATGAGCACTCATCACTAAAACAAATATTTTTAGTAAGTGAAGGTTTCCTTCGAATTTCCTCCGTGATTAGTTCACAGAACTGAATCCTTCTATCTGGATCATCGTCGCCAAGTTCCTGCAGAATCTTCATTTTGTAGGGATGGAATTTGTGCATTTTCAATACTCTCCTGACAGATGTTCGAGGTATACCTGTGATTGATGCCAACTGGCGTGTTGATGCTTCTGGATTGACCGATACCTGACCAATAACTTCCATCTGCATTTCTTCATTCAGTAACCTAGGCCCTATCCTTTTTTTATTTTTGACCGATCCAGTTTCTTGAAACTTTAAAATCAAATCTCTAAAATAAACGTGACTTACGTTTTTGTCCGAATTTCTCTCATTGAAAGCACGGGCCGTTCTCATATAAAAATATATATATAATATATAACTATTTGAATTCTTTCTTCCACAGTATAAACCATTTGTCTTTCAAATAAGCGAATCAAATAAACGTTTAAAATACCAGCAAATTTGCAAACGATTGAAAATCGATAGAAGACAGTGCAAAAACGCGAAGATATTCCGTTTTAAGATTCCTGTTTATTATCTACTACATTTTTTATTTTTAGCTTTAAAATGGCAATGGTTTAAAAATGGCATTGATGAGATTAGAAGTGAGGGGATGGCACCTAGGGGTGCGTCGGGGTGGTTTAAAAAATGCCTCATTTGCCTAATTTAGCTGGGTCCAAAATTTTAACTTGTGCTGAAAAAATTACTTTTTTCATTAATGTCCACCTAATTTTTCGTGTAAGGGGTAGTTTTTCAATTTCACCCTAAAAACGTTATGATCATCGTTTAGCATTTTTCATGGGCTTTCCAAAACGGCGCCACAAGTGGTGTGTTGCCATTTAAGATTTTCGAGTGAGTAGAGGTGCCGCTTAAGGGGTAGGTCGGGGCGGTTCAAAATATACGTCATATGTATTCCCCTTCGGTATCATAGAAACGGTATTTTTTATTTTTTTTTATATCTTTTTTGGTTTAAAAATTATAGCCATTGTAAGTTTTCAGTGGCCCACCCTGTAATGTCATTTAAACAGAACTTCAACGGTTTTTCTAGACGTATCTGTATCTGTATCTGTTGAAAACAAAACTAAAGTGTTCTTGAACAGTTGTATTTAGATATTTGAAAATATTTTTTTTTCTTTATTCTTTGTTTTTTTTGCTCCCGACGACGTGAAGAGATATACTTCCCGAAAGGTTGAGTATTTTTTTGTCCGTTAGGCAAATTTGTTTATTAGTAAATCATTGCTGACAAGTTGGTCTCCGTTTTATTTTATTTTGTAAATTTTCTTACAGTGGCGAAATACCCATAGAACTTTTTTGACGACATTAAATAATATTTTTCAGAATCAAAACGTTAAATATGATAGTGTACACATACTTTGACAGATAAAACGTTATGTGTAGACTGAGCTTTAGCTCTGTATAATTTTACAATTATTTTTTTACTAAACCATCCATAAGACTTACCTACGATGAACCTTTTCAGGTTCAATCTCCATAATATGAGCTCGAGTCATGAGTGGTAGGCTTTTGGAATTCTCCTCTTCTTCGATATTTTTCTTCGGTTTCAATAACGAATCTCTATTAAAGAATAAATTGTATTTTTTCCTAAGCGTCACATTTTTGTCCGATTCTCTGCGTTTGTCCCTTTGTTTTAGACGCGCCCTGTATGTATCAGTCTCGGGACCTAAGCAGTAAGAAATCAATTTAAAAAATTAATTAATAGACATAAATAGAAGAGAACACTTTCTAAATACTAACTACAAGAGGCGTATTCCATCAAAAACATAAAATGTAAAAAATGCCAGTTTTGCAACGCTGCCAGTTATTTCAATTAGTGACCGAATCAATATTGGACATCTTTCTTTCTATAATAATTATAATAACTTAACAATTGCACCCTCAACATATTCTACCGGAATTCTACTAGCGGATACAGAGGGGGGCACATGGAGCCCGGGCCCCCTAGAATCTCTAAATTGTGTTAAATATTAGGCTTTTGGGTTAAAAATGGCGCTCTAAAAATAAATTCCTGTATCCACCCTTGAATTACAATATTTTAATCTTAGGTGTACTGTTTAAACTTACTAATTAATCGAAATAGTAGATTATTCTTTTTTAATTATAGTGCTGTGCGAGAGTCAAGTCTTGTTAATTATTATAGAAGTAAATAAAGTATAAACTAATGATCATATAAATATATTAAGTACATACTTACAAAATGTTCTTATATTACCTTTTTTGAGTAAGAAGCAGTTTACATACACTATATTTACTATATTTAACCTCATTTACCATTCTGTATGTATTGATATAAGAACTAGAAGCAAAGAAAAGTTACACTAGATGAAAGAGTCATAAAAACTATAATTTGAGTTATCTGTTTCGTTTTGCCAATTGAACAAAATAATGTAAATACCAGGAATAGTTACGGGTAACCTTAATAAGTTAATTTTCGTTGACCTCTAAAGTGACGCCATCGCAAAAGTTTTAAAATTAACTTCCAATAGAATGGTTTTTTCTTAATCCAGTTAAATTGTAGTATTTTAGATTTTTAAACTTATGTGTGTTGAAAAAATATAAAAAGTGTATCTATTCTTTTATACTTTAGAATAGGTATTAACGAATATCTGTCTCATTTGGTGCGAATTTATCTCTCTATAATATATCTATAATATAATCTTTCTATGACACAATCTATTTATTTCTTGGTTTCAGCTCTATCTATGAGCCCCCACAGACGTTCAGCACAGGATTGCTGTTTATTATGGATCCGAGACAACACCCGTATCAAAGGTCTAGGGATAGACCAAGTCAAAGAGGTAGAGAAAATGAACAGAACCTCCAGTCTCCATCTTAAGGGTACCCGCCGGAGACAAGCTCCTCGACTGTGAAGGGTACGTAGGGCTAAACCCCAACCGTGGAAGGGTATACACTCTCGTAGGAGGCAGATGGGGGACTACCCCTCTACAATAGGAAGATAGGTGTTTTGAACTAGGTGAATTGTCGAATAATTGATGAAGGAAATAGACTAAGAATAGAAATAGAAAATCGGACTAAGCGATATCGATATTTTAGTGTATTAAATTAGTTTTTCTGTTTATAGTTGTAGAATAAATTAGTTTAAGTGTTTTGTCGTTGGTTTTAAATGAAGGAATCAACACAAAAGAAAAGAACGTATGTACAAAATCCCGCATAAAATGCAAAATGCAGAATGCAAAAAAACCGCCTACCAAAATCTCTGCTTTACGGTGAACTTGTATAGACGGTAAGAGGACATCAGATTGACAACTCAAAAGGCACAAGGATATTTTCTACAAAAACTTAAAAGGGATAAGCATGCAAAATCAGTGTGTTGCAGCGCACAATACAACGCAATGGAGAAGAATTTATTGTAAACTCAGTTAACAGCGACAACCAAAAAGTAAAGAGGCAATAACAAAGCAATGAGATTTTTGAATGTCCGGAGTGCAGAAGAGAGATAACATCACGTATCGGGCTTTTCAATCATAGAAAAGGTCATGAAAGTAAACGCCTTGCGTAACCATCTTCTGATGCGTGTCAAATACTCATCAGCGAGTAATGGCAGTAGTAGTAGTAAATGAAGGACCCACGGAATCCGTAACAATATTTTTGTAAACGTGCGTATGCAATGTAGAGATGAGCAAAACTTCGATTGTTCAATCGCAATTGAAACTGTGATTGCGATTTTTAAATCGCATTGGACTGTAACCTGCGATTGTGATTTTAATATTTACCAAATCAAATTATTCGTAAAAAAATGCGTTTTCCAATATTTTTCCAATGAGCCATGCTCGTTCCATTTGAGAAAATTGAGATATGTTTAAAAATACGATTTGGGCAGCTTTTAACAGGCCAAGACAAGGCGCGAAAAACAATAGATGATCAAATCTATTTTTGCAAGGCATCTTGATTAAAATTTTAACACGGCCATGATATTCTAGATTGAAATTTAACATACGATTTTATTAAGCAAAAATGTCAAAAGTTGCCACATCATATGCCATTCTATTCAGAGTGTCATTTTCTATCGAATAAAGTAAAAAAATACCGCGGGTGTCATTTAAAAATCAAAAGTTATAGTCGTTTGCGGTAAAACAGGAAGTGATTAAAAACAATCGGATAGTCAATCAATCCTAATTTATGTCATATACTAACATATTATCAAATCTCGTTTTTTATCAGAAAAAATAAAACAGTTATAGGATTGAACCACTCTTAAGAAACACCCGGTATATTATGACCTTGGTCCTAGAAAAATAATATAAAATAATATATTTACGGACCAGCCATTTAAAAAATAATAAAATAATACCTTCTCTATGAATAAATAATATCAGAGAGAAAATAGAGAACGAAGCGAAAATATAAGACAAACATGCAAGGTGGATAGCATTAATGAATGGGTATTGATTGAGCAGAAGACGCGAATAGAATGAACATATAAGCCGAATGGACGAGGGAAAAATAGTAAGGTCAGCTCGAGACAAATCACCACTGGGAAGAAGTACGGGAAGGCCAAGAAAAAAATGGTGTGATAACCTTTCCATCGATTAAAAAACTGTAGGCATGATGTAAAGAATGAATAGGCAATATGCCTATTATAGAGTAGGAAGAAGAAGAAGAGAGAAAATTCAATTGCAGTTTACTATAAAATGCTTCAATAGACCACAAAATTACATTCGCAACAATATCGTAAAACGCCAACTCCTAAAAATTCAAACTCGAATCGATAGAAACGACGATCCCAGTTTACAAAATCGCAACAAAGTCGCAAATCGCAGCTATAGTAATACTGGTTACCTAAATTGAACCTCATAAATCAGGGTCATAAATAGAAGAAATCGCAGTTTCCTATGAGAGCCAATGGCAGGTAGCGACTGTAATTTTAAAATCGCTGCGATTGAATCGTAGTTTACGATTTCTTGCTCAATGTTTAAGAAAATGAATTAGCAATCGGGTGTTAGTAAAACAAACAGTAGCTATATTATGCATCATGCGTTTATTAAACATCAAGCTGCACCTCCCCAAACTTCTCCCAAACTGGATACTGACCGATCTGGACGCACTTTTCAACAGCCCCTCGTTTCTCATACACCCCAGGCGGCACGAAGGAGAAACTGGCCACTGTCCCCGCGCTCTTGTCCGAGGACAAACTATCCAGACTACTAGAGCGCGACGTGGCCGAGTCGATCGACTCGCGCGACGACCCCGATGGCTTCAGCCATTTGAAGAAGGCGAACAGGCCGCTGTTCCTCTTGGATTTTGGATCGGCGCCAGGGCTTTGTTCCGATGGTTCTGGAACGACGACAACGGTGTCTCGGGCTGGATTACTCATGTCGGCTCGGTGGAGGTGGAGGTCGCGCCATCCGCCTGGAACAAAGAAGGAGGAGATAGGTGTTAATCACCGAGTGGAAGGAATGGGTTTGCGGAAAAAATGGTGGCTTGCGATGAAGATGTTTATATCTTTGTATACGTACGGGGTGGTCCGAACTGTATTCCGGAAACTTCGACAGTATACCGGGTGCGTCTCAAAAGTGGCTCACCCCTATAACTTTTTGATTTTTTCAGTTAAAAAACTTGATTTGGTATGTTAGTATATGACACAAATTAGGATTAATTGACGTATTAAATTGTTTTCGTTCACTTCCTGTTTCACCGGATATGACTACAACTTTTGATTTTTAAATGGCACCCCCGGTATTTTTTTACTTTATTCGATAGAAAATGACACTTTGAATAGAACGACGTCTCATATGTCAACTTTAAATTTCAATCTAGAGTGCCATGACTGTGTTAAAAACACTAATTTTTAATCAAGGAGCCTTGGAAAAATAGATTTGATCGTCTAATGGTTTTAGTGTCTCGACCTGGCCGGTTGAAAGATGCCCAAATCGTATTTTTAAACATATCTCAATTTTTTCAAATGGAACGAGGGTAGCTCATTAGCATATTTGGAAAAAGCATTTTCTCACGAATAATTTGGTACCACACACTTTTGGTATTTCGAGTCAAATTGTCGTTATGAATCGCATGTTGCAATTTCAAATAAACCATATTCGAAAATGTCAAAAGTTGACATATGATATGTCATTATATTTAGAGTGTCATTTTCTATCGAATACCTAAAGAAATAAAATACCGAGGGTACCATTTAAAAATCAAAAGTTGTAGTCATTTCCGGTGAAACAGGAAGTGACAAAAAACAATTGAATACGTCAGTCAATCCTAATTTATGTCATACACTCACACAATAAATATCAATTTTTTATCTGAAAAAATAAAAAAATTATTGGAGTGCGCCACTTTTGAGACGCACCCGGTATATTCAAATTCTCTATAAAATTTTATAAATTTTTATATCAAATACTCCAGGTATACCTAACATTAACTCGCTTTTAAGAGAAAAAATATTAAAAAAACTGCCTGTCAAAAAATGTGTATAGCCTGAACGTCAAATTTAGTGGTTACCACAGCCAATCTATTTCAAAAATTAATGTCATTTAATATTGGCCGTACCTGTCACGGACATGAGCTAGTAAAAATGTATCATATTTTTTTTCAAATGGAAATTTACTTTTTTTTATTTTACTGTTTTTTTTTAATTCGTTACTTTTTGATTATACATGTTCCTATACCTAAAATAAATCGTTTTTAAATTATTTAAAATTTAATTTTAAAACATATATTTTTTTGGTTTTTAACCAGTAGGTAGCCTATGAGTTGTCAAGCGATGTAAAACAATATATCTGGCCATCTCATATTGCGACATTTTATTAAAAAATCAGTATGTCATCAATAGTAATTTCCAAGCCAACTTTGCGCCGCTTTTTTTCGATAACATGTGTGGTACAGTACGTCTGTCCGTTCTGTAGCTACGGGGTATCCGTGTGAGGGGAAACGATATTCTCTCGATGTTTTTCGTAAAAAATTAGACGACGCGTCCCATCAATAAAAATTCGACAAATTTGCAAGTAGCCAATAAAATGAGTGGGCGGAGCGATTTGCGGTGACGTACTCGTCAAGTCGACGTATAAAATATATTGCTGTTTATTTAAATGTTTTTTGTCCGCATTCCTTTCATAGACACAGATCCAGCAGACGTACAGTACGTCTGCCCGTTCTGTAGGTACGGGGTATCCGTGAGAGGGGAAACGATATTCTCTCGATGTTTTTCGTAAAAATTAGACGACGCGTCCCATCAATAAAAATTCGACAAATTTGCAAGTGGCGAATAAAATGAGTGGGCGGAGCGATTTGCGGTGACGTACTCGTCAAGTCGACGTATAAATTATATTGCTGTTTATTTAAATGTTTTTTGTCCGCATTCCTTTCATAGACACAGATCCAGCAGACGTACAGTACGTCTGCCCGTTCTGTAGGTACGGGGTATCCGTGAGAGGGGAAACGATATTCTCTCGATGTTTTTCGTAAAAAATTAGACGACGCGTCCCATCAATAAAAATTCGACAAATTTGCAAGTGGCGAATAAAATGAGTGGGCGGAGCGATTTGCGGTGACGTACTCGTCAAGTCGACGTATAAATTATATTGCTGTTTATTTAAATGTTTTATGTCCGCATTCCTTTCATAGACACAGATCCAGCAGACGTATTTTACCTATATTAATAATATCAATTATAATATAAACCACATATATTTTTATAAATTCACTTTATAAAGTTTTAGCATCAGTATTTATATTTATAATACACGAAATTGAAATAAGTAGTTTTTTTGTTTTGGAGATAAATTGTCTGAATGTTTGACACTTTATGTCAAAATATCATAAAATCAAGAAAAATTTACGCTTTAAAACTAAATCTTAAATAACTTAAAAACCATTTATTTTATATATAGGGACATATAATCAAAAAGAAACGAATCGAAAAACCTTTTCACTAGTGTGAAATAAAAAAAATGTGTTTCAAATTGAAAAAAAATATTTATGATCTCAATTCCATGACAGCTACGGCCAATATTATAAACTAACGTGCATAGAAATCGGCCCACTGTGAACTTTTGGTTTTAACTGTGTCTTTTAGAATCTATTTATCATGGCAAGTAAAAAATATGAGCTGTTTCAAAGACAATTTAACATACTTTAATATGATCATAAATTTATTCAGGGTACTTATCGGTTATATGAGCACCAACGGGTAAACAAATAAAAGGTATTTTGTGTTGTGGTGACAATAAGAATAACAAACTTGTCAAATATTGCAATTACTATCTTTGTAATCGAAATTTTCACATTGTTCTTTTATTCTTTGATTAGTTGTGTTTCATTGTTTGATTAGTGTTTCAATTTAATGCATACATCACCGGAAAAAGCCGCCCAAATAATCGCTTTAATCGAAAATGGACTTAAACAGAAAGCTGTAGCTCGGCAATTACATATGACACGCGGAGCGGTTCGAAGAGTGTGTGAACGATATGAGGAGACTCGATCCTTTCGTAGTCGACCTGGAACTGGTAGAAGGGATATACAACGGATCGTGATGACCGCTTTATTGTGTCAACAATGTTAAGAAATCGGCGTCTTAATGCTATTCAGGTGCAACAACAGCTCCGTGAAACACGAGGAGTGACTATTAGTCAGTAGACAGTAAGACGAAGATTGAAGGAAAGTAACATGACCCCCAAAACACCCGCAATTGGTCCAAAACTTACCCAAGCTCATCGTCAAGCACGCCTGCGTTTTGCACTGGAACATCTGAATTGGACACTAGAACAATGGGAATCTGTTTTATTCTCAGATGAGACCAGGATATGCCTCTATGGTAGCGACCAAAGAAGAAAAGTGTACCGGAGGCCAGGTGAGCGATTCGCAGAATGCTGCATTGAGGAGCGGATTGCTTATGGAGGTAGTTCCTGCATGATCTGGGATGCAATTTCTATGACTGCGCGCACCGACCCAGTTTTCATCCGTTGGGGCGACCGTCGGCAGGGGAGAGGAGGTTTAACTGGTGCTAGGTATATTGAGGAGATGTTGGCAGTTCATGTGGTACCTTACGTCGACTACATTGGAAACGAATTCACTTTTATGCATGACAATGCGAAGGCACACACATCAAGAATCGTACACGATTACATTTCAGAAGTCGTATTTCGGGTTATGGAATGGCCAGCATGCAGTCCAGACTTAAACCCGATAAAACATTTATGGGATGAGCTAAAACGAAGAATTCGTGCTAGACGAAGAGCCCCAACTTCTATCCCAGAGCTCATTGTTGCAGTAGAGGAAGGCTTAACATCCCGCAAGAAACAATATCAAATTTGATCGAATCTATGCCAAATCGTATGAGAGATACTGTTAGAGCAAGAGGGGGTCATACCTATTATTGAAAATTTAGTTTAGTTACTTGTCCATAAATAAATAAATAAATAATAACATACACCTCTTAGTAATAAAAAACGATAATTTGTTTCATGCATTAATTTAATAATTTTAATTCAAAGAAACCAAAATACAAATTAATATCCCTAAACTCTTTTCAAAGAATATGAAATTGTCTTTCAAACAGCATGTATTTTTTCTTAATCTGACAAATAGATTCTAAAAATTAAATAGTTAACTTTAAAATTTTGCCTTGGGCCGATTTCTATGCACGCAAGTGTATATGACACTCGAACAATTCAATTCTTGAAATAGATAGCCACATGTCTTCTCTTATGTCACTGTGACTGTGGTAACCACCAAATTTAACGTTTAGGCTATACACATTTTTTTGACGGACAGTTTTTTTTGTCTAAAAATTTTAAATATTTCTTACTCAAAAACGGTTAATGTTAGCTGTAGAGTATTTAATATCAAAATTCATAAAATTTTACAGAGAATTTAAATATACAATAAAAATGGAGGTACCAATTTAAATTCAGAAAGTTGCTGTCAACTTGCGGTGTTTCTGGAAGTGCCGCCGTATTGAAAATATTTTTAATTGATAGATCTCCTTATGAATCACTCCGATCTAAATATTGTGGTTCTCTAGAAGCTTCTAATGCGCGCTCAGCCTGGGTCACTCTGTATATCGACGCCTTTCTTACAAAGGGGTATAACTAGCATTTCATAAATTTTACAGGATAGAAAAAAAAACGAACAAGAGTTATGTTTAAAACTGCTATAAGGTTTAAACCTAATAATTTCCTAACTCTTATTAATTCATGTATGTCACAGACAAAGTAAATAATGTTCCTGTAGTCCATTGTCTAAATTCTTAAACAGTAGTGCAATAGAAAACCAACAATAAGATTCTCGAAAATCACTAAAAAGGGATACCATTTTATTTTCATATTCTGTTTCGAAACATTCTGGCATTCAATTAAAACAAAAAGATATTAAAAACATCTAAAATAGTTTTTGGTCAGAAATATCCATTGATGAAATGTTGGCGTAATATTTTATTTTAAGTAACCTTAATACTAAAAATAAATGCATCAAAATTTCTAGCATTTTTTTTAATATAATCCAATTCAAAAATTTACTTTAAAACCAAGACATTTTAGAAATATTACTGACATGTACGCCTAAAATACTGAATTAACTCTAATATTTGAGTTTATGTTCAAGTTAATTAGTCAGAAATTAATCCAAAAAGACGTTTTCAAAGTAAACAAAAACACTTTGAAGATTTATAGTTCTGGAATCATTCCGTCTTGATCTTTTTCTCCACACAGGATACTTATTTTTAACGCTAACTTATATCCTTTTAATGGTTTCCTAATATATCATCGAGTTCAGCAATACATCCACTAACGCACATGGATGGTTCTAGTGAGTTTTAGGTTACAATATAATATATATCTCTCAGATTTATTAATAGAATTATATATAGCTTGCAGTGTGCATCTAACATACAAAGAAAATCAGTTTTGTGTAAAAAGACGCAACTTACCATTATAAGAAGAGTTTTAACAGTTTTAATCACTTTATTTGCACGCACTACACCCGCCCCCGACGCACCATAAATGCATTTTCACTTGTTTTACGCGTTATTTTCGAAAATAATTCGATTTTCACCCAAGGCACACCGAGATTTTTTGGCTGAGGTACAGCGGCGCGCGGCGTCCAAAATCGACGCTAGTCGTTGTTGGATGCTAATTTTAAACGAAAGATTGGATTCATTTAAAGGAAAATTTCCCCCTAGTAATGTGTCTTTCTTTATTGTTTTATGAGCCTAAGACAAAGAGCTGTATAGTCTAAACGAACCTTCAATTGTTTCGTTTTTCGTAACGACTTTTATTTTCCTGTGTCAAATAGTCCGGATGTCAAATTTTGTTCGTTTATTTTTCTAACGATATAGTTAGAATTTTTACTATTTATTTTCTCTGAAAATTTGATTTTTAGTTTTAGTATATTGTTCTATGTTTTTTTAATATAGATTTCATATACAGGGTGGCGCACCTCATGGCAATGTGCATAATTTAAAATTATTTTGAAATATGCAGGGCGTTTTAGAACTCAGATCCATACCAAACTTACTTACTTATACTTTTTCTTGTGGAACACTCGGTATTTTATTTCATTTTTCAATTCTTGGACGTAAAAAAAGCATTTATTTGAAGGGTTAAATATGTTTTAAAACTTTCTTTTTTGCGATTTTAAAGATATTTAAATATGCATGCTGCAATAGAAAATAGTATCAACACCCTGTACAGGGTGGGTCAAATTCGACGCTTTTAAATGGAAACACCCTTTTCTATAAGAGATGGACAAAAACTAATATCGGTGTCTGGAGCTCAATTTTTGCAAAAACCATGATGGTGAAAACCGCAAATCGATATCTGTTACCGTTTTGGAGTTACGGGGTGTTTTTAAAAAATATGCATTTTTAACAAATCGCTGTAACTTTTTTGCTATGGAAAATTTTGTATTTTTATGAAAACATTTCCAAAGCACCTTTTTACGTAGAATTTAATGGTTTAGGTATAATTTTTTTAAAATTAATAATTTAAGAATTATCAACAGAAAATTTGATTTTTTATATGGGACACCCTGTATATTTTTAATTTATAGGAAAAAATTTAAAATTACCTTTTCAAAAATATAACACACTTGATATTTTGCTCGATTCCTCTTCGAGATATAGAGTATATAAAAATTCGCCCGCTTTAAATAAGTAGGCTTTGAACGGCACAGGCTGTAATGCAAAAAAATTCTAGCTGTGAGCATCAATTAAAACGAAAATAATATTCGCTATGAGAGATGCAGAATTTTATAACAATTTAAAATATATTTAACCAACATCAACACATTTAAACTATATCTAATAACAATAAAAATAAATAATAAACTGACTAAATAAGCTATGAGATTTTGCTACAAGTGTTCGACATATCGACCGTCTTCTGTTATGGACAGACGGGACAGTTTTTGAACATTTCTCGCGGAATTCATTAACTCAGAGGGGGTGAAAGATACCCTCTCGTAACTTCTATACGTATATACACGGAAGAATGAGGGACCTTTATTCTTCTGCAAATATATCCATAGGATTAGATCCATGGACACTAAGTCAGGCGGCCTCGACGGCCAACGGCTGGGATCTTGGTTAACTATTCAAATATTCTTGAAATTGGCTGCAAAAATTTGCTGATAACTTCAGCGTTCAGAGGCGGTGCGTCGTCTTGCTGCAAAAATATGTTTTTGAGTTCCATTAAGGGAATATCATCAATAAGGGGTCCAAAACCTACTAGTTAAAAGTGGCGAACTTTTAAAAACTCTGTATTTCAAAGGGGATTATAATAAAATATCAAGTGTGCTATATTTTTGGAAAGGTAATTTTAAATTCTTTTCAGTTAATTCAAAATATAGAGGGTGTCCCAAATAAAAAATCATTTTTTCTGTTGATAACTCTTAAATTATTAATTTTAAAAACATTATACTTAAACCATTAAATTCTACGTAAAAATATGCTTTAGAATTTTCCATAGCAAAAAAGTTACAGCGATTTGTTAAAAATGCACATTTTCGAAAAACACCCCGTAACTCCGAAACGGTAACAGATATTGACGTGCGATTTTCACCATCATGTTTTTGATGAAAATTGAGCTCCAGACACCGATATTAGTTTTCACCTATCTCCTATAGAAAAGGGTGTTTCCATTTAAAAGCGTCGAATTTGACCCAACCTGTACATTACTTTACAGAATTAATTTTTGTGCTGAATTTAAAGGTAGAGAAATAAACTTTACTGAAAAATTTACTTGTTTTCTTAAATGTATACAGGGGTACCCAAATGTTTTCCATAAGAATAAATTCCGTAAGAAAAAATATAACTTTGGTATGCGTCTTAGTTCTGACTTCTGACACACCCTGTATATTTCAAAATAAGTTTAAATTATCCGCATTGCCTCCCCACATATACTCATAAACTATTTTGTTTCTACAGCTTTCCGTTTTCGTATAATCAACCGAGGCGAATGAGGTGCGCCACCCTGTATAGCATTTGTACAGACAATTTATTTCAAACTGAAGACAAATTCAAATAGGTTTATATATTACCTGAAACTATTTTTTAATGTTTTATTTCTATAATTAAAAAATATGAAAACGATTAGCAAATTTAAATATTTATAAACCACTTCCTACAAAATTATCTAAACAAACAAAATTTCTGTGGCTGAAAGCAAAAGTGTTACATTTTGTAATTAAACTTATCACTCATCTATGAAATCACTTTTATGCAGTGTTTATTGATAGTTCCTAACAACGTTAATAGCTATAAATTTTCAAACCAAACGCGCGCGAATTTTGTAAAATACTGCTATTTTAAATTTGATCCTGGCGCATTCGCCATTTTATGAACGATTTATAATTATTGATATTTTAAAGATTTTAATTGAATTTTACATTATTCTTCTATACTTTTAGTTATATATCAATAATATATGGTTTAAAAAAATAATGGAATGAAAAAACAAATATCCGGTAGGTATAGATAATTAAAAAAAATCCATAAAAATGAGTATAAATCAAAATTATATATATAATTCTTTATTGTTTTCTACTGTTTATAAATTACAGAAATGATTGCTCGTATTTATCGAGCTATATTTATACGCTCTAAACCAGTTTTTCCTTTGCAAACTTATTTATAGGTACTTAGTCGCAGTTAAAACCGTGCAATACACAGAATCTAATATTTGCATTTAAATATTAAACAACATTTAATTAAATATTATAAAAAACAGTAAAAAAGAAAGTTTCTAAATCGTATACGTCACAGAAAAATCATGTAACGAACAAAGAACATCGATTTTTTTTATTACAGTTTATTATACAAAAATAACAGCCTTCCCCCCCTCTAGATTTCAAAACCTTCCATTTTCAAACCAAGCTCCCATATGTGACGACATATTCCAATGTTGCCGATAGCAAATATTCATATCAATTTGCTAGGAAAATCTATTTTTAGTCTAGATTTGAACGCAGTTTAATTAACTTTACTAAAGCACATAATTAATTAATTTCCCAAATATGTTAAAATTATAGTAAAATATTTATTATGATTACAAGATAATTGTGAGAACCAAATAATTTAATATTATTAATATAGACTTTTTGACAAGGACTCAGATTAAATCTGGCAACGCTGTTGTTTATTGTGATTATCGAAGCGTCAAGGAGAGTGTTAAACAAATTTTTTCTTTGTGTTTTTTCCCGAAAAAACTCCCAAAAAGGCCCAAATATTTTATTTTTTTTATTTAATGTTAGTGTTCTCCTAGTGAAAATGATGTGCTTATCGGAACATTCTGAACAGTAGCATTCGTGGTTTGTGTGTTTTCGACATTTTTCCGAAGTAGCACAAAAGTGGACTAGCCCGACCTTTTGGAAATCGTCCTTGATAGTGAATTTCGCGGAAAACTCTGCTAAGTTTAAAAACTGTCGTACACAGGACGCTATTTTCTTTTTATTTTTTACAATTACTGTAATGTGCCCAAACCACTACGACAAAAATTCCGTCAACTCTTTGCTGTCCCAGAATAATTTGATCAATTCCAAAAGAAAAGGTATCTTCATACACCCGACAGCAATGTTTAAAAACTTTTTTAATAGTGCTTACACAAATCCGTGTAGTCGTTAAGGTTCTTCGCCAGTAATTAGGGTTTTAAGGGTGAATTTTGTTTCAAATAAAATTGTGATATTAATACGTTATTATTGGTAATATATCCGGCGAAACAATGAAATTGCTGGAGAGTACAACGTTTGAAGTGATAAACAATGCTTTGCAAATACAAACAGGAGACAGTAAAATTGTAGGTCGCATCGAGAGTTATTCTTGTAAGATGGCCGGAGGGGACAAGGCCCTATATAAAAGGTTTGTTATTGTTTACGGCATTTTAAAGTACTTTAAATTCAAAATAACTTTCTATCAACAGATTTAATGCTGAAGGAATCAACCCAAATGATTTACAAGCCTTGTCGCCTCCTCAGACAGTAACAGAATATAGCAGAAGCATTTCTGGAGATGAGGATGGTCCACTGTGCGATACAATCAGTCGAAAGACTTTGTTCAATTTAATTGCTACATTGAATTCTTCATTTCCAGACTATGATTTCATGGATGTAAAGGTAAGTGTGTTTATTTTTCTTATTTATATATTTACAATATATTGTAACTATATAAGTGATAGAGAATTAATTTTTATGAGAATTTTGTAACTGTCAAAATAATTATATTGTTTTATTTTATTAGGAGTGAAAATGACACTTTTTGTGGTGTGACATTTGACATTCCAGCCAAGGCACAAAAAATCATTCTTACTCCGAATTGAACATGCTATTTTTTTTCAAACGTCACAAATAATTTTTTAAACAATTTCATACATTGCAAATTATATAGAAATATTTAAAAGTAATACCTTGTAAGTAATTATACATATATCGAGAAACTATAGTTACGCTCGTTGAATTTGACACTTTATGTCAGTTTAATAATATATTTTTGACTTTTGTGCTTAGGCGTAAAAGTGGTTCACACCTAGGCGTTAGAATGACGTTTTTATATTGTCAATCACCTTGCAAAAATTAATACATTTGTGACGTTTGAAAAAAGCCCTTATTAGGTTGTGTTTTGTTTATTTTTCTTTTGTATATAAGTACAATATAAACAAAAAGTTTTATCAAGTCAAGTGTGCATTGTATGATAATAGTTAAACTATTTTTATGTGAGATTACATCAAAAAATTTTATCTGTCAAAATAAAAGCCTGCTTGATTATACGGTAAACACTAAACATTTACTTGACCTTTAAAATTAGATAATAGAGTAGGTTTGCCTGGGCTAGGTTATTGCAAGGCCAAGCATATTGGCAATGATCTTAAAAAATATTTAAAAATAACTTTGTTTGACAATTGATGATTTTTAAAGTAGTGCTAATGATTATAAACATTTTTTAAAATAAATTGTGGATTATTCTTTTAATAAAAAAAAACGGCGTCAAAGCTGGCTTAGAAATAAAGATTACTGTTGTTTTATATGTAAAATTATATGAGGAATATATTATCTATCTTCCCAGACGCCTTGACGCGTTTTTTTTTTGATCATACAGTACATTTAAAGTGCATTAAAGGAAATTTCGTAATTATAGTTCTTAAAATTGCATCTACCCATATTCAGGTGGCGCCACTGCCTACCACTAGCTTATATATTTCGTTAACAGCTTGAAGACGTTCATTTTGAAGGCTCTCATCGTCCTTCCTTGTCTAGGGGAGCGAAATGTTCAATGATCGTCTAGTGAGAACATTTTTGCTGACACCCTATATATGAATTTACCGCACCCGCTGCGCAAAGACGCGAGTGCAATTTTTGGAGGCACCCTCTTACTTTAAAGAGGGTCATTTATTCATCATTAATAAAATACAGGGAGGTTCAAAAAACATGTGCCAGTGCCACATCCGTGGGAAGATGCATAAAATAATAAATACAAGAAGAAGTGTCAAGTCAATGTTAAATTATGGAAACAGCGTGGCTGCCTGGGTAACTAATTTTCAGATATGGCGACTGGGACATTTGACATGACATAGACATGACAATTTCAATTTTATGAAATTTATTTCCGTTTCCGGTTTTTAATGGCGGGCTGTTCAGGAGGTTTAAATGAGGGTTAATATACTTTTTACTCTTTCTAGTAGTAAATAATACAACAAAATTACTCAAAAATATTTATTTGGAATTTAGAACAATGAAATATGCAAATCAACACAATTAAAGAGCTATAATCCAATAAACTACTGTATCAATATCAAATATTTAAATAATATCAGAGATGCTGTGTTAAAGCGAATTAGTAAAGTAACAGTGCATTGACTTACAGAAACTTGAAGATAAATAAATGTTTTCACAGCTTCACGGACATAAAACTAAATAACTGGAAGCAGGAAAAAGGCAACCGGAACCCACACAAAACCTGGAATCAAAAAAAATATGTAAAAAATATAAATATAGGTACATAAGACTTTTGTGAATTAAATCAAACAGGACTTGAATGTAAATAAAATGAATAAAAAATATAATACATATACATCTAATACCTCATTTGTATTTTAAAAATAATCTACATACATAGATTTATAGCATTATTGCTATGAAAATACATAATAGGTACCTATGTAATATGTAATTACGCATATCTGTTCATCTTGTAGAAAATTAATGTAGGCTAATAATACTTCAATAATCATAATTTACCTTGTATAACTTGCTTTCAGTTGCTCAAAATCACCGATCAGTCTTTAAAGTAGAGATACGGAAAAATCCTTGGCAAAGAATATCCCAAGATCCTTGGGTTTAAAGCTAAAAAAATATAAAAACAGTTAATATATTACCTATTTTTACATATAATATGGCCCATACCTACTACACGCAGAAACGTCGATTTCATCATTTTCTTCATGTAATTAATATCATATATACTTTATTAAAGTGTTAACAAGGAACTTTATATCAAAAAACATCTTTGTACTTATAAATTTCAGCCGAAATATCAGAAACAAACTTCCAATCAAATCTAAACGGCAAAAATTAAAATGGCGCCCGACCTTGCCAGAGGCATCGGGAGCTGACGCTGACACACAGACAAAAGACAAAAGAACAGGACGCCGACGTGCATAAAAATGTTCCGTAGCAGAAATTGACAGAAATCATATAGAAATATTCAGATTTTTGTCTAGGACAGTCTAGAAGGCCATGCTTTCTGCCTGGGTAGAACCGCGCCACAACGGTTTCCAATTTTCCAGTTTACTGTCACCCCCCTGGGAAGATGTCTCACGTAAAAATAAGATTTATTTTTTATAGCAACATGAGTCCGATTCTGCATTGTTTCGTAGCTACAGGGTGTTCCCTCTTACTTTAAAGAGGGTCATTTATTCATCATTAATAAAATACAGGGTGGTTCAAAAAACGTGCCACACGCCACACCCGTGGAAAGATGTCTCACGAGTTCGATTCTGCATTGTTTCGTAGCTACAGGGTGTTAAAGTTTTATTTTTTTTTTTCGATTTATTATAGTTTTCTTCTAAGAGCTTTTTTTTAACGATTCAAATGAAATTTGGAGGATAAAAATTACTATAAGTGCTACATATTTTAATGCTAAAAAAGTGTCGACAGATGTACCAGGGACGTGCATATGGGTTTCCAATCTGGGGGAATATTTTTCAAAAAAAAATATGTACGCCACTGACTTCATTCTATGGGTATATCGATAAATGAGGTCTAAATTATAAGAAAATGCATTTTCTACGAAAACTTGAACAGATAGGTAAAAATTGGTATAATACAATTTGATATACAATTACATTAAGCATCTGATTCTCGTACAATATACGGGGTGTTCCGTTTAAATTAAACAAGTTATTGACGTTTAAAGGTGAAAGTGCGGTAAACTTTAAACATTTAAAAAATACAACTTTTATATTTTTTATTTATTTGTGACACTCCGTACCTTTTGAAAATTATTTTAAACTAGCGTGTACCCGCGACGTCGTTCGCGTCGAATTAATAATTTGTAATGGTGATGATAAAGCAAAGCAAGAATTTCCATTAACTTAACTGGATAAAATTTTCTCACGTTTATGTCAGCATGAGAAAAAACAATATGACGATATTATTATATTTTGGTAGTTACTAAATATGAAAGATAAAAATTATTTTATGAAATATTTTATGAAACACCCTGTATAAATTTTTAAAAAACCTTAACATATGTAAAACAACAAAATAAAATATACGTGTTTAAGAGTTTTTCCGAAAAACTCGCCGGTTTTTAAATAAAAAATATTTTAATATTTGAGGGATAGGTTCACCCCCTTAGAATTCGAGTTTCGAAAAATCCCTTCTTATCGAACCTCTACACCCTAAAGTCAATCTGTTTACCAAAAATCAGCTTTTTACGTCAAGCGCTTTAAGCAGGATCGTGATTAATCAATGACCAGATTTTTCGAAACACCCTGTATACATTTTTAAAAAAATTTAAAATATGTAAAAAAAAACAAAATAAAATGTACGTGTTTAAGCGTTTTTTCGGAAACTTGACCGTTTTTTAAATAAAAAAATATTGTAATATTTGAGGGGTGGTTTCACTCCCTTGGAACTGGAATTTCGAAAAATTCCTTCTTATCGAACCCCTAAACCCCCTAGAATCAACCTGTATGCCAAAATTGAGCTTCTTACGTTGTGTGGTTTGAGCAGGATCGTGATTAATCAGTGACCTTAGTTTTTAAATGTACCCATTTTCAGAGCCACGAATTCAGCAAAGAACCCTCCCTCCAATGGGTAACCAACGCTATCGACTCCAATCTGACAGCGACAGCGGGAGACATTTATCGATCGCTCCGTCCAGCCCTATGGTCCGCTATCGACAATGAAATCTCTTTGGAGAACTGCGACATCTACTCGTACAATCCGGACCTGGCCTCCGACCCTTTCGGCGAAGACGGGTGCCTCTGGAGCTTTAACTATTTCCTGTACAACAAGAAACTGAAAAGGATCGTTTTTTTCACGTGCAGGGCTAGCAAGTAAGTGACTTTTTAAACCACATGAAAAAAAAAAAAATCGTTACTTTTTTCTTCAAAGGCGAATATCTCCAACAACAAAAAAACGCTATTAAGATGAATAAAAACAAACTATCGATAAAGGATGCACCTTGATGATACACAGGTTTTTTAATTCCTTACTATGTTAAACTGTTCTACAGCAATCTACAGCACAGAATATACCAAGAAAAAGAAAGGAAAGTGCCTTACTAAAAAATGGTTCCATTTTAGTGGCGCCATCTATTGAGAGGGTCTGAATTTAAATACGCTTATTTATGTAATTTCACTTGAAACTGTCATTTTAAATATGAAAACCAGAGAATAGGTACATTAAAGAAATGCTAACTTCATGTTAAAAAATGGAAACAGACGCCACCTGGTGTCGCCTGGCAGTACTAGCTAAATTGAGGGGAATTGGAGGGGCGGGGCTTAAAAGAGGGGAAATTTTTAAAAAAATATTTTTAGAAGTATCACTGACTTACTGTTTAAAGTTAATAAACATATTTTTTATTACTTTAATATAATTTAATGTATTAAAAAATATGTCTATTAACTTTACACAGCAAATCAATGATATTATTAAAGACTTATTATTTTCAGAGAAAATTCATAGTAAATAAATTACACATTAGTAAACAATATCATTTATTTTTTAGAGCTGCGATTTATATTACAATAATATTGAAATATATATATTTTTTTAACAATGAAAAGAATATCCCGGAACCTGAAAAAAGAAAGATGATCGATTAATGACTTAAATTAGTTCAAAATACATTTTGCAAATAACTAGTGAATTGGAAAGATAAACATACTATTAAAAGACATTTTAGTAGTATGTTATCATCTATTTACTGATAATACATTACATAAGTATATAATAAGTAAATAACATGCATAAGGCACTATGATACAACTACCTGTATCATGATAACACACTAATATGACAAAAAATATATGCTAATTTAAATTCCTTTAATGATCTAATGAAACACTATCTAGCCTCAATGCATGCCATTCCAAAGGCAAAAAAAACTGTTATACCAAATAAATATAAGCTGAATAAAACATAAACCAAGCCAACGAAAGTATTTAAATAATATAAAACATAATCAAAATCATTTTTCATCATAAATTATAGAGGTACTTACGTGTTTTGATATTATTATCAGGAAATAATACGTTTAGTTAAACAGGTACGCTGCCAGGCAAGTTCTATCGGCGGGTCTTTGCAAGAGTTGAAATCTAAAAATACAAAAATACGTTTACATCTTAGTTGTATTTACGAATAAAGTATTTGTGTGTAATTTCTGACTTACCAGTTAATTGAATAATCGCATTAAATACATCCAAATGGTAATTTAATATTGTAAAAAAGCAAAATTGTTTTAAATCACTTGCCAGGACAGCCCGGCCAGCTTCTTTGTTGACAAAATGGCCGCGGTATCATGATTTAAGCAATGTGAGTGACAAAGAAAGCCAATGCCTGGCAGATGTTGCTTTCTTTGTCGTTGGTCCTGGCACGTTTAAATTTGACTGTTACCTGTTTTCCCATACAAGTGACACCCCCGTGATGAAAACCATCATATAAGCTATTTTTTTACACAATATTAACAAATCTAATGCAAAGCTTTACTATGTGTTGTGTAAAATAAAATGTAATGGAGTAAATATAAATAGGTACTTAAATGATGGCAAAAATAAAAAACTTACATTATATTTTTAGGGCCACAAACAAAAAGAATTGTCTAATTAAAACAGATCTAACAGAAATTATACCATAGATAAATGAAACAAGTTTAGATTGGAAAGTGTCCATAAGGACAATGTAAACACTATTTGGCGCTATTCTTGCAACGGTCGCGACCCAAAGCTTTTGAACATTTCGGAGCTGGTCGGCTTTTTTCGGAATTATATCGCCAAATATAATTTATTCAAATTTATTATTATTTTCTTATAATTTTATAAATAAAATACAGTCTGTTGCACACAAGAAACTTTATTTTATATAAGGACATGTTCGAAATACCTATGAAACTTTGGAAACCGACGTTATGCAACGATCCACGATGGTTTTTGCAGTTCACAGCACAGCTTTTTAAGTTTTTTATGCCACTTTTTCACAATTAACACGGGTTTGAGGAAATAAAACTTAAATTATACTCACAAGATAACAATAATTACTTTGAAAATAGACGCTTTAAACACTTTTCGGAATTTTTTCAATGAGAGCGGTTTAGATTTTTGATTTTGACAAGAGAAAATTTTTCTGTTTTTGTTTGCGGTTGTTCTTCGGTCGCCAACCAAAACAATTTCGCGATCCAAAATTTTGACGGGCATTCCAATCTAAATGTATTTCCTTTATCTATGAATTATACTTTGAAAATCGTTTTCATAATCATTTGATTATTATGATTGGCGCTATGGCAACGACAATATTTTTTGAGAATTTGACAATAATATGACGATGGCCGTTGGAAACTATGGAAACTACAAAAAAATTCTGATTTAACGCCATCTGGCAATAAGTAGTAGCAACTTCTTAACCTAAAAATTAATTGCACTATCGCCTTGCGCCTGAGGCTGGAACTATTTTATTTGAAATTTCCGTGGAAACGGTGGAACCGCTTTTACTATTTCACCATAGATAAATGCAACAAGTTTAGATTGGAAAGCCCGTAAAAATTTTAGGCCGCGAAATTATTTTGGGTCGCGACCGTTATACGCGATCTGGCGCTGCTATAGCGGTTGCTAAGAACAACGGCAAACAAAAACAGAAATAATTTTCTCTTGTCAAAGTCAGAATCTTCAAAAATCATAATAATCCTTCAAAATTTAAACATGATCTAAACCGCTCTCATTAAAGAAATTCCGAAAAGTGTTTATAGCGTCCATTTTCAAAGTAATTATTGCTATCTTGTGAGTTTAATTCAAGTTTTATTTACTCCGACCGGTGATAATTGTGAAAAAGTGGCATTAGAAACTTAAAAAGCTGTGCTGTGAACTGTGAACTGCAAAAACCATCGTGAATCGTGGCATAACGTCGGTTTCCAATGTTTCATAGGTGTTTCATACATGCGTCCTTATATAAAAATGTAATAAATAATATAATAATAAATGCGTCCTTATATAAAATAAAGTTTCTTGTATGCAACACACTGTATTTTATTTATAAAATTAAACGAAAATAACAATAAATTTGAACAAACAATATTTGACGATATAATTCCGGTAAAAGCCGAACCGCTCCGAAATTTTCAAAAGTTTTGGGTCGCGACCGTTGCAAGAATAGCGCCAAATAGTGTTTACATTGTCCTTATGGGCACTTTCCAATCTAAACTTGTTTCATTTATCTATGTATTTCACTTTCCTGCCCCTGATTTACAGTTAATTATAGTTGATTTTTCTCTATTTCAGTCCAAGCTACGCCATAGATTCTGGTTTCGGAAGCGATTTTGTAATGGATGAGGATGAAGCTTAATTTTTAAATAATCACAAACACAGTTCGTACCTAATAGTAGTGGTTCTTTCAAAGAACATTGAAAAATTTGCTTGGTTTTCACTCCTAGTCGTACAAAAATTCAATGCTTTAATTACTTTATATTTTAGTTGATAGATTTATAACACCTGCTGTGATACAGAGAATGTTTTGAATCTATTATATTATGATACATAACTCATTAAATTAGAAAATTTCAGATTATACATATATCATAAAAATTATTTAATAAAAATTACACAAAACACACATATAATAAAGTGTAAAAATCATACCAAATAAACTTTTAGTCACGTGATTAAGCTTGGCCGGCACAGCGTTGCCCAGTTTTACATATTTTCTTTTAATCAAAAGATTTTGGGAAACAAAAATAAATTAATTATAAATATATATATATATATATATATATATATATATATATATATATATATATATATATATATATATATATATATATATATATATATATATATATATATATATATATATATATATATATATGAAATGAACAAAATTCTTACAGCTTTAGTGTATATTAATAAATAATATTTTCTTGCCTTTAGCTGTGTATTTTACACAGCCCACCTGATGAAGGGTAGGCCCAGAAACCGGTTGTGGGAGTGGAGCTTGGTTCCCCCCTTTACGACAAGCAAAACAATTTTCTTTTTACTTTTTTTTTTTTTTTTTTTAATTTTTCTCTACTTTCGATTTTCGAAATTAGAAAAAATACACAGCTAAAGGCAAGAAAATATTATTTATTATATATATATATATATATATATATATATATATATATATATATATATATATATATATATATATATATATATATATATATATATATATATATATATATATATATATATATATATATATATATATATATATATATATATATATATATATATATATATATATATATATATATATATAAACAGTTATTATTTACATCAACAAAAATAACTTCCTTAACAATACTTAGGGACATAAAGGGCCATTACTACCGCTTTCCCGTTCAAAATATTCTAATAAGTTTTTTGCGACGGCTATTAAGCTATCTTTTACACTTCGCGCTAAAATGAATTTAAAAACCGCGCCCTTGATTACGTCACTAAAAGTTTGATTGGTATCGCTTATATATTTAAAGAGGTGCAATATCAAATTTTTTATAAAAAATAAACTATTTTAGAAAGTTCTCTGAAAGAATCTCATAGCAGTTATTATTAGAGTCTTATTGTTATGTTAGTAGTTGTGACTAAACACTATAAACAGCATAAGTATTTTTAATCTTTTATTATCAATTAGGGATTGGAGGTATAGTTCTTTTAAAAATTCCTACTGTATACCGGGTGTTTCAAGTTACACTTTCGCGAATGCGATGATCTCGGAAACGGTAAAATATACAGAGTGGCTCAAATTGGAGCAAAGTTCCATGTCAGTGAGATAGCGAGATTTTAATGGTGAGAGTTGAATTTCAAACACCCAGTAGATGAAAACATCAATAAATGTTAAATATTTTTGTTGAATAAGATGGAAAAACTGTTAATTATTGTTTTATATTTAGTTTTCCTTTCACTGGGCTCTTTTTCATATTTTGTTTGTTAAATGTTTTTTTAGCATTTAACAAACAAAATATGAAAAAGAGCCCAGTGAAAGGAAAACTAAATATAAAACAATAATTAATTAACAATATCAAATGTTGAGAGCGGGAATTCTTAAAAGAATTGTTTTCTTTAGTAAATAGCTATTTGTCTTTAATAAAGAATTATACAGGTTTTAAATAATAGTGTATCAAGCATAAGAGTACCAACACTGACGTTTGGTACGCTGTTTTTTACACCCTGTATATTGTATAGTAGACAGAAATAATGTTCTTGTTCTAGCTTTAAAGCTACCAATAATATTGACACTTTTGGTGAGAGCAAAAGTACAAAATAGTTTTAAAATATCTAATATTATAAGAAGCACTTAGAATAGGAAGTTTTAACAACGCTAGTTATATTTTTGGATGTTTACTACGTTTTTAGATTTGGTAGGAGATGTGATTCATGTTGTCCAAAAAGGATTTTCATTTTAAATTTGGGTTTAGTTAAGTTTTTTCTTAATTTAAACTATCTGATGACGTACAGTGTTCAAAATATTTGAAGAGAAAGCTTGATTTTCATGCATCCGTTATCCGACGATACGATGATACGATATTAATTGTATTGGTTAAATTTATAGACTTCGATTGGTTAGAAAATTACGCAGTTTTTAAATTTATTGCATTTTCATGCCTGATTGGTGTAATTTTATATTTTCATTTCCAATACGATTTCGCTGTTTTACTTATAGTCTAGGAGCTAGCAAAGTTTTCGAGCGAGAATTTTAAGAAAGCTGGTTCTTTAATATATCTTTTGCTATGCTCTCTTGAACAGAGTGCGGACCGTCTTGCTGGTAGACGTTGCGTTCACTACTGCGCATCATATCTGTATTCAACATCTGTTCACTACTGCGCATCACAACTGCGCCCTGTATTTCAGGCACTAAGGAGGCTAGGACAAACATATGTGTAGCATATTTTTAGTTTCATAAAAAAATAGCAAAGTAATGTGAAAATCGCATCATTGTATCTCTACTCATAAACGAGAAATCCCATAAAACACACGAAAATGGGACAACCTGTACAGATGTGATGCGCAGTACTGAACCGCAGTAGTTTACCGGCAGCCAGACGGCCCGCACAATAGCAAAAGATATATTAAAGAACCAGGTTTCTTAAAATTCTCGTTTTCCCGACGTTGCTAACTCTTGTACTATGATATTTTTATTAAGGTTAGATTAAATTTCAAAATAAAAACACTAAATCACCACAATACACCAAAACACTTTTACTTTTACACTGGACGCGCGTTTCGCTAACCATGTTAGCATCATCAGCAGATGATTATAAACTGCGTTTCAGTTTATAATCATCGTTTTTTCAGTTTATAATCATCTGCTGATGATGCTAACATGGTTAGCGAAACGCGCGTCCAGTGTAAAAGTAAAAGTGTTTTGGTGTATTGTGGTGATTTAGTGTTTTTATTTTGCTGTTTAACACCAAAGGTTCCAACCCTCAACTGTAATTTTAGATTAAATTTGTCAAAAAAGTGTCATAACGTCCGTTATCGTACGATCTTTCTCCGTTGACGGGCTGGAGTAAAAAATTTACAGATGAAAAGTGGCGCGAAAACGCTATGACCAATCATAGCGCCGTCGGACCATCTTCTCAGCGGATAACGGACGCATGAAAATCGAGCTTAAGAAGTTTCGTAAATTCCCTATTATGGAAGATAATATTTTTATTTTTTTTTCAAATATTCTCGGAAATAATAGGATTTTTCTAAACTTCAAGCATGATCACAGTTTATACTGTAATATAATGTAAGGTTTATATATTTACAGTGTGATCAAAAAGTCTACAATCAAGCAAAAAAATCAAAAAGAATTCTTTGTCATCATACAAAGGACACTTGATCATAAAGTTTTTTGATCAGATTGTATCTTATCTCATCTGTATAACTTGTGGTGACCTACAGTAAAGTGAGAGTCCGTACTACACAATCACTACACTGCTACAGTCTGTCCAACAATCCAGGAAAAATTTCGACAGACAACATCCAAAAAATGACAGAAAAGATTAAACTGGATACTTAGGATATAAATGCATTTCCTACACAAGTCTATTCTTGCGCATGTCAGAAGATTTCAGCGCCTGCTCTATGCTGTGAGCACCTTGATTGGACAGTTCCAAATCATACCATTGAAATTGGCGTTAAAGACGTTCAAATAAAACCAGAGACATAGAGGGAAGCACCACCATATCTTCAAATAAAACATGTGAATTAAAATGACAGCCGCAACTGTCACTGTCAAGTATCCTCTAGTTGGGTAGACTATAGCTAGTATTTATTAATCTGTGTGTAATTCTAATATATCTTAGGACCAACAATATTTCCGTAGATTGAATTATTCAGTATAAACTCAAGAATAACAATATTTTCCGTTTGTTGCGAACTTTCTGTTACACCCTGTACAATATTGAAGCACTTTACTAAACCATTACAATTAGCAAATACAGGAATGTTATATGATTTACAAAAATTCCTCTGTTATAAAATATTTTAAATATTCTAGCTTATCAAGCACACTAAAGCCCCATACATACATGCGCTGATGCGGTTCGTCAATGCGTCGATGCGATGGGTTGTACGACGGTTCGACGGAATGAGTATGGGGCTCAATCGTTGATTAAAAACGTTATAACTATTTTTTTCTGACCTGTAGATGTCTAGATCATTTTAACAATAATACATAATACTGACATTAGTTAGTAAACATGAATATAATTTCGAGGATTATTGTTTTTTCATTATAATTATTGTGAAGAATTGGTTTTTAGTATGTATGATCTCAAATTGCTTTTAAAATTTAAAAAACCCTTTTTATTTACTGATATAAGGCTGATTTGATAGTATATTTTCGAATAATTCAATAGTTTCTTATTGTTTTAAGTTTTTAGACGCAGCGTGTTTTAATTTAAGATAAAAGGTATCACAAGGAACGTAAATGTGTAGGTATTCTTTTTTTTTAGGTCAAGTCTGTATTGGAAGCACCAAAATATAGTAATAATTAATTCAATGTTTGTTATTTTGTTTTATTAACCCGTATTTCTTTAGACCAGCCTTAGACCATCCCAAAATTCAACGTAGCTTTATCTCTTTCTATTATGTCTTATTTTATTAGGCAAATCGAAAATTTATTAAAATTATTTGGATCGATGCTAGCTTCTCATCTCTAATTATCGTTATCAGATGTCATTGATCTATGGTTAGGTTGTAACCATAGATTATGGTAACATATTCCTTTATCTATGGTGGTTACTATGGTAACTGATGTTGTCAATGTCAATGCAAAAAAAAATATAACACAACGATGAACTTTAAAGCTTTTCGTTTAATTGTTCTTTAATATTTGTAAATGTTAATTACTATTGTTTAAATCAAACGTAATTATTCCCTGATTATTGGGTGAACATGGGTGAGGAGAATAAAGCCAAAACCAAACCTCCAACACATATATTATCAGACTGGAACTACTTCCTCAATCACCAGAAAGAAAACGTGCAAATTCCGCTCTATTTTGATAAACAAGACTGGATCGTGGGTAATATGTATCGGACTCGAATCAGCCACGTTTATGATCCATCGAAATTTTGGGTAGTACCGAAAGAAAAAGAGCTAGACCTTTTTCAAAGATATTTACATGATTTCTATTCGAAACATAAAGATGCTTACCGGGTCCCTGTGAGCAACTTCAGTCTGCAAATGTACTGTGTAGCATATACAGAGGAAGCATTTTATAGAGGAAAGTTGGTTAATATCCCATTACCTGTTAAGCAGAAAACCCTGGCTTGGGTATTTCTGATGGATTTTGGATATATGGCCAAAGTTGAATTAAACGAAATCTATTTTTTGACTGCCAAGATGTATACCGTTCCACAGTTTGCAGTCAGGAGTAGTTTATCAGGTAAATATTGGTTTTAGTTTACCATACCTTATTTCTGATTACTATTTTATTATTAGGAATGGGTCCTGTTGATTCTTCTAGTACCTGGTGTGCAGATGCAGTTACAAAATTTAACCAACTAGTACTAAACAAAGTACTCTTTTGTCAAGTTACTAATAAAGATGAGAAAAACAAAGTGTTATATTTAAAATTGGGCGAATATCAGTGGGAAACCCAAAATCTACAGTCGATAAATGATATTTTAGTTATGGAGAAGATAGCAAAGCAATTGACAGTTGTAGATATTAGAGAACTAAAACGGATAGGGAAAAATAAGGTGGAAAATAGTCCAGCAATTTTTCCTTTTTTGTTACCGTCATTTTCAGATCTCGAGAACAATTTCTGTGCAGATACAGCAATAGCGAATAATGCCTTACAGCATTTTCCACACATCTAAAGACTGTTTTTATCTTATATTTCTTAATCTTAAGTTTTTATCTAATAGTTGGTTGGTTATTAAAATGAATTGTACCTTTTCACTGACTTAATTCTTGTTATATTAATTGAATATATTTCTAAAAAAAAATATAAATTTTCTTTCTTTCAGTACTCCTGATTAGAACCTGTTGCTCTTACTAAGCTTACCAACCAGCTGTAACCCTTCACTACCTATTGGGGCCTATTGTGGCTCAGTTCTACAAACTTTAAATTTCACCCTCAAGGCCCAGCCTAATATACAGGGCTGTCCGAAATGTATTCGGGAAACTACGGCAGCATATTCTGCAGGTAAAAACTCTGGCATGAGAAATTTGATTTCGATGTCAATATGACTTCCACTTGTAGGGGGCGCCACCTGCATGTCGGAAACTCTACGCACTGCGCTATGGAGACATGTTCGATTTATATTCAATACTAGAATTTATAGGACTAAATTAATAAAAAATATAGGATCTTCTTCCGATGCGCAGTAGTGAACGCAACGGGTATCGGCAGCCAGACGGGCCGGGCCGCATGCTGTTCCAGGGAGCATAGTAAAAGATATCAAAGAGCCAGACGTCTTAAAATACTTTCTTGAAAACGTTGCTAGCTCTTAGACTATTAGTGCCTCATCTACATTGTTTGAGACGCACCACCCTGTATATTATTCAAAAGAAAATACCGGATTTGAGGTAATCAATGAAATTCACTTTATTTTTCATAAAGAAGCCTTTAATTTTGTTGTTATATTTATCAGATAAACTTAACAATAAAATTCGATATACCAAACTATTATAAATACTGAACGTATTTAACAAATAAACATATTTTGTATTAAATTTGTTATTAAACTGTGAAAATTTTAAACAATTTCTAGATATTCTATTAGTCTATACTTATTTATAATTTTAAATCAAAGAACAGACCATATATTAATCAAATTTTTATTTTTTTGGGTCTATCAACGTGAAAATTTTCGTTATGAGTAGGTATAAATATGTTTTTGGGAATAACTGCGTGTTTCAAATGAGGCTCTCACCATTGTAATCTAGGAAACGGTGTAAAAGATACAGGGTAGCTTAAATTAGGGTAAAGTTGCCTGTTAGTGAGCCTAGTGTTAGAAAAAATCTAAAAAGAAAAAATTAATATTTAATTTTTAAAGAGAAAAAACCAAAATAATTCGGATTTTGTTGCAGTATGATGCATATTTCGGGTTTTGCTACAGCAAGAATTTGCATCCTAACTTGATTTATTAGATATGCTGTTTTATTAAAACTGGATAAGACGTCAGTAGTAATATTATACTCGTATAAAAAGCCTATGAAAAAATAAATCTGCGACAAGACGGATTTTGCTGCAGTAACGTAATTTGTAGTGAATTTTATATAGGAATACGCGACTTTTGCTGCAGTTTGGGGCTACGTTTATGCAGATTTCAGGGTCCACTATTAATATATGTCATTAGGCCATTTTTTTAATGGATAAGGCGAGTCCCAACTTTATCCCAATTTATGTAGCCACCCTGTATCTCTTAACGTTTTCGATATCTCAAAGCTGAGAGCCAAATCTTCAGCACCCTGTATAAATTTTACTCTTCTATAAACTATTGCACAAGGTTTATAACTTTTGTTAAATTTTAATGGAATTCTTTTTTGTAAATAAAAAATTCGTAACGAATAATATTACATTAAAAAATATACATTTGCCAATAGCAAATGGTTAACCAAAACTTAACGTCATGTATACAATTAAAAAAAAATGAACGTTTGCAAAAATATACAAAAGTGATTATATCTAATAAACAATTGAATATAATAACATAGTCAAGGTTAGGCAGTATACAGGGTGCTCCCACTGAGCTTGCATAATAAATTTCTAGAGAAACTTATAATGCAAGCAGATCAGCCAAAGACACCCTGTATATACAGATATTTATATCCTGATATATCATATTAATAAAATAATAATAAAGAAAGTAAGTCGCGGCTGTATATACATTTTCTCACATTTATATAAATAATAATACAGATAAAATAGTTTCGGGGATCAGGAATATAGTAAAAAATGTATCACCAAGCCATCTCTGACACCGTTTTCTTTTCGATCCTATGTTATAAAGTCATGGCCTGTTTCATCATGAATCTTATTGATCGATACGTTATAATCATACTCAATACTATTGCAAAAAATAAACCTCAAATTATACAAATAAAAATCAATAATATAAGGAGGAATCAATTATGTTTAATCAATTATAATTTCGTCCATACAGGGTGTCCCAGATAAGAATGCACTCGCGAGATTTTATTAACTATTAATTAAAATGTGTTCAGAAAGTTTTTTGATTGTAGGTAGGTAAGTGTGTTTTACATAATGACAGATAAATAATTCATATGAAAAATTAGATTAGAATTTTTGATCGTTTAACTAAAAGTCTGCACTAAAAATCATAACTTCTTTTTTAAAATGTTTCACCAAGCAATCTCTGACACCATTTTTTTAACATTCTCCTTTATTTTTATCTATGTTGTTGAACTTCCTTTTTGAATTAATGAAGAAAAATACAAAACACATTAAATTATAAATTAAATGATTTATTTGTTATAAAAATAAAATTAAAAAAAGTAACTTGACGTCGTTTTTCGTCATTTTATATGTAAATACAGGGTAGCTGTTATGTATGGAAACGGTCGACTATTGGGCAAAGTATACGAGGTACCGCAAAAAGTTAAATACAAAAGTTATATGGTTTTTAAATGCCTAACAGCTGGTAATAAATTTAAGTATACAAGGTCGGTCATAAAGTCGTGGCACTTCAAAGATTCATTTTTTTAAACGGAACCCCCTGTATATTATTGGGTATTTCAATTCTTCCTTCAATTTTAAACAAAAATTATATTACACACAATGTATCTAAATCCAACGGTTTCCGAGATACCGAGTTTTGGTTTTGAAATGTTAAACTAAAATTTCCAGACTTGATATTATAATCTCATTTTATACATCTAGAAATGCTACTTTAAAAACTAACGTCAACTATTATTAAGTTTCACAGTTTTCACAGAATGGCATCGTTAAATAAAACCGAACACATAGAAATTAATTTAATCAAATTGTTTAAGTGATATTTTCAAAAGTCAATAACCCGGAAACGGGTGGTTTCAGGTTCATTGTGCGTATTTATATTTTTGCTCAGAATTGAAGGAAGAATTGAAATATGCAATAATATACAGGATGTTCCATTTAAAAAAAGGAAACTTTGATGTGCCACGACTTTATGACCGACCCTGTACACTTAAACTTATTACTCGCTACTTAATAGATATTTAAAAACCCTATAACTTTTATATTTAACTTTTTGCGGTACCTCGTATATTTTAACCAATAATCGACCGTTTCCATACATATGTATCAGCGACCCTGCAACTTGACGCTGTTTTTTTTCCATTGTGGCCAAGGTTGAATTCAAAATAAAACAATTTTTAAACAAAATTTTGCAACTAGTAAAAAATAAACTTAAGATTGGCCAAAAAAACTAAACGTTGAACAAAACATATAAATAAAATTTATATTGAGGTAGTGAACGCAAAAAACATAACAAAAACAATGTCTCCAAAGCTTTATAGTTGCTATTCTTTGCAAGATCTTTGAGCGCAATTATCTGAGACACCCTGTATTATTTTCCCGGCAAATAGAAAAGAAACAAAACTAAAACTTTTAGTTTCTCAATAAGGTAAGAACTATTCTTACAGTGTTTTTTTTTTCGATAGGCAACATTAGATTCTTTTCATTCACCACTATATTCACTAGAGCAAAAGTAAAGAAATATATACATACCTATACTTAGAATAAAAACACAACTAGTTTGAGGAATGTGGATTATTATAAAAACCAATATTTTTTTCTAATTCAATATCAAAAGATTAGACCTACTTATTAACTCTTCTCTACTTTTGCTTGGTGTATTATATAAATTACATAAGTATTTATATATACACAATCTATTTATCTGTACATCATAACGTCTGAGCTTTGGTACATGCAGATGTAGGCGTCGCAAAGCAGCCTTTTCGCATGTTCGGGAAGGTGTCTGTCTAAGGGAAATTCTTCGTGCAGCTGCCTACATTTGCAGAATAAAAAAAAACGTTTAAATAGCGACCGTTCAGCCATTGTGCAACGTTACGTCATCATTATTTGTCAAATATGAGTTTTAGGGTGTCTGAGATCAGTTCATATTGTTTAGAAAATTTTAAGTACGTTCCTATATTACTGATTGAGCGAGTTCCGTTTTTTTCCCGGCATTTAATATTTTTTTCTTCAACTCTTCATCGGTCACGATCCCGTTAATTCCGATTCTTTAGACTGTTGAAATTCCTATTTCTAAAGCATCAGCAACTCGCTATACTCTGTTTTTTTTTTCTCAGATAAGATTTCGACAGACGATGACAGAAGAAAAGCAGATGACGTCCCATACCAATCTATTTATTTTACTAAAAAAAGTTTCTAATATTTTTTTAAGTTAACTATGGATGGGTTTAAATATACATCCGTCATGCGCCGTCTCTTGTTTTTAACCAGTTTTACTGGTTTATTTCAAAAATGACAGATCATAATTCAATTTTATTGGTTTGACGGAACGATGAACGACAAACGGACGCCGATGCGTATGAACTCGCCTTTAGATTTTCGAGGCTTGTCAAAGTCTTGCCAAATTATAGGTTATAATTGTGTCAACTTATGTCAAATATCTGCGTTTTGGAAGATGATGCATTTTGATTCAAGTTATTATGTGTGTTTTGTGTCTTTTAAAGTCAAGTGGAGGAAAAATCGAGGGAAAGTTAACTATAGACCCAGAGCACAGTTTATAGTTAATACTCGCTGCCCAGGTAGAAAGTCTTATACACCAATAAAGTTACCATCAATAAAGTTTGTATACCATCTCGTATATGCTACAAGGATCGTACTAAACATACTACTGGAATAGCTGTAAAATAATGACATCACACGATACGTAAATAATGGATTTTAGTACTGCAGAAAAATAATGTCTAAAGATACTGGTTTAAAAAATTAAGATTAAAGTTAATTAATCAACCTTTAAAGTATAAAATTTGGTAAGTGTTATTATTAATAAAATAGTTTGTTTTATTTATTCCTGTGGAATATTACAAATTTGTATTTGTACATAAGTTATATTGATAAATAATAAATGCGGGAAGTTTCTTGAAGCTTGAAAGTAAGAAATAGTTCTTTTTTACATTTTTTTGTTAACCCACCTTTTTTTTAATAAAATAACTCGATTACATTTTTTTAGTTTTACACAGTATTTTTTCACAATATTTTGAAGAAAAGAAGAGAAATCACTTATCAGTCAAATTTTAAATATATTAATTTCCTGCTATGCATTCCAGTTAAACCAACTTATTTCTTTGTAAAATAAAATAAAATACTTTGAAATTAAAATGACAGACACATGGATCTTGTTGTACAGACTATATATTATTTTATTTAAAAACGTTATCAATTTATATTTTACATAGAAATATTACACCTTTGCATTGTACTTACTTCATATACGGCGTCCACGGACAAGAGTGTTCAACCGGCGTCTGTTTTTCGAGAAAAATAATTTGTAAACTTAGCAATGAGCCCTTGTTTATTTTGATTACATCTTTGAGGCATTTTTGAAATAAAAAAAAATTGGAATTTTATTTGACACGATGTCCGTCAATAAAATTCTCTTCTTTTTCTTCTTTCTCAGCCTGGTTCCATCCAGTGTTGGATATAGGCCTCTTCTAGGTTTTTCCATGCTTCGCGATCTCTAGCCAATCTTATCCATTGTCTTCCCGCCACTGCCCTGACGTCATCGACCCATCTCTTTTTTGGTCGGCCTACACTTCTTGTTGTTCCCCTAGGTCTCCATAGGATTACTTTTTGGGGCCATCGGTCTGGATCCTGTCTTGCCACATGTCCTATCCATTGCCACTTCAGACTTGCCACTCTTTTAACGACATCTATTAATTTTGTTTTTTGACGTATGTGGGTATTCCGTATTTTTTCCCTAATGGTGACTCCCAACATGATTCTTTCCATGGCTCTTTGTGCTACTCGTAGTTGTTCTGCTATTTTTCGAGTAATTGCCATAGTCTCTAAGCCATACGTAAGCACAGGTAGAATGCAGTTGTCGTAAGCCTTTTTCTTTAGGTTCATGGGCACCTTTTTATCCTTGAAAATATCGCTCATATTTCCAAATGCTACCCATGCCAAATGGATCCTGCGTTTGATCTCCGTATTTTGGTTTTCCTTGCCCAGCTTGATTTTATGACCTAAATATATATAATGGTCTACGTTTTCAATAATAACGTTGTCAACCGTAATGTTATGGATATTGTTGTTCATTATCTTGGTCTTCTTCAAGTTCATTTTAAGGCCAATTTTCTGGGATTGGTCATTTAGCTCATTTAGCATGCTGTTTAGTTCTTGAATGTCGGTGCTCAGCAAGACAATATCGTCTGCGAACCTCAGATGGCTAAGGTGTACCCCATCGATGTTTAGACCTCTATTTTCCCATTCTAATTTCTTGAAGACATTTTCCAGTGTCAGTGTAAATAACTTGGGAGAGATGGTATTTCCTTGTCTCACGCCGCTGCCGAGTAGTATTTTTTCTGTTTTGAGGTTATCATCTAATTTAACTTGGAAGGTTGCACTATCATAGATATTTTTAATAATGGAATAATATCTGGAATCAATTCTCGCATCCTCCATTGCAGCTAGAAATGACCAGGTTTCGATGCTGTCAAAAGCTTTTTGGTAGTCTACAAAGGCCAAATGTAGAGGTATATTGTATTCTATTGTTTTTTCAATGACTGTTTTAATTGTTTGTCGATGATCGATGGTACTAAAACCTTTTCGAAAGCCTGCCTGTTCTATTGGCTGATAGGAATCTAGTTTCGTAGACAGTCGGTTGTTGATAATACTAGTGAAGAGCTTGTATAGATGCGAGAGAAGGCTTATTGGTCTATAATTCTCTATATTTGTAAAATCTCCTTTTGTGTATAATAGCACAACTTCTGCGTTTTTCCATGCGTTAATATAAAGATAAAATTATAGCCCCAAATCAAATGACAATGATAATTACTGAAAAGAATATGCAGTAATTTATGAAATGCATTAATTATGTCACCAATCTCTTTCATCTGGTTGACAAGTGATTGAGAGAGTTCGACAATATATGACGTAACGTTGAACAATGGCTGAACATTCTATACTTTTCACAAATACCGTATGATCGAGTAAAAACGGCGTCAGCGATTGAGGTCATGAAATAAAGATCGCTGTCATTTTATATGTAAAATTATATGGGAAATGTCATCGATCGTCATTTCCAAGTCTACTGGACGCCGTTTTTTTTTCGATCATACGGTCATAAAAGAACACAAAGTATTATTTAGACATTTATTCTTACCGGCAAGCCGTTTCCTCTGAAAGCCAGTGAGAAATGTCAGGACATGCAACCATCTCTGGAATATTATATCCATTTTTCTCACCTAAAATATATATTTCATTGCTATAGTGTTATATTTTGACAACAAGTAACAATATTTTCTTCAAGTTTTGTCCAAAAAAATAATATTTTTTTTAAATAACTATAAATCCTCACACTATAATAAAATATTTTGTTTTCGATGCCCTTTATATCAATATTTATAGATATCTAATTTATTAAAAATGTTTCTTTTAACGCTGATTATACAGTGTGATGTTCTGCTCACCTTTCCGATCCGCCATCGAATCGAAAAAACACCAAGGAGCCTCGTGGCCGACACCGCACTTAACAAAAGTTACATAATGGGAAGTTTCTATACAAATCACAGCAAAAAGTTCCATAAACAATCTCGGAGGCCTAAAAATATAAAAAAAATATTGATTAGTGTCTACTGGAACCAACTGGAAGACAGCTATATGATAATGGCAACACAATTTCCAATGCACCTGATCAACTTTGATTGTGACGGATTTATGAGATAAATCTTAACTTAAAATTGACAAACGATATATTTATTATATAATTTTTTAAAGATTTTTACGTTTTATTTTTAATTTAATAACTAATATTTTAGTAATTAATTGATTTATTTATTTTATAGCTTATTTTATTTATTACATATTGGAAAAAACTAGTCCAGTATGAAGATTATTCTAAGCGTTATTATGGGTTATTTATTTATTTATTGATGTACATCGTACAACGCCATAAGTGGTAATAACAAGGTGCTATTAATGCACCAACTAATAATCACAGAATTTAATAAAACTAACGTAGAAATAACTTTGAAAGTGGTATAACGTGCTTATCAATCAAACTTACTTCTCTGACTGCAGTCAAGGGTAATAAAAGACCTTTATTGTGACGTTCTCGTTCAAAATAATTTATCAGGGAAGCTACAAGCTCTTTGCTTCGACTGTTGTTGCAATACAAAAAACTCGAAAATTTAGTTCTTAAAAGAACTGTTTGTGCTTACATTTTTAAAAAAGACTATGAAAACAGAGGAACGAGAATTACTCACAAAGATTCAACAGCAACACAATATGATACAAAATAATAACTGACTTTGGGATAATTGTCAAATAATAAACGACAATATTGCTGAACACGGCGCAATGTGACCAACATAGCGATAATAAAATTCGGTTTAAACTAATTTTTGCAGCTTTAATCTAAATAAAATATCTGTTACAATCATTTGCTCTATAAAGTAAAATGAAGAGCTGCTCGGTATCTTAAATTATACAACAAATTTAGACATTTTGCCAAAATTTCATTCAGTCAAGTTTATAGACTTTAGTGTCAATGTCGATATGATTGATGACGTGCATCGGAAAATGTTTTGCGATTACCGTACATTACATATTATGTTAAAGGACAAAAGGACGTATAGTATTTCCAAAGTAACAAGTTTACAAATAATAAAAAATATCATTCAATACAAATCAATTCAAAAAAATTACAAATATAACATATATGGACATTGCAGAACACAGGCGTATCGATATAATTTTACAAAAGGAAAATTGTAAATGGATAAAATCATGTAAGAGATATAAAATATTAAATACTAGACTTTTAACCAGTGTGTGAGATGATCAAAATTTTAAAATTCAAAATTATTCATGATTAAACATCAACAAAAAAGTCGTTGACCGCATATAGGGCTCTCTCCAGTAAGTATGATTTTAGAGCTTTGCGAAATGCAGGAAAGAATGGAAGTGACTTTAGGTGGCCAACTGAGAATGGACGCCGGCTGTATCTCAGAAACTACTTATCGTATAACTTTGGGAAACAAATTCTAATAAGTAAATCGACCAAGAGAAATCGCTGGAAATTATTTTCAAGTTCGAAAAATATCCGCTAGAGGGCCTTTCTCTGATAGCCAATCAGAAAACAGGGTTTTTCTCAAAAATATGCAGGTGAACAGGTATTTTAAATATTACTACTGTAATCATCAAGAAATTTGTAATTTTTATGATATAGAGTGTTTTGTTCTATCTCATAAAATAAAGTGGTGGGGGAAGGTTAAACTAGCTTTTATTAAAATAAGGATAACTCTGGTTTAGGTTAACCGATTTAAATAAACTAGGGCTCGTTTAAAAGAGCTTTTCTTCCTTAATGATATTCAGTATAAATTTTGTTTCCATAATTTTTTTCGTGGTAGCTAGAGGGCGCTGTTTGACATCATAACAGATATTGCGCTTTTCCATAAGAAATTTAAATAGGAGGCTATATTTCTCTTTGCACAGTTAAATAGCCCCCTAGCGGACATTTTTCGAACTTGAAAATAATTTCCAGCGATTTCTCTTAGCCGATTTACTTATTAGAATTTTTCTCCCAAAGTTATACGACAAGTAGTTTCTGAGATAAAGCCGGCGTCCATTCTTAGTTGGCCACCCGGTACAGTATTGAGTCTTTAACTAGTTCTGAGCTCGGTGTTGGCAGATAAAGATCATGCTCCGCATTCCTAAGTGGATAGTTGTGAGATGGCCTTTCCGGACTAGCAGATATGTGCTTACGGATTAAGCAAACGGATTCAAAAATGAATCAGTAAGAGTCTGGCAGTGAGTTCTACTGTTCAGTCCCAATAAATATCGAACTGCTCTCTTTTGAAGTTTGAAAATACGAAATACGATCAAACCTTGTGGTTTGGTTTGGCACAGTAAGAGTTGGTTTGGTTTAGTATGGTACGAGTCTCATACCAGTCCAATTGAATTAAAGAGAAATAAATTATCTTACCTGCAATGTTCCTCCATAGTCAAAAAATCAGGATTAACCGCCAACTCTCTAGGTTTGTGCCTCTGTCGCCTTTCGTGTTTGTGGGCGGTTTTCAGACAATTCTCGCAAAAGGCCGTACTTTCTAAGCCCGCTTGATTCGTGTATTCAGAGAAACACTCCCTGCACTCCCATCGAGCTAGTTTACCACAAACAATACACAATCTAGGCGCTGAAAATCATATAATCTATATATTAAAAAACATAAACAAGTGAAAATTAAAAAGAAATTAAAAAATAATCATACAGAAAGTTTCAGGCTTTTTAGTTTTACCTCATTAAGCAATAGTTATCAGGTGGTAACTGTTAATTTTGATGTTTTATGATATCTACTTACAACCTTCTATGACGTCTGTAACATCAAGCAGCTGAGAGGGTAAAATGCGGGGATACATTTTGTAATTCTTCCCGAATCTGGGCATCTGCACAATCAGACAAGAGGGCACTTCTTTCAATTTTATATCGCTCGTTAGGAAACTTTGCTCAAACAGTTGTTGTACGGTAGGCAACGTGAGCTCGGCATTTTTTTCAACAAAAAGTTGATAATGGAACGTCTCCTAAAATGAAATCAAAATATCATAGAATCTATATAGTATGAAGACTGATTTTCATGATAATAAATACAAAATACATTAAAACCGAAGAGGAAAAAATAAAAGTTAAAACTTACTTGTCCAGAGTTAAGTTTCAAAAACGGTTCAGCTTTCAAAATTTGAGCAAGTAACGAATTCAAAAATTCCTCTGGATCCTTTTCTTCGCTTGTTAAGCCCGACACTGAACTCAACCTATCCAAAAGTTTTCTTAGTTTCATCACGTTATCCGCACTTACAAACAAGTTTTTCCTCAAAGGATTAACGATTTCTTCTCTCAAAACTCTCTGGACCTGAAATAAATCCACTTTTATACCTTGTTTACATAAATAAACTTTGTAACTTTGAATTAAAAAATTCAGGAAGGAACATATTAACGAAAACTTATGACAGGACAGAGATCTACCGCACGCTGTACAACTATTTAATGTCTTTTCATGATGTCGAGTCCATCTCTAATGCATGTATACAAGGATAACATTATGCTTCTTCCTTAATCTCTTTATTCAAAGCTTTGTAAATTACCTCCTCATAATCCGCTATGTCGTTTGCGTTTTTCGGCCGGAACAACAAGCTGTCAAACACTGCGGTGTAGGTGAACATGGCGAAAAGTGTGACGTCCAGATAGCAGGAATTGTGGTGTCCTTGAATGCCGCGGTACTTTCCGCACACCGCCTCTACATCTTCCTCTGTGGGCATACAGAGCGGCGCTACTGCTCCTGGGATTCCCGGACAGTCGCACTAAAATCCAATACCTGTTTTAGTTATGAACTTTACACAATATCGTAGAAAGTATTTTTATGTACGGATTTTTTTGCGTATTTTAATTTGAATTCAAGAGTTGATCCCACGTTGGGCGCTAAATGTATAAAAAATGACCCCACGTTGGGCGCCAAATGTATAAAAAAGTGACCTCACGTTGGGCGCCAAATGTATAAAAAACATCTACATGCCGAACACGTTTAAAACAGTTTTAACAAATATTTAAAAAAAGTAATGCTGCTTTAAGGACGTTTAAAACATTACAGCAGGGTTGCTAAGATATCGAAAGGTACCAGAGAGAATAGTTATAAAGAATTAATTAAAATTTGTACTTTCTATATATCATTAAAAGGTCAGTATTCTGAAAATAAACATTTTCGATTTATGCATGCAACACAAGTTAAAAAAACATGGACAAATGCTTAAATTGAAAATTCTTCATACTCAATCATAATCTAAAAATTTATTTACTCTTTCGTTTAGTCCTTTTTTGTATCAACTCTCTCAAAAAATCCGAAATATTCGGAATTTATCCGATATACGTATATTATAAACGCGAAAGTTTGTATGTATGGATGTATGTTTGTTACTCTTTCACGCAAAAACTACTGAAAGTATTTTAATGAAACTTTACAATAATATAGCTTATACATCAGAATAACACATAGACTATAATATATAAAGATATATTGTATTAATTGTCCAAAATACCATGAGAGCAATAAAATAACAGACAGATTTGAAAACTCTATCACACGACTGTCACTCTTTATTCATTAACTATCAATTACAACTAGACACCTGTAATAGGTACCTTCAAATATTACACTTTATATTAATAGAATTCGAATTGTATGCGGACGAAGTCGCGGGAAAAAAACTAGTATAAAATAAATATACAGTAAAGGTAATCTTACCACTTCTGTTACAGCTGCTTGGTGTACAGGCGTCGGAGTTCCATCCTGAAACCGCGAATCCTTATGACACCGTTCTAAAGGAACGAAAAAAGCTTTGCCATTGGCACAGGAAAACAACCTTTCGTTATTGTGCGTGCCATCTGTTAGAGTTAGAGGCAGATGCGTGGCTTCCTCCTCTAACTCTATACCTACTAGAGTAAACTTAGCTTCAGTGTCAAAGCCCATCCATTGAATCACACCTGTGAAAAGATTTTTTTTTATATTTAAGTGAGTTCTTATAAGATTAAGGAGTGTGCTAACCGTATAGTGGTTCTTCTGTGACGTCGGTATCTACTTCTACCACGCTGCCTACGACCAAATCGTTCGTGGACCCCGGTAATGGGTCTGTGTATTTAGGATTTTCGTTTACGTAAAATGTGGCTGTTGGTTTGGTGTGTAGCTCTTTCGGATGGTATTCGGGTTCTGAAAAGAAATGAAGATTCACGTGTAGTATTGCGTATTGAGGGAAATTTTAATTAAATTTTTTAGTTTAATTATAATACAGCAATGTTGCACTGACTACAAATCAACTGATTTATGCTAGAACGTTTCTGTATTTACTTATTTCTCTGAGACAGAAACTGTTTGAAGGAACTAGATGGAGGATAATGTTTTTGGTTGATTACAAGGATATACAGGGTGGCACCTCTCATACGCCGCGGAAGCTGCAAGGGAACGGTAGTTTATGTCGAAATGAAATTTTGGCAGCATATGTAGGTTAACTGAAAGCATTTTATAAAAATATATAGAATTATACAGGCTGTCCCCCCAAAAAATACACATCAAAGTTGAGTTTTTCTAATTGAACACACTATATATTAATTTATTTTCGGATTCTAGGAAAAAAATAAAGGTGAGTTTTATTAAAGAAGCATATACCTAAAATCTAAGGATTTTGATATATTTCACATTTTGTGAAAATAAAGAGTAAATTTTAAATTTCGATACAAGCTACCTAAATTTTAGTTGACCTTGTATAGCCTGATATTCAATTATAGTAACCATTATATGTTAAACCAAATTGAAATTTGACACAAAAAGTTATGAGACAAAATTAATATGGAACATTAGTAACTTTTAAAAGCAAGTTTTTTACCTAGATTTTATCAAATAATAAAGATCTACTCAGATCAAATCATGTAAATGAAAATATCTATGAATATCTTGGTTTGAGAGGTAGGTAACATTAATAGTATTTTGAAGAGACATGAATTCTCCATTGAATATCGGAATAATAAACTGGGTGTTCCATTTAAAATAAACGAGTAACATGCTTTTAAAGGTGACCACTGTTCAATATTAATTTTGTCTCACCTTGTATAACTTTTTTTTATTAAGTTTTAATTTGATTTAAAGTAAAATAGTTAATTTAACTACATATTAGGCTATACCGGGTAAATTCCAATTTAGGTAGCTTTTATTGTAATTTAAAAATTAATCTTTATTTTTAGAAAATTAAATTAATTTAATAATAATTATGTAATTACATTTTAGTGATATATTTCTCTTATAAAACTCACCTTTAATTTTCTCCCAGAATCCGAAAATCAATTAATATTATATAGGGTGTTAATTTTGTCTCACCCTGTATAACTTTTTTTATTAACTTTTAATTTGATTTAAAGTAAAATAGTTAATTTAACTACATATTAGGCTATACCGGGTAAATTCCAATTTAGGTAGCTTTTATTGTAATTTAAAAATTAATCTTTATTTTTAGAAAATTAAATTAATTTAATAATAATTAATTACATTTTAGTGATATATTTCTCTTATAAAACTCACCTTTAATTTTCTCCCAGAATCCGAAAATCAATTAATATTATATAGGGTGTTGTGAAAAAAAACACAACTTTGATATGCAACTTTTTTGGAGACACCCTGTAGAACTCTCTATATTTTTAAAAAGTGCTCTGAGTTAACCTACATATGCTCACAAAATTTTATTTCGATATTAACTACCGTTCTCCTTGGAGCCTCCGCGAGCGTATGAGAGGCGCCACCCTGTACAATAATTCTTCTCCAACAAAAGGATGCACGATCTTAAGAGCGAATTCATTGGTCAGTTGACCGAGATGTTAAGACATGAGATGCTCAAACATACATACTTGGAGATCGTGGACTATCTTTCTTCCGATGGTGTCTATGATGGTTTTTTTGATTTATCTCTACCACAGATAACGGAAGTGGGTTATACTCCGAATCCAAAAAATCTTTCGGCGTTTGAATTCGCGTAGATCACATCGTTGTGATGGTGGTTTTTGTAGTGCATATCGTTATTGTTACTCTCCTGATGTTTCTTCGACTTTGACACACTTTTATTACCACAAAAGTTCAATGTCAAATTATATTTTCTTCTTTTCGTCAAAGACATCCTTTATATAACTTTATTTGCTTTGGGAACAAGGTAAGAAAAAAAAATGCAATTTCCTTGATATTTTAAAATAATTATCAAAATAAGTTTTTTAAAAAATTTTATTAAAAGAATTTAATTCAGTATAGTGAACATAAACATTTATAGAGGGTGTTTCAAAAAACAGGTGCCATCTCTCATTGGGATATTCCTCACGTAAAAATAAGATTTATTTTTTATATTAGCAAAGGTCTGATTCTGCTTTGTTTCGTAGCTACAGCAGGTTAAAATCTTAATTTTTTTTCGATTTATTATAATTTTCTTCCAAGTTCTTTTAGTGATTCGATAGTAATTTTGGGGGTAAATGTTACTATAAGTGCGACGTATTTTCATGCTAAAAAAGTGTCGACAGAATTACCAGAGACGTGCGTATGGGGTATCACTGAAATATTTTTCTAAAAAAAAAACATGTGCACCTCAGACTTTTTTCTCTTGTTAACACAATTGTGTAGACCGTTTAATGGCGATTAAAAGTTGTCTTTTGAAATTTTGTCGATTTCGATCTTCTTGATGAGTTAAACGCTATTTAATTAATTTACATTAAAACAATAATTCTAATACCAACCTTTAAAAAATTTTGATGTTATTAACTTGCCAAAATGTTAAATACCTAAGTACTCATTGATTCCTCATAAAAAATATAAAAAAAATCCAAAAATAAACATGTGTGCGGAAATGCATAGTTTTAAAATTATAGGATGTTAAAACTTTTAAAAAATAGGCCTTTGTAATTATCTTAAATACCATTATTTTTGTCGAGAATTTGCGGTAGGTAGCACTGTATATCAGTGTTATAAATTTTGATAAAATTTAGTAATAAATTACATTAAATAAATAACTTTTTATTAATTTTATTGTCATTAATAAAATTGCGTTTATCTCATCGAGGAGATTGAAATGGATAAAATATCAAGATACAACTTTTAATCGGCATTAAATAATGGCCTGCATACTTTTGATAATAAGAGGACACAAAAGTCAGTGGCGCACATGTTTTCTAAGAAAAATATTCCTGTGCACAACAGTATTTAGAAGGCAAGTTATAAAAATTTGGAAGAACTAATAATGCACTGACGCACACAAAAATCAAACAAATACTAAATTAAATTTAGTATTCGTTTATTAATATATTATTAATATATATATTAATTTAGTAAATTTCATTTATCAAAAGCATTCGATAGTCGTGGCTTAACGATAACCATTTAGTCGCACGGCGAGGTTGTCACATATGCTTTAGTATACAAATGAATGAATGATTTTATTCGAATGAAACCATTCGATAGTTGAAATCATTCATTCAGTAACCATTCGATAGTCTAATTCGTTCGATAGTTCCCATCGCTAGTTAGAAGTATAATTTAAGAAAAAAAAAACTATGAAAACGACAAAAAACGAGAATTACTCCCAAAAATTCAACAACACAATATAATGACTGACACTAGGATAACTGTCAAATAATACACGACAACATTGCTGAACATGGCGCAATGTGACCAACAAGGCGATAATAAAAATTGGTTTAAACTAATTTTTGCAGCTTTAATCTAAATAAAATATCTGTTACAATCATTTGCTTTATAAAGTATAATAAAGAGCTGCTTGGTATTTTAATTTAGTCAACAAATTTAAACATTTTTGCTAAAATTTAATTTACTCAGGTTTATAGGCTTTAGTGTCAATTTCGATGTGATTGATGACGTGCATCGGAAAATGTTTTAAAATTTCTATATACACGTTCCTGGTGAATATGTCAACACTTTTTTGGCATTAAAATATGTAGCACTTTAGTAACTTTTACCCTCAAAATTTCATTCGAATTGCTAAAAGCACTTGGAAGAAAATTATAATAAATATAAAAAAATACTTTAACCTCCTGTAGCTAGGAAACAAAGCAGAATCGGACCCATATTAACATAAAATAGTTATTTTTTATACAAGACGATAAAATTGTATTTTATCGTCGACCGACGATAAAATACATATCGTGAATTAATGTCGGGATACGATAATGCAATTTTATCGTCGTGTATAAAACAATTTTTTTTCCATAGCGAGTTACGTTTTAAAAAATATTCAGAAATTATTATTTCAAGGAATTTATTACGAGTAGAAAAAATATTGTGCTGGGTTGGTGTTGGTTTCTATGTAATTTGACAAATAAATAAAGTCTTTAGTAAAAAAAATCTTTAGTAAAAAAATTAATTTTATTTTTCAGAAACTATTAGAGACAGAGTTTACCAAAAATGCTTTTTATAACTACTAGTGGGTAAATGAATTTCTAGATATATTACGAATTTTTTTGGAACTTTAGTTTCGGAGATATTAATTTAATCGGACCTTTTTAAGAAAATTAATTTTATTTTTCAGAAACTATTTGAGACAGAGTTTACCAAAAATGCTTTTTATATCTACTACAGAAATGGCTCAAAACGAAATAAGTAAATTACTAACAGATATTCAGGCTGAGGCGACAAACGCCATATCCAAACTACTTCCATTTAAATCCCGAATAACTTATGAAAAGGAATACATCATTTTTCAAAAATGGAAGCAATTAAAAAACGTGCGAGAAGAAATAAAGTTTTTAGCCTATCCTCGCTGTTAAAATATCATTTAATCTACCCTTGCGGTTAAAGTACTATTTTTGATAAATATAAGTCAATTTTAACAGTTGCTAAATTTTATATATTTATGTGAGGAATCTCTCCACGAGAGATGATACATGTTTTTTTAAACACCCAGTATATTTATAAACCAAAAAAATAAAAATGTTGCACTCTTTTTCTTACGTAGGGATTCACATTTGAAACGCATACACTTCTGTCACGCGAAAAAAAAACGAACCCACACACCTAAGACATAACACGAAATAAAATTCTCTTAAACTCGTAAAAAACGATAAAAAAATTAGAGAAATTCCACTTTCTCTTGAAAAAAATAATGCGGCAGCGTATTTTGCCAAGAAATCCGCGATAAAACTGAACTAGGATAATCCAAAAATAGCGAA